GGTTACCGTACATCAGTGTTCTACATGCAACAGACCTGCTGCTCCAACCATGGGACGCACACTCGTAAAGTAAAAGTGACAACTTAGACCATTTATTAAAGGTTCTAAAAGAACCCTTTCAGAGGCTTCTACACACAACCTAACATGAAGGGTTGTAGCTAGAACCCCCAACGCTTCTATGGTGTCATAACTCCAAAGGACATCACTGTCGACTCTCGCTCAAATCAGAAATCAGATGGTAAAAATACATCTCAATGACCACTCTTCAGTGAAAGGTGCAAGGTGACAGAAGAAGCAGATAAATTAACGTGTGTATGTGTGTGTGTGTGTGTTTTCACTGCAGATGTATCCATGCTGAATGAGCTCACATCCTCACTATCAAAGACCCGCTGAGCTGCAGTTGAAGTGTGTGTGTGTGTGTGTGTGTGTGTGTGTGTGTGCGTGTGCTAGCCTGTGCCCCAGGCTTTGATGATGGAGGCAGAGGATTAAACATTCAACTCCTGAGATTGTCAAAGGGCTTTTTATTTGACTTCATTCAAGTTCAGTTAACTGCACACGATCTTGTGATATGAGACTACGTATCTCATGGGGATATTTAAATGGTAACATGCAGCGACAGGCAGCAGTACTGGTCGACCCGCGTTTCTCAGAAGCGTGGCAGACGCGGCGTTGCCTGACGCGGCGTTGCCTGACGCGGCGTTGCCTGACGCGGCGTTGCCTGACGCGGCGTTGCCTGACGCCTTTCAGTAGCTAAGCGCTCCTGTAGAAGTGGTGAGGCAGCGTCCAGCTGTGTGGTCCCATGACGTCACAGGGCTCCGGATCAGGAGTCGCCCACAGAAAACCTTCCTTATCATGGAGACATCACGCACCCAGAAACACAAGGATATATAAGAGTCACAGGGATATTGCCATGGCAGCAATGTACATGTCAGTCGAAGGATGCTATAGATGTGTGTGTGTAAATGTATCAGTGTGCACTGATAAATTTAAACTATACTCAACATCAAGTACACATGAAGTAAGTTTGCGTTCACTGCACGGTAAAAGCTCAGAAAAACAGAATATAAAAACACTACAGAAGGTGTCTTATCATCTGTGAGGACCCTGTTTTAAATTAAAAAAATATATTCTCACTATAAATGAACTTGAATCACTGTTCAAAGCATCATTACTGCTTTTATTATGAAGGACTTTTTTTAATGGAAGGTTAATTACACCGACCTTTCCGTCTACCTCTATTCCCACCACTTCCTCTCCTCGTCTGTTCTTGTCATCATCCTATTATGACGAGCAACACTACTCGTGCATTAAGGCTCCTTGGCCTGTGCTTCAATAAGTCACTTTAACCAATAACTAAAGCGTTTGTTGTCTCCACTTCCTGCCAACTTCCTGTGGAGAGGGAAGTCCGTCCCCGTGTCAATGTGTTGTGTGGTCAGATGTCTGTGTTAACCACAAGCTGAAGACATCTCAATGTCTTTAAAGTCTGCGTGTCCTCACTGGGTCCTCCTTTAGCTGGATGATGGAGATATGAGGTCATGTGACCGTGCTGCGGTTCCTTTAAAACCTAATATGGTCCTTTTCCTGTTGCTTCATTTGTGAAGATAATCTTGATGGACAAAACACTAAAGATTCATTACCGTTTGTTTGCCACTGAGATGATTTTCTACACTAATCCAAAATCCAAAGGATACACAGAGCTGTGTGGGCAAACTGGTGCCATGATACGTTCTTCTGAAACGGAAGGCGGGATGAATGAACATCCACCTTGCCTCTCGTTTCAGACACCACCCTTCCTGTTTGATTGCAAGCCCCGCCCTCATTGGTTCCACGGGTGTCTCGTTCCCCTGTGTGTGTCTACCTGTTCTGGGCCAGTTTGACATATTAGCTGGACGCCCGGACTCGAAAGCAGACTTGAGGTGAGGTAGTCAGGTTTTCACTTCTAGCAGAGGAATCCGAATCAGCAGGCAAAGAGTCACAGGGAGGGGGGTGCAAAAACGGGTGAAAACACAGGAAGGCACACTGGCGCATATCGCTGGTAACCTCATGGACGTTAAGAGACAACAGTTGCGTTCGCTACGTACACGTAGAAATGAGCGTTGGCGTCAGACCGCGGAGAACAACAAGCTGTTGTCAGTGATTAGCAGCAGGTGTACAACGACGGACAAAGTCGTCTTGACCTCCCCAGTGGTTTATCCACTGAGGTTCGCCAATTTGGCCGTCGCCATTTTGTTATATGGAGGAGATTGCTGAGTGTGACGCAGAAATGCTATTTAACCAAACGGACTACCATTTACTCCAAAAAAACGTACTGTACTGAAGGAGACTTGAGATTGAGACCATAAACTCATGTTTACAAATTTACCCCCCTCCCCCCTTTCAACTCGTCCTTCACTTTTAAGGGAACAACAAACCTGTAAAGTTTCACAAACGCATTTTCAACATGCTAAAATATCTGTAATAAGGGCAACTCTTGTCTTCCAAAAGCCCTGCTTTGGGCTTGTAAGCCCCTCCTTCAGAGATTTCCCACCCCCATCTGAATGTCTCCGAGGGCGATGCTAACGGGGCACAGAGCCCCGTCTCCGCTGGCTGAGGGAGGACGGTCACCAGCTAAAGTGGGTCACTTGGAACAGCAACACGTCGAGCAATTATGGGCAATTAATCCTGCTATCTCCGCTCTGGATCTCTCTATTTAAACCGGCCCGTTCTGCTCCACTTGACGAGCACTCTCAGCGACAGCCGATGTGCCATTTCTTTCTCTGGTCTTTCTCCACCCCTCCTCACACACAAGCGCGCACAGCAGCCAGCGCTAACCGTGGCTGCCCCGATGCTCGGCGAGGCTTTAAGAGCATTGACGCGGCTCGCTTTGGGGTGATGGAAAAGTCCGGAATCAGCAAGAAGGCGCCGGTGAAAACAACAAGAAACTCTGGGGTCGTGAGTTCATCCTCAGGCCTTTGGGTACTTCTCTCCTATCGTCACCATCAACAGGCAACAATTGAAAGCATTTAGTCTTACAGGATCAGGTGCATCATGGGTATCGACTTGTCCGGCAGCGGTCGCACTTAAGTCTCCCCCTGTGGTCCATCAGTTGTCAGGACTGCGGTCAGAACAGGAGAGGATGCAGCCGATAAGCTGTGCTGTCAGAGCGGCTCAGGCCCCAGTGGATCACATGGTTCAGACGCCCTTCAGATGCGCTCAGCAGCTGTAGTGTGTGTGTGTGTGTGTGTGTGTGTGTGTGTGTGTGTGTGTGTGTGTGTGTGTGTGTTCAGTAGGACTCGTCATGGGCGGTGGATCTCAATGAAGCCTGCGTCTGTCAGATTAGGCACCAGCTTTTGTTGATATCTGGAGTGAGGCCACGTTCAAACCGGCTCAAGCTCGGCTTCAGGAAGGTCTCCAGGGGGGCTCTGAGGGGCTCTGAGGGGCTCCAGGGACTGTACTCATCTCCAGGGACCGGTTTTATCAAATGAGTCTTAGCCATGTTTAGCCAACTTTTATTGGTTCTTTAAATATGAGGTGGTCTTGCTCTTTTGTGCCCCCCATCTCCCCCGAGTACCAGCACAAACGGACGCACACCCTGTTTGGATGGTGCTACTGTTGTTGCACTGTGCAGCTGTCTGCTTCTGGCTTTTTAGCTGAAATTGTGTGTGCACTTTCAATTGGTTCATATGTGGTACTATGGGATTTATTCCCACTATGCCCATATTACTGTGGCTATTGTTTCATGGATGTGATGAGCGAAAGCCAAAGCTAACTTTAGATAACACGTTACCCAACCATTTGTAAAGGTCTACTCGGACCCGTGTGGCAAGCAAACGCTCACTCAGCTTCTCACAAATATCCAGTAAACGCCAATCTCAGAATCCCAGCTGCTAGTGTGAAGTCTAGAGGTCACATCAGAAACCGCTACACCTGCAAACCGTTTATCTGTACATTTTTTGTTGAACACAAAGACCACAGTACACGGATTGATTGTGTGCATGAGATCATTTAACTGCACAGACCTCCAGAGGAGGAAACCTGAGCCCCTCCTGACTGACCTCACTCTCTCCTCGCCGTCTGCCCCCCTGAGCATTGATACTCCTCATAGAGAGTACATTTGGACGTTTTTTACACATCCAAAAGCAACTAATATCTTCTATTCCTTACTCAAATTAATCCTCTGCATAGTTGCAGTTCTCCACTTTGTGAGATTCTTTTTTTTAAATGGTGTGTTCATTAATGGGTTCAGCAGGAGATAATAATAATAATAATAATGATAATAATAAAAGTCTAACTATTAGTAAAGACCAAAACAACATCCTGCTGTGGCTCTCAGACCGTTGGTTCCCATTGAAGAAGACGCATCACATTCGTAGTTCAGTAGAAGAAAGAAACTTCTGGTTTCTGCCATTATCATTTCACCATTCGGCTCTTTGCTGAGGATGAAGCTCAGTTTGCCTCTTGGCCATTCCTCCAGTGTTGTTTGTGCATGTGTAGGAGCAGGCCGCGGGGTGCAGATCTATGCAGCTACACTTCTATTTCCTTACTCATAATGCTGCATGTGTGGAATCCTCAGGCAGTTTTGTGATGCAGCTCATTTACTACCACTTGTATCTTCAGGTGCTGCTTTGACTGAGCACAGCCCGGATCACTGGGACATTCAGCTACTCGGCTCTGACAGGTGAAGGTAGAACGAGCAGCTGAGCGTCTCTCCCAGGGAAGAAGTGATGCGTTTGATTTTTCCAAGGCCGATTAGAAGAGCAGCTGCTAGCATGGACTCCCCTGGTGGTGTTACAGTCTGCTAACAGGCGGATTAAGGCATCTATGGCTGAATGGATGCTCAATGGACCTGCACTTGTTTAGTGCTGTGTTCATATGCAAATTCTGACCATTCCACAGGATGTTAAAGTGTATATATGATTAATGACCTGTCATACGAACGTAGCAATGTGTGTTGTTGACTAGTGTAGAACAATAATGCCCAGAATGTTTCTGAACTGAGAGCCACGGCCTTTTTCTTGCAGGTTGGAGTGGGTGGAGATCATCGAGCCGCGCACGCGGGAGCGCATGTACGCCAACCTGCTGACGGGCGAGTGCGTGTGGGACCCCCCGCAGGGCGTCTGCATCAAGAGGACCGGCGACAACCAGTGGTGGGAGCTGTTTGACCCCAACACCTCGCGCTTCTACTACTACAACGCCTCCACCCAGCGCACCGTGTGGCACCGGCCCCAGGCCTGCGACATCATCCCACTGGCCAAGCTGCAGACGCTGAAGCAGCACACGGACACCACCGACCCCCGTCCCGCGGGCGGAGGAGGGGGCGGGAGGGCGTCGGCGGAGAACAGCCCGGGACGCAACAGCGGGGTGAGCCGCGAGGGGAGCACCTCCTCCTCCCTGGACCAGGAGCTCTCTGAGAAACAGGGAGGCAGGGACGAGGCGGACAGGTGAGCTCTGATACGCTGCCTCGAGGCAGGAGAGGGGTTCTGTTTGTCTGCACATCCTCGTGTTGTCGCACTGACGACGGATGTATTTATATATCGATCCCTCGTGGGAGATATACTGTATATAACGACCACAATCTATAATCTTCTTTTTCCTTTATTTCTCTCTCATCAGTCCTCTGTCCTCACAGTCTCAGTCCATTAACTTCTGTCCTCTCTCACCTTCATAGCCTGTCACCTCCCACAACCCTGTTTTAATCTGCTGCATTCTACAGTGATTGGCTCGGGTCACAGTGTCCTGTAAATGTCTTCTTTAGTCCAGTGAGAGGACACACACGTACACACACTAACGCACTTACTCACTAGTTAGTTCTTCTGTCTTAGTGACTTGGGACAATTATCGACATTTTCTAGCCTTACACACACCTTCTGTTCGAGCATCTCCAAATTAGTTTTTTCCAACAGGATTTTCGTGTACTCATCACAAACAAATATATGAAGGCTTCCCACCTACAGACTGGGTGCAGCGATTACACACTAAAGCCTTTCTGGGCCGCTGAATTCATTGTGATGGAATCCGAAATATGGATGTCTCACAGTATGAGCAGATAGTGGCAAAGGAGCTTGTTAGACCAATAATGTAATCAAGCATTTTCTTCTGCTGCTTCATAATAAAAGCTTCATGTTGATCAATATTTCAGAGGCTTTAATTGTGAAAGAAGCCATAAGAACCAAAAAGATGAATTGCTCAGGTCACTTTTCATAAAGAAGAAGAAACAGTAGTGAAGCAGTGCGCACGCTGTTCACTCTCCACCCACAGTAGTAGAAGGCGGAGCCTGATTTACTTTTTTCATGGGAGGTTCTGATATGAAAACGATGAGGATGTCCAATGACTCATGTCTCTATTACACCGGCCACGCATCTGAACGTGCACAGTGCACAACCTTCTCTCGTGTCATCGAGAGCCAGCGCTGAGCCGAGCAAGGGTCCGTTTGCTGTGGAAGTGGAGTGTCAGGCTGAAGACGGTCTCTGGAGAGAGTGAAGGGTGTTAAGGAGAGCAGTCTGTTATAGAGCACACTGCCCTCCTCTGTGACAGATGGGAGCATTTGACCTCCACACAGCTCTACCAAGGATCCCATTAAAGGAGGAGAGAGAGAGAGAGAGAGAGAGAGAGAATGTGTTTGTCCTCCTCTAAAATGCAGCGGCTGAATCCGTCAGCACCGAGATGCACAGTATGATGAATACATGCTGATGTGGAAGATTTGATCCGACAATGTGGTCTTTGGAATAAACTCATTCATACAATAAACGTTTCACAATTAAATATGAAAGAAAATAGATCAATTAAATCTCCTAAATTAGCAAGCACAATCAAATTTAAGCTCAAAACGTCCCTTAAAGCTGCCATGTGTGGAGTGAGACAATGCGACACAATACAGGAAGTCGAGTTTGACTAAGATGAAGCAGTTCATCAGATGAACTCAGGCATGACTAAAGAACTGAATCTTGAATAGGCACTGTGCCGCTAGCCGAAGGCAACAGCCCTCAAAGACCTTTTGGCATGAAAAGAAATGGCTCTGTGGTACAAAGCTGCAATTCACTGCAAGTGATTTGCACTGTTCACACATGCACTACGTTCAGGAATAGTTCCTTCTTCACACGCTCCTTTGCAATGCCGCAATAGAAGGGACAAAAGGGGCGGCCGGGCAGATGGCAGCAATGCAGCCCTCATGGCTGCCGCCATAATTCCTAGCAGAAAAAGAAGGAGTGGATGCCCTGTCAGGACGTTTGTCTCGACGGCAGAAGACGTCTCTTTTGGTCAGGAACATGGCGGGCGAGGGGCTGTAATGTTTCGGGTCAACAAGTCCCAGACTCGTCAGGCCTCTGGCTGATGAGTCACAAGTGGAGCGTAATACACTTGACGGTGGTCCCCGATTTCTAAGCATATTGAGCAACACAAGAATGAAAGAGGTGTGTGAGGTGACTCCCTCGTTGGCTTGGTTAGTCCACCTTTTAACAATGAGGCTGAAAAGTACTTTTGCTTGATGTGAAAATGCACAAAAGATTCCGAGTTGTCATTCTCAGCTCTGCTTCCTGCATCCAGTCTTTACCTTAATTCTCTGCGTCTATTATTGTGAAAGGGAATTATTCATGGAAGGTCCAAGACACTCTTTGATGCTGCACTTGTGTGTGTTTGCGTTTGTGGGGAGAGGCCTGGTGGCACAGCTGCAGACTGTCAGTCCAGATGGCTCTGGAGATCTGCTCTCACGCATGCCTTATTGGATCTGGTTGTGTGTGAAGTGTCTACCAAGTCTTTCAGTCTCACACACACACACACACACACACATGCACACAGACAGGAGCAGCAGTGGGCATTCAGCCAGCAGAGTCACAGATACCATGTGGTCTGGACGTGTATAATCCTGATACACATGAAGCCTTTTCATGTTGCAACTAGTGCAAATGATGTTCTGTATTCTGTCTCGGTGGAGTATTGTGCATCTCTGTATCACTCTTATCCACATTGAGAAACAGTTTCCATTGATAAATGCATCCATTTTAAACATGGATACCATTTGTGCAAACATAATCATTTTCTAATGGATGAATCTCTAATAGACGCTGCTGAAGCCCCGCGTTAGCTTCAACTGAGCTCTGGCATGCAGAAGCCGACAGGTCGCGACCTCTGTGTATTAAACTCTATGTATGAGCACATAAGCATGTTCTTTGTGTAAAGGTGGGGAGAAGACATTATGCTTCTTCTGATCTGTGATTCCATGAGGCTCAGAAGGCAGCGACCACATCGGGACAACCTCTGGTGACCCACCCAGTATGGGACAGTATTATGTTCCCCTTTCTGATAATGTGGCTACATTCAGAGCTCATGAGTCATGCAAGTTCCATTAGTATTCAACCCCCTTTTGACCTTTCCACATTTTGTCATGGTATAGCCACAGATTGAGATGTATTTCACACAAAATAGTCCATCTTCTGGAAGTCTGGGAAAGTTTACATGGATTTCAAAATCATTTACAAATAGAAATCTGAAAAGTGTTGAGCGCATATGTGTTAATGCCCTTTACTATAAACCCCCACAAAGATCTGGTGTTACCAATTGCTATCACATAATCAGTGATTAGGGGCCACCTGTCTGCATGTATAATGTCTACGTTGAATTCCAGTTTGTAACAGTACAAAATGGGGAAAAGGTCCAAGGGGGGTGAATACTTATGTAAGGTACTGTAATAAATGTGCACAGGGGAAGGGATGTTGTTTGGCGTAGTCTGTTTTCATGCAGAATGCTGGGGAATGTACTGAATGCTTGTTCTTATGCCGTTATTATCTGTGAGCAAAACCATTATTTATTTGGATTCCCTTTTATTAAAAGAACAGAAATTTTTATCAGTAGATAAAATTTGTTGACATTTCATTTTTATACATATATATACAGAACCTTTTCCTAAACCACTTTCTAGAAGCATGAATTTCATGTCCTTATTGATTCATAATTCATTTGATAGTAATGGATTATTGAAGGCTGGTTTTCCAGAGGGGTTTGACCAACATTGACCAAAGGCAAACCTTTGGGAACCTTTCGGTGTTTGCTGAATAATCAGAATACAGCTTCTCTTCAGGCCTGGAACAGGATAAATAGAACAGATCGGTTTAGCCATTCGGCCTGTTCTCATACAAGCTTGGAGTCTACAAAAAGTGAAACTCTGTTTGCAAGGTATCATAACTTGTCCTGGCAGTAGGTGAGCGTGTTTGTGTACGGCATAGAGGTGCCGACTTCTATAACCGGCAACGTAATCAACACGGACTCACTTCTGGCCACTTTGGGATGCGACGGCACCTTTGGTGAAACGTCACCGACTGCAGTCTAAATGAGTTTCTTGGTGAGGAGAAGTAAGATTAGGAGGAAGCATCCGCATGTCGAGACGGTCTGGAAGAGTAAATCGATTGGAAGGACATTGATCGTGAATAATGAAGGCTGATTAAGGATTAGTAGAGGCTGAGCAGGGCACACAGGTGGGGATGGATGGACACTTGATGAACGGAGGAAGACAGAGTAGTGGATCAATAGATGCCAGCACAGCCCAGTAATGCTTAATCCCCCCCCCCTACTCACGCACCCCTCACAAGCAAACACTCCCACTGCCACCAATTGAGCGCCGGCCCCGGGGATCAGTCTTTGGAAACGGAGGGGCGGCCAAATACTGCAATCGATGTCACACTTCCGTCCCTCGCGGCCAGTTTGCTTCTTGTTCCAGCATCCCCCCCTCCCCCACATCCTCCCACTCCCCCTTCTCCAGCGAGCTGTTCTCTGACAAACAAGCCGCCTGCGAGAGGAGTAACTTCATGAATGTGAACAAACAAACAAGATAAAAAGATGACAAGAAAATGGTTTTGAACTGCGCGGTTTGGGGTTTTACTACACAAAGACCATCAACACCTGAAAGCAAGTTCAGCCTGGATTTCAAATGGTGAAATATAATTAAAAAACTGAAGTTGTAATCCGTGTAAACAGTTGAATGTATGTGGATAACATAACTGGTTGAAAAGTTCAACCAGTGTAGAGGATTATTCCAGTTGGCACAAAGGATACGATATTAAAACTGCCATGTCCTGTGGTGTGAATGTCTCTTCATCGCCCCCCCCCCACCTGACCCTTATTCTTCTGTCTGTCTTCTGCTCTCAGAACTTCTCCCTTCAGGTGGAACACAGGTACCAAGGAGCGAATGCTAATCAAGGTGACGGACAGAGAGCCCAGCTTCTTGGCCCACCAGGGGAACGGTTATTCCCCCTGCGACCCGCCCACACCCGGTCCTCCCTCTGGAGGGGGCACCACCTCACGCACCCGCCGTTCCTCGGGAGGAAATCCGCCACCGGAACCCGATGGCTCGCCCGTCCTCTACACCGACCGCCGCCAGTCCCCCTTCCTGAAGCGGGCCGAGCTGGGCGGCACAGGCACCCACCGCCGCTCCTCAGCCGACTCCCAGCCCCCCTCGCCGCGCTACGGCTATGAACCGCCCGCTGTATGAGGAGCCGCCGTCAGAGTACCAGCCCCCTCCCATCTACGAGGAACCGCCCACTGACATGCACCTCTCCGACGCCTTCTACGGCACCGGCAAGTCACCTGCCCGCAAGTCTTCGGCCCCCCTCTACCACTCCCCCAAGCAGGCGCAGTCGCCCTACGGCCAGCTGGTTTTGACCCATCAGAAGTGTCCAGAAAAGACCCAGAGTCTGGAGTACAGTCCTGTGGGGAAGGAGTACGTCAAGCAGCTAGTGTACGTTGAGCAATCATCTTCCAGCCCCCGCTTCAAGACCGCTGACCGCCTGCTGCGCTATGGCACCACGGGGGGCTATGGTGGCTCGTACGGGGGGTCATATACTCTGCAGCACAGCCAGTCTCTGATCAGGGACCCCCGCCTACTGCTGGACTACAGTGGGGAGAGTGGAGAGGGAGGCCAGAGGTTGCTTTACGAGGACTCCATCTCCTGGTCGTCCAGTCAGACCCACTCACTCTCTTCTTCCTCGACCGGCGGTCCTGGGGCTTTCTCCCCCGGAGGTAACCGCAAACGCAAGAGCCGCAAGCCGTCCCTCCCCCAGGAGCTGGCGCGCTGCGTGGGGCCGGAAGGGGAGCTGGCGGGCACGGCGTCCGAGGCGATGCTGGCCCAGGCGAGGCTGGCGTGGGAGGCCCAGCAGGTGATGAAACAGAGGAGCAGTTGGGACTCGGGGCAGGGCGGCGGGGTGGCGGCCCACGGCGGCAGCTGCAAAGACGGTTACGAGAGTGACGGGGCGCTGCCTCTGCCGTTGCCGGGGCCGGTGGTGAGGGCGTTCAGCGAGGACGAGGCGCTAGCGCAGAGCGACGGCCACCACTGGAAACGCAGCACCTTCGATCGGCTGGGCTTCCCCCAGGCGCTCCTGGAGAAAAGCCTCTCCGTCCAGACCAGCCTGGCCTCCCCTGAGCCTTACCTCCACCCCTCACAGGTACAGCTGCATGCTGGGAGTCTGTGTCCACATTAAGGACTACAGCAAAATTACAATTTAGGTCTTATTTCTTTTACATACCACACCTCTGATCATGATTTTCCTCTAATTTGTTATTGTGGTCATTTTGTGCAACGCTATTACTTGGATGAGGAGAATTACATTAGATCACATTTTAATAGAATAGATAAAACTACCAAAATAAGACCCAACTTTTGATAAACCACAATTATTGTTTTTGGATATCAATACCCATCAGTTTATTATGAAGTAGTCTCTGCTCTCTGGCTTCTTAGAAATGTTACTTTCCTAAAGATGAATAAAGGAATTTCTAAGGTCCCGTATGTTATTGATTAACATAGTGTAGGTCACATGTAAATCCTACAACACTGCTGTGGTTTTTGACAACGTGTGGGTATGGATCCAGATTGTAAGATGTCTTTGAACGATTTCTTTCTGGAGAACTGCTGTGGTCATTGTATAATCTGAATTATAAATGAGAGCAGCTGATCAGCCGGAAAGCTGAAGCCTTACCCCAAGCTAGTCAATGAAACACCAACACACACCAGCAGTGCATCTCCAGTCTGTTATAAAGTCATCGGTGTTTCATTTAAGGCTGCTCAGCCTCAGCTGGGCTTATGTAACAGTCACACTGCCGCCTGGTCCAGTGAGACCCTTTCACTGCACACACATACTCACACAGAGAATAGTAAAACAAAGGATGTTCAAATGTGGTTTTTGTACCTGTTTTCACAATGTTTGAATGATACACCACTATCCGGTGAACAAAGAAAAAGTCCTCCCTAGCTAGACACATAATACATAATACATCCAGCACTTAAATGGCTCCACGATCCTTTTATACAACATGAACTCCCTAAGCATAAGGAGAAGTGGATGCTCAGACTGAAAGTGCTTTGCGAAAATGGAAATATGAACATCAATATTCCCATGGCAACAGGGCAAACTCGCTCTAATGACCGGAGCTCATCTGACAGAGAGAGAGAGGGAGAGTAGTGGGAAAACAAATGTGGAACTGTTTTCTAAAAGAAATGTTCGTTGTCACTTTAGCACGTTGTAAAGTGTCGTAGCTCGCCGTGAAGAGAGACTGATGGCCGTCTAATCGACTAGATAGCTCGTTCTCCTCCGGCTCACCAATGTTACGTTTTGAGACCAAACCGATATCTGACAACGACAGCAAACGCGTTACAAAGCAGGAAGCTTTCATAAACTTTTCACTTCCAAGGTTATTAGTCTACGTGCCCCTATTCGAGGGCCGAGAAGCTGCTTCATTGACATTAAGGTGAGATTGTTTTTGTCACTTTCCATATGTGCTTGCACTGAGCAATTCTTTGCTAATAAATAGTTCCACTGTGATTGCTCTAGCGGCTTCACAATAAAAGCCCCCTGCTGGTTTATAAGGCGAAAGCGGAAGTGGCAAGAACTATTTTACAATATGTGCCCCCCCATAGGGAAGACAGAAAATGACGTAAGTATATATAAAGGCCTGGATAAATGTATGAAAGAAATACCGGCATAAATAGGTAAATGCTAAAATAGATGTATAGATAAATAAATGTATAAATAAAGGCTGAAATAAATACAGAAATATTGCTGAAATGCTGAAATACATGCTGGAATAACTAAAGAATGAATAAATGCTGAAATAAATATGGAACTAAATCCATAAATAAATGTGTGAGTTTAATAGGAGAAATGCCTGTGTCAGCGACTGTATGATGCAAGGGAAAGTCAAATAAATACTATGTTTAAGCAAACATCTGAAACCGCTTTGAACCGCTTCGAAGATTCTTATTTCCTAAACTCTGTTTCACATTTCTAACAGGAATAACACAAAAGTAAACATAATGCTAATGACAAAACTGTTAATAAACAGGCTTCAGTGAACTTTTCAACTGATATTTTTTTCTCAAATGACACTGAAAATATTTGCCTTCTGCCTTCATTGTACGGACCCCCCATCCACTGGGTGTGACGCTGTGCGGCCGTGGAGTTTAAACAAATTAGAAAGTAGTGAACTCCATGTAGCTGCCTAGTTCAGTTTCATTTAACGTTAGTATGTTGGCACTTTGAACAACAGTATTTAGCTAAACAACTGCTGTTATGCTGCTTTAAACGTTTAAACAGAAACGTACAGTTCTCAAGATGCTGAGACACAATAGCCCATTAACATACAGGCAAATGTAGTAATAGATTTATTTAATGGTTATTTAGGTGTCAACTTTAATTCATGTTTATTCTTTTATTTATTCTTTTATTATTTCAAAATGGATTTGTTTATTCTTGTCTCTATTCATACATTCATTCTAGCATTTTATTATTTATCAGTGATTAAGTCTCTGTCCTCCATACCCAAATGCTGCTGTGTGTTTTTTTAAACTGGTCAAGCCAATTCAAGCAGTGCACACATGGTAATGGCACGAGGCTCCGGGCAGCGCACCAAAGGAACACCACGATGTCTCCATCACAGTTGATTAGATCTGTCAAAGTGTCACTGCGTGGGAGGTGACGATGAGTTCCAGTAGAGAGTACTGTGGATTTGCCTGGGATGCAACCAATCTGTATTTCCGCAGAAACAGCTGTTTAGGTGTGATGTAAAGAAAGGGGACATGAAATGAACACACAAGCACCGGTCGCTCTGATGACATGTTGCTTCACGCCAGTCCTCCGAGAAGGCTGAGAAGCACTTAGCCGAGAGGAAAATAGGCTGTCGCTCCCGTTTCTGTCTGTCGGCTCCCACCATTTTATTTCACCAGCTTTGCGTTTCTTTTTCAAATTCAGCAACGCTTGGGGTTAGCGATGGGGGTGTGAAGCGAGGAATCTGCTGAGCGGACTCGAACAAACAATCATTTTAATCACTAACTGAGAAAGACTAATTCCCGACGAGTTGAAATGGCCGCCAGCATTATACAGGAGTGTGACAGAACCAACGGACAGGTCAACCGTTTAATCATTTCATTTGCTAATCACAGAGCAAATTATCCTAATATGTGTTATGAATAAGCATCATTTTAAAATAAAAAGTAGCTCTCGTTAGGAGGATTTTGATGCTCTCCGAAAAGCATCACTTTCAATTCCCACAATGCATAAGCAAGCACATGGGACGTACCGCTGCTGTCGGCAGTCGTCAACCACAAATAGTGGGTAAATGTATTAAGTAGAAATAGAAACTGGTATAGAAAATACCAGTACATAAACACACACCGAATATATAATTATATATATATCTCCATGCAAATACGTTATTGGAACCCCTTGCTAGTAAAAGGTTGGACCCCCTTTTACATTTACAACTGCCATAATTTGTCCTCAGAGGTGTTGGTCCATGTTGACCCGATAGCATCACGCAGTTGTTGCAGGTTTGTCGGCTGCACATCTATGATGCAAATCTCCCGTTTCACCACATCCCAAATGTGCTCTATTGGATTGGGATGCGGTGACTGTGGAGGCCATTGGAGTTCGGTGAACTCATTGTCACGTTGAGGAAACCAGTTTGAGATGAAATGACCTTTGTGACATGATGCATTATCCTGCTGGAAGTGGCCATCAGAAGACGGTGCACTGGTCATAAAGGGGTGGACATGGTCAGTAACAACACGCAGGTAGGCTGCAGCATTTAAATAATGCTCAAATGGTACTAAGGGGCCCAAAGTGTGCCAAGAAAATACCCCCCCCCCCCCCCCCATTATACCAGCAGCCTGAAGCGTTGTACAAGGCAGGATGATCCATGCTTTCATGTTTACTCTGGGAAGCTGTTCAGCTGAAATGGAGACTCATCAGACCAGGCGACGTTTTTACAATCTTCTACTGTCCCTTTGTGGTGAGCCTGTGTGAGTTGTAGGCCCAGTTTCCTGGTCTTAGCAGACATTAGTGTCCTCGGTGGGGTCTTCTGCTGCTGTAGCCTCTTCTTCAAGGTTCCTCGTGTTGTGCGTTCAGAGATGGTGTTCTTCATTCCTTGGTTGTAACGAGTGGTTCTTTGAGTTCCTGCTGCCTTTCTATCATCTCCAGTCTGTCCATTCTCCTCTGACCTCTCACACCAACAAGGCATTTTCGTCCACACAACTGCAGCTCACTGGATACTTTCTGTTTTTGGACCGTTCTCTATAAATCCTGGAGATGGTTGTGCGTGAGAATCCCAGTAGATCACCAGTTCTTGGCGTACTGGGACCAGTACGCCAAGAACTTAATACATATAAAGAACAAACTATTCAATCAATGAAATAGCAATAATACTACAATATTTATTTTTATGTTTTAATTAGTATATAATACCCTGAAATAGGAGTCCTTATGTTTTGGGTATCTTGCCATGAGCACATCATATCTACATACATATTTTTCTAGCAGCAACCCCTGGTTTCGCACTCGGCGTCCTACACACTGGACCTTTGCATCTAATATCCAAACTCGTCATGAAGAGTTCGATAAACGCAACCGCCTACCACCACAAAAGACCTTTTACCAAAATACAACACAACGAATCCTCAAAAACCACGTCTCCATGGCAACCCTATACTTGTATGGTACTTCCTTTGTGTTTATTGCCTTCTACACAGTATATATGGGCTCTTGTAGCAATCATGTTATTGGATGCATTCGAGTGACTTTAGTTGCGTAATTCTTTTGTTGGTCCTCAACCGTTCCTTTTGATTTCGATTTTCATCACGACGCAAGGTATAAAGGGCCTCTTTGTTTGTTGCATATTTACGTATTAACGCGTCAGTATTAATCCCAGCCGGCTCCCTCGGAGCGCGACAGAAGCTCTCCGCTCTCAAAGGTCCGCGGCAGCAGAGATGACTGACATTTTGTGTTGCCTCCTCTCTCCTCCGTATCTCCACCCGTCAGTCGGAGGACCTCGGAGCCTGCGCCCAGTTTGAGGCCAGCCGAAATGCCAGGAACATGATGCCGAGCGCCAGCTGTGGCATCTTCCCAGAGTTCACCCTGAGAAAGCCCTCCTCGGAGACGGACATCGAGAACTGGGCGTCCAAGCACTTCAACAAACACACGCAGGTAGAGCATGTGTGTTTCTGACTTTGGGACAGGGCTTTTGATGTGTATCTCTATCGTCATAAGTGTGCTGCTTAACCTTTTGGCTCAGATGTCTCATACTGTACAGGTGAAAGCAATACTGTTACTGTCTGCCCGGGTTACACTGCTTGGTTTCAGTTATCAGCTGACCACTAATCAGGTTTAGCTGCTCAAAACATAATACATGAGTGGAAACCTCTTAACACAGGGTCCATCTGGTTTCTGGCCTCAAGATCCAGCCTCCGAAACAATGGGACTGTGTTGAGCAAAGTATGCGAGCTGATGTGACCTTTGGATTGGGGTTTGTATTAACATTTTGCCCATCCAGACCAAAATTCATCCAGAACCAAGTTTTGAATTCAAAATTTCAATTTCACCAAACAACCTCTTTTTTTAGGGGGAGGAAGGGGTGTTTGGGTGAGATTCAGGACACTGTACCACGTGATGAACACCACAGCAGCTTGATTCCTTCCAATTGCCGTGTGTAGAAATGGCCAAAGCACAGGTGTATATGATGTCAGCGAGCTGGCTAACCGAAATGGAATGCCGTTGTCATGAATGTTAATAATTCCCCCTGGGCTCTGTCCTCCATTGGCAAGTCAAGCTGTCTGCTGTATAAAAGGGTCTATAAAGGAAATGAGACAGAGAGTGGAGCGCTTAGTTACTGACGTGGTGCCGCTATGGGGGGGGGGGGGGTAAAGGTTATGTATGCGTCTTTGAGAGGCCGGTGCATAATTTATACCTTTTTAACATCTGGCAAGAATGTGTCTCAAACCACCTCGCAAGAGTCAGGGACAGATTTCAATGCATCCACATAACAAAGCCTTCCTTCGCACTGCATCGTGCTAGAAGTAATTGCCTTCCTAAGTGCTAATAAAGCTAATAAAGTGCTAGATTTATTTGCACGAGAACAACCCAAGCTGATCAAATGGCCACTGGTCTAATCCTCTAGTTTCCCTCCATCCCCCGCCCGGTTTCCTCAGGGTCTGTTCAGACGGAAGGTGTCCATCGCCAACATGCTGGCCTGGAGCAGTGAGCCCATCAAGAAGCCCATGATTGTGACCTCGGACCGCAGCGTGAAGAGGGAAGCGGTGGACATCTTTAAGCTCATTCAGACCTTCATGGGCGACCGCCGCGCCAAGGTCGACTCCCTCGCCGTGGCTCTAGAGGTCTGTGCAAACGCCCCAAACACTCCGCTGTCCTCCCACCCATTGTCTCACTAATGTCCCACCTCGGTGGGCCTCAGCAGTGGTCCTCGGTGTGACCCTTCTTCAGGCATAGCCTTATTAGACGTCTAGGTGTGAGCTTCATGCTTCATTTGGGACTAACTAGTGTGGGATTCATAAACAACGGGCTCTGCAGTGCCTGAAGGATCCCTGTACTGTCCTTCACTGCGCTACTGCAGAATGTGCACCAGACTTAGCGAGCTGTGTGTCCTCGTTCACGGTGGGACTTTGAGGGGAAGCTTTTACAACCGTGGGGGCCTTGTTTGTTAAACTGTGCGTAGGATCTAGAGGTTTACGTGCACCCTAAAGACCAAATACTACTACAGAAAGCAAAACAACAAAGCTTTGTTTGAATTGGCAGGACTAGAGCTAGTTAACGTGACAGTAAACGTCCAATTTCCTATTCTAAATCCCAGAGGTGTTGAAGACGTCTAATATTCTTCCTAACTCTCCCAGAAATGTTCAGTACAAAATGCCTAATGAATATTGAGATACATGCTGACCTGGTAGAAAACATCAGCAGCTGTACTGATGTAATGTAATGTACTGATGTAGCCAATCCAGCTGTTACTGAGGCCCACTTTGAGCCAGCAGAACAACTTTATTGACACATCTAGCAGATCCTCAGTCCACCGGACGCCTCGAGTCCAATATTCTCAGCAGCCACTGTGCCCTGATGTTTCCCCATCAGGTGGTGGTGCGCGGGTGGAGCAACCAGGGTCTCCGGGACGAGTTGTACATCCAGCTGTGTCGCCAGACCACGGAGAACTTCCGCTACGACAGCCTGGAGCGAGGCTGGGAGCTGATGGCCATCTGCCTGGCCTTCTTCCCCCCGACGCCCCGCTTCCACACCTACCTGGAGGGCTACATCTGCCGACACATGGACCCTCTGAACGACACCAAGGGTGAGCGGGCGGCGCCCCACCCACACCACGCAGCCACTGTCCTCCCATCCAACCAAAGTGTTCAGTGACATTGTGTCGCAGGATTATGTTGAAACCAGTTGATTTAATCTTCTTAACCTTGGCTGAGGAAGATAAATAATGGTGGTTTGGGGTTTATATTCCACAGTGGTTATTTAGTGTCATAGAAACACATTGTCAATCACTATTTTAGTCGCAATGTTTACTCTCCTTTTTGCTCCAAAATTTGATTTCTCACTTTTATCAGAGCTTTGTTCCTGAAACACTCAGCAGCCAAAAAACACTATGAGAGCTATGAGAGTGACTCGAAACAGTCAAACAAGTTACAGTTGCAATCAAAATGATTCAACCCCCCATTGCACATTAGGTTTATTGGCAAAATATACAATTTCTCAGCTGTTTGCAATAAACAAATTACACAAGAATTGTTTAAGTAGTTTAATGTAACTAATTTTACAAAGGTTTTATCCAAATTCAACACAAAATGCTACTTTTAATGACTTTAATGAATTTACTGCAGTCTCAAAATGATTCAACCCCCTTCATATGTATATTTTGCCCATAAACCTAATTTGCAATGGGGGTTTAATAATTTTGATTGCAACTGTAGTTCCTTGATGTCATGAACACAACTGTTACAGCAAAGTAGTGAAAGTCCCTGAAAAGGTTCTTGTTAAATATTATAAAAAGGAATAAAAACTCATTGCAATCTACGACAATAGTGCAGAAGTTTAAATGTAGGGATACAAATGAAATAACTGATATGTTTTTGACACGTGACATGCATTGTCACACTTTTTGCAGATCCATGTATTACAAAACCTTCCCTCGTTTCGCTGGTAAGAGAAATATAACTGGTTTCTAGTTTTTGAAACATACGTTGTGAGGAGACCAAACACACCGGACAGGATTTCAAGGTCTTGGACACCGTGTCCCTTAAAGCTGACGGGGGACATGTGGACAATTTCTCGAGCACTCCTTAGTAGACGGAGGCTGCTCTGTGTCCACTACTATTTTTTTCAATAACAAATGTCAGTCTCCCACCATCCCAGTGGGTCTCTTCCAGCCAAAGATACAGATTTCAACGTATCGTTCTGCCACCGCCGCCACAAGCTCATCAATGCAGTTACACGCATTCTGCATCCAGATACGTCGTTTTTTTTCATTTAAACGACGGGGTGGGGTATTGATATTAGCTGCTCAGAGTACAGTCTGTCGGGAACTCCAGGATGAAATATCAGAAAAGAAGGAAACCGATATAGACACACAACCAGGCGAATCCCGTGTAGAATATCAGTTCCTGTAAAAAGCTCTGCAATGACAGGAAGCTGCAGCCGGCCTCCACGAGCAGGAGACGCCAAGAGAGACATCAGGGTTTCTGTGTGCAGGTCCAAGGTGGGCCTGTTTCTGCTCTGTGCCTGGTGCTCTGCTGCCCCCTACAGGGGCAGCGAGAGAACAGCAGCCACCCAACACGTGCTGTTTAGCTTGTCTTGGTCCTGTGAGGAGTTTCTTTCAAATGAAGAATGAAGTAAATATTGAAGTGCTGACCACGTCTGCGCCATTCTTTAGATGATTGCTTTTAAATATCGCAAAAATACTTTTGTTTATTTCCATAAAAAACATCTTGACTCGCCTTTAGCAATAAGGCTAAACTCTAAATATGATTTATGGGCTTTGATATATTTCATTTACTCATGTAAGACACCAACGTGTGTTATTTAAATGGATACAGTCTTAGCGCAATATTTTTTATTGGTATAATTACTGGATGTCGGTGTGAGCAACAATCAGAAGTGTTACTGTGAGCGGTAACTCGATTTATTGTGCTCGGCTAAGTTCAAATTGATTAATTAAGTGGTAAACTGGTGCATGACTCACAGGTTCTTTTCTGCGTGCCGCTTCACCTTTGACCCCGTGCTTATTAACAAATTCAAATTTTCTGCACTGTAGGAAATTGTTTCTTCTGAACATGCATGCAAAATGTAAAATATATCTTCTAATGGCCTAAATCCGTTTTCCTCCAGGAGTGGCCATTAGCAGCTATGCTAAATACTGCTACAGGAAACTGACAAAAGCTGCTCTGACTGGTGCCAAGAAGGTAAGCATTTTCATCAACAGCTCACAAATATATTCTTTCATTATTTCTTTGGGGCTAGTGGTGAGTTTTTACATGTGCTTTTGATTTCTAATAAACTACAGTGTGTGTGTGTGTGTGTGTGTGTGTGTGTGTGTGTTTATGGTGATGGGGGAAGGTCACAGTTTTGACCCTGTGTCCCAACATGCAAAATAAATGTTTAATACTGACACGGGGAGGTAATACACTCTATGTAGAAGGAAAGTGGCCTGCCCTCAGTCTCCAGCATCTATATACCGTGTATATACATGTATAGTTCACTTGTTAAACATTTTATTATGTTACTGCCTGATTCCTATATGGATTCCTCAGTTCCTCAAGATTCTCTTTTGTCATTTTCTGCGGATGTATTAAATATACAGTAAAGAAAGAAATTGAAACATGCACATAAGTATTCGGTCTTTGCTCAATACTTTGCATCAAGGACTTTTAAAAGCTTTTTTCCCTGATTAATCACTCAAATCTCAAGTGCCGCCTCCAGCCGGTAGCAGCTAGGCTCCCAGCCCGCGCACCGTGTACCTGTTAGTGCCAGAGCGCCAGCAGGTCGCTGACGGACATCGTTTGTCGCTTGTAGGACCCCGAGGTGTTTGCCTGCAGTAATCTCGCTCTCTGCTAGCAGCACAGCGGGTTCTCTGGATGGGTCCGTGTTCTTCACTGACATCTGAATGTGTGACTTTCATCCCGCTGCTTTCTGACCCACACCTGTCACGCACCCAGGCTGCCCTTCACCGGCCTGGCCGTGCTAACATGCACACCTCTGTCTCTCTTCAGGGCCTGCAGAAGCCCTGCGTGGAGGAGATCAAGCACGCCAGGAATGCCATCTTCAGTCCCTCCATGTTTGGCTCCTCCCTGGATGAGGTGATGGCGCTCCAGAAGGAGCGCTACCCTGACAACCAGCTGCCCTGGGTGCAGACCCGCCTCTCCGAGGAGGTCCTAGGCCTCAATGGAGACCAGACGGAAGGCATCTTCAGGTCAGTGGAGGAGACTGGGAGTCCTTAAATGGAAATCCGATGTCGGTGGTCACAATCGGAGTTCCTCTTGGGGTTTCTCACAGGCAGCATCTACACTTGAGATGCCGTTGAAGGGTTGATTAATGATCCATCCACCAGAAATATTAGATCCACTTTCCTGTGTGACCCAGTTCTCTCCCTCCACTGTCTGCAGGACTTGTAGAAATATAGAGAGTAGAGGAGGAATGTAACCAGCTTGTAACCTTTGACCTCCAGGGTGCCAGGGGACATTGATGAAGTTAATGCCCTGAAGCTGCAAGTGGATCAATGGAAAATCCCCACAGGACTAGAAGACCCACACATCCCAGGTTAACACACACACACACACACACACACACACACACACACACTCACTCACACACACACACACACACACACACACACACACACACTCACTGCTGAACAGCCTGAGATGTGCACACTGTGTACACTGAGCTGGTTCTGGCACCACACTGCTTGCTGCCATGCACATGCGGTGGATAAGTTGAATGCTCTCACGCTGTCCCCTGTGTCCCCGTGTCCCCAGCGTCTCTGCTGAAGCTCTGGTACAGAGAGCTGGAGGAGCCGCTGATCCCTCATGAGTTCTACGAGGAGTGCATCAGTCACTATGACAACCCGGAGGCCGCTGTCAACGTGGTGCTGGGCCTGCCGCACATCAACAAACTGGTGCTCTGCTACCTCATCCGCTTCCTCCAGGTAACACACACACACACACACACACACGCAGTGTGAAGCCACAGCCCACTGAATGTAATCACAAAGCAAAGACACAGTCCTCCAGTAATAAGGCTGCTTATGTGTATATCGTGTTTGTGACTTGAAACCCAATTAATATAAAAATGAAGTCATGACTTTTGACAATGCTCACTTTTAGAAATGATAAAAGGGAGAACTGTGGAGCTGAAGTAGAACAGGACTGCTGTTATTAACCTAAATGACTTGAGACTGGAGACTAGAAAAACACATATTCTCACTGATATCAGTTATTGTGGGAGCTATTCATTTGTAGTTATCATTTAGTTATTTATTATTGTTTAATTGTTTATGTTGATATAATATCAAGATAGCTTTTTCTGTTTTTGTAGTTAATTTAGTTTAATCATTTTTTGTATGCATAGTTTTGGTTAATTGTTTGGTTAATTGGACGACACCTGGAGGTTATTTAAGGGCATAGCCAGGTATAGGACCAGCATGCACCTGGGTGACACATAGTTTTTAGCCAGAGCAGCACAAGTTATATTGTATGTGTTTGTTGGCCTTCTGTGGAATGAATGCGAAACAAAAGGAAAATATCGCCCGGACAATCCGCTCTCTTGCTGGGTGAAAGAAACAAAACAGTAGGTGCGTCAGTGGCCCTTTGACATAGTATTTTATTGGCCCCAAGGACAAATGGACACTACAGTTATTATTTGTCTCTGTCATTTTTTGAAATACAAAATTAAGTGAAATTAATGGTTGGTCAATCGCAGCAACTACTTTGTACCAAAGTAGACATAGTTCCCAGTGAACATTTTACTACTTGTGTATCATCCAGAGGCACATTAACACTAAATCTACTAAGAAACCTCCTCATCTATTTTCTTTGAACGCAATCATTTAATTCTGTGAGCAGCACATGCTAATTTCCAATCATTGTCCTGATGAACCATTGTTTCCATGCAGGAGAAACAGAGTAGCCATGGTCTGTATCTATACATACAGAAGATGGTGACAAAGAGATTCAGTTCCTTTTGTTCTTTTGTGACCCTCTTAACAGCAGTCAGCTGTGGATGTTAAGTATTGAATGAAATGTACCTAAACTAAAGACGCAGAGAGACGCAAGGACACGCAGACGCAAGACCCGCTTGCGTGTCCCTTGCGTGCCTTTTCACACCTCCTTGCGTGCGTCGACCCATTTTTCTACGCAAGCCTCCTGCAGCCCTCAAGGCTGCGATTGGTCTGCTAACTACGTCCTTTCCGAAGTCTCACATTTCCGTTTTCATAGCCCGATACGGCCATTATTAAAACCAAGAATGTTTACGAGAGAACGGATCAGATTGAAGAGCTTTTGTATAAATGCGTAAATATGACCGCTTCTACAAGCCGTCTTTGGCGGACTATGAGGACGCGCGCATGGCCTCTGATTCATGGAGGGAGATCTCCACAAACGTCGGTTTGCCGGTCGAGGGGAACAAAGTTGGACAATACGGGACAAATGTGTCCGCGATGAAAAGCAGCAGTGTGGATGCACAGGGCAATAAAGTCTGTGATAAATAAATAAACCAACCAACGACTTCCACACACAAAGACGTGACTCTCTAGGTCGTCTTCAACAAAACACTTTACTCCACCTGTTGTTCTGGCGGTGAATTGCTCTGCAACACACGCAAGACTTTTAGAACCATGAATTGAAGCGAGTGCGTCGACACAACGACGCGTAAAGACGCAGACGCGCTCAAAAACAAGCGGCATTGTACCCATAAAATCAACTCATACGATCCTCCCCAAAACCATTCAACTCACCAAGCTGTGTGCCTGCATGGCAGTGGCCCTGTACTCAGCAGTGTGTGTTTTTTCTGTTCGCATCGTGCAAATATATATTGGACAATAAAAAGGTTTTCTTTAACACTCAGGCAAAATGTTTCGCAGTCAGCTGCAGCGGAACGGCGGACCAGCCGTGTACAGGCACTGAGGTGCACACTCCTGTTGGGACAGCACATGACCAGCACATGTTTGAATCACAGATTAAATATCAAGTATTTCCGTATTTCATGCAAAACCAACGTTTGTATCAATGTTGGCACGTTTGCGTCCGCAAAAGTCATGCTAATCAACACTGAACAAATGCTCACAAACAGCTACTGTGGACCACAAAAAGACCTTTAATCATGTTTCAGTTTATGTTTGAGATCAAAATGGCTAAAGTTGAAAATACCGGAGCAGCAAACCTTGAAAAATGAAATGTCCGACTCCTGTTTTGCATTTGCCGTGCTCAGGTGTTTGCCCAATCTGCCAACGTGACCATCACCAAGATGGACGTCAACAACCTGGCCATGGTCATGGCCCCCAACTGTCTGCGCTGCCAGTCCGACGACCCCAGGGTGATTTTCGAGAACACCCGCAAGGAGATGTCCTTCATCCGCGTGCTCATCCAGCGGCTGGACACCAGCTTCATGGACGGGATCCTATAGCCCCCCTCACACCCTCACACACACACACACACACACACACTGTCCATACTTTAGCCTCCCCTACGCTCCCTTTAACCCCCTCCATGACACTCCCCCAGCACAGGAATACGTACACACAGGTTGCCGCTCGGTGAACACCTTTGCCTCTCCAACATGTTTACTTTTCAGGAACAAAACTGCCTTGTTTGGAGTTTCACCACAGGACATTTAGAGTCGAACCAGCTGTTTTCCTTTTCTATTGCTGTCAATGTAGTCCTTTAATTGACATTTACATACACACAGTATTGGAGTTCCAAGGTTTCCAGTACTGTGTGTGCCTTCACATGCATCAATACAGTATACACGTACAGAATGAAGGACTTAGCAGGGATCTCATCATTTCACTGTGTTTGTTGTCACCGGCACACTCAGAGCTCAGGACCTGAAGGGTCATTTGAAATCCCGCTTCTTTGTTTTCTATGTACTGCTTGTGCTTTTGGTCTTCCCGGGCTTTAACACACGCATTGGCACAAAGAACATCAGCTCATGCACACGTGTACATTGGAGGTCTTGCCTTTCCGGGATTCCACCTAACACGCCATCACGATGTCAGCGAGACGTATGATCTGTTCATTCAAACATATATTACACACATGTTCCGACCACAGGTGTACACGTACTGTACACGGGCCAAGCGATGCATTCAGAGGGTTGGGCACCAGATTTCCACAAGATGTAAAACCTTGTTGCACCGTGCGGTCTGAGCGTGTCAGATACCAGGCGCGAGGGGGAAGCCGCCTCCATGTTTAAGGGGATAAAGCTCTGTGGGCAACTCAGTCATCGGAAAGGGGGAATCCAAATCTCTGCAGTTGGGTTTCAACTTCAAGGCTCCAACTCTTCCTCCATGTTGAGTTGTTAGAGACTTTAGCATGAACTGCGGTGAAAGTTTAATTCAAGATATTAAGTAGGTTGTGTTCAATTCAGAAAAGTCCATCATAGTCTAATATAAAAGTCTAATTTATATTCTATGGCCCTGATCTTTGTTTTTGCTGAGTGCAAACGTTCAGTAGCTTAACACTATGAAATGTCAATAGTACACGATTTACCTGTAATGTGGTACTTTTTGAAGCCCATCAGGTGAGCAAAAGTCCCCACAAAGAGAAAAAAACACACTAGTTGGACACTTTAATGCTGAGAGTTTTGAGTTCAATTAATAATAACCAAATTGATTTTCTTTATACCCACAGACTTTAAGTGGGATTGTTTCACACCTGTAATAACACCCAGCTGCAGTAAAGCCACGAAGCTCATTGGCTCCCAACAGGAGGAGTTCATAGACATATTCTCCACAATATTAGCGAATAAGACTATAAACTACCTCTCATCATATAAAGAATGATTATGAGCAGCAAGTGGGAAAATAGTCTAAAAATACTAAAACTGCTACTAGATTTGAGTCGATACCTCATCCCTGGTAAAAGAAAAGTATCATCAAAGCCGTCTGTGGCATCCAAATATTCTCAATGAGTACAATGAGTAATTTAATACTTGCTTACTTGTAGATTAAAGCGTTACAAGGAATCTGGCCAGCCTTGTTTAAATGTGTAAAAGCTTCTAATTTCCGTATAAGACAACGATTACACTTGTGTTCCGCAGAGTGAAGCCAATGCTGAGATTAAAACTTACAAACGTCTTTCTCTCTACTGACCACCAGGGGGCGACTCCTCTGGTCCTATAGAAGTCTATGAGAAAACATTTGTACTTCTCTCCTGATTTATCCCCTCAGTGAACATCAGTTATTTCAGTGTTGAATACTGTGCTGAATAGTAACTGCTTTTGTTATCTACAGCCATGTAATCTTCAGCATTGAGTAATCTTAAGGAAATCTGGTCCTGCCTCCATGAAGCAAAGAAAAATCACTGAGGCCCCAAGCTTAACGTTCACACGCGACACAGCATGCTCATACTTCCTGAGAGGGATTTGAGAAGTGCCAGAAAAGAAACCCAGGGGCCATCCTGCCACCCCACCTGACCCCACAGCGTCCAGCACCCCCAGCGAGTCCTAACAGGCCTTTCTACTCACTAATGGTTTGTGAATGTGTCTACCCGCTTGTCCGCCTGTCATCGCCGGCAAAACGTACCTGTCTCTTTGCAGCCATTTAGTCTCCGTCTACAAGCAGGTACTGTTGTTTAATGTATTCATTTGAGATGTTTGCTGTATTTAACAGAAATTCAGTTTTTTTTAACCCATTCTTCTTTTTATATGATTTAATTTATTTGTATTTATTTGAGGAGATTTCCTTAATGCCTTCTCAAGATATTGTATCATAGGCTCTAGTGTGTTTGTGTGTGTTTTTTGTCAAAGTACGAGTGTGTGTACACGTAAGATTGTATGATTGCGTGGATGTGCGAACAACTGTGATTTTCAATTTGGGAGGGCACATGCGTCTTGATGTGTGAGTCTAGCAGTTTGATTCATTTGCGTTGGACAGTTGGGAAATGCACCATGGAGACGCACACAAACACACAAACACAAAAGAACTGACTTCCACCGTTGATCTTCAGATGACTCAGTCATCTGAAGATCAACGTCAAGATCAAGAGATTTGACTCAGGCGCACAGAGGCTTTTTTTCTGTCTTTGTGAAGAGTGTCGTGTGTGTGTGTGTGTGTGTGTGTGTGTGTGTGTGTGTGTGTGTGTGTGTGTGTGTGTGTGTGTGTGTGTGTGTGTGTGTGTGTGAATGTGCATCTCACTCACTCTAAAATACACGACTCCAAATAGATAACATGTACATTGATACTGTACAAACTATGTAAAATAGGTATATAGAGAAGAAAGAGAAGAAAAAGTACCATATATAACAGTTGAAATTGACATGGAAGTTATTGTAACATACCCCCTCCCCTCCCAACTGCCAAGTCTTGTCAGTATACATTTTCATCACAATTGAAGAAGTTTAAAAGTGGCAATTTACAACCATCTTCAAACAGTCTGTCTGGAAACACAGGTTTCCACACATAATCAATGCAACTGTCACAAAGTGTTTTATGCCCCCATATTTCCGACTGTATTAATGATTAATACTTCAAAAGAAGTGATTTGTATTGAGGAATCTACAGGACTATTTCAAGGTCAGGACACACCGGAAATTGCAGAGGAAGATGCCTTGACGTGTCATTTTCAGCCCCCTAGAATAAACTTTACTGGGTAACCTGAGCAGTGTGACACCCCAATATCACAAGCACTGTCCCCGACCTCCATGTGACCCCGAGGTGAGTCCAATTTCACCCACCCGCTGCCATTTCTCCAGAGGAGAGGAGCTTTTTGACTACCTTAGCAAGCTCTGCCATAAATATTGATAGGTCTTTCCCTGAGTTTTAAACTCTGCCTCCTTGGAGTTCCTCAAAATGCTCTTTCACTGCCCAACATTGTCCCCAGCACATCTTATACCCTCCTTTCCCCGTCGGGTTGTCCGATACATTCATCAGACGTCCTTTGCCCCCAACCTAGTTCCTTGAATTCCTCTCATACCGGGGGTTTGGCTTATGCGACAGCTGCAACCCTTCTGGCCACCCGGTACCTGTCTGTTGTGGGCAGAGACCCCAGGGCCAGCCAAGCTGAAAAGCCTCCTTCTTCACCGTGAAAACCATTATCGACTGACGATGGACGCTTTGGACATGTTTCGATTCCATGTCTCCCTCCTCCCCTGAAATTCACGGGAAGTTCTTTTGCAGGGATAGATCCTCAGCCAGTCGTTCCCAGTTCACCCTCACTACTGTACTGGGTTCAACAAGTGCTTCTGGCTGCCGCCATGTGAGACAACTCAACGGCACGACACAAATGGTCTTATGGTGAACCATGAAGTCACTTACATTCGGCAAAGACTTTCTGTTTCCTGTTACATGCATGAACCGGCCAGTGCTCATGATATTTGTTACAGTAGCGCCGAGTGTGAAAAGTGGTCTGTGGAAGGTTCCCTTTTCAGAACGGCAGCAACCTTAAATTAGTATCTTCATGACCATGGGTTTGCCGTAAATGCCACCGGAACCTGCCGTTCTGAAAGAGGAACCTTCCACCGACCACTTTTCGCACTCGGCATCACCCGTCTGTTATGGACGACTACAACCTTCTCCAGGAGCTTGGGTCCAAGTACCAACTAGATTCAGTTGGTACTTCTCTCCCAGCTGTTGTCCCTTCCCAGCCAGAGAGCTAACATGCCAGGGTCCAGGGTCCAGGGGTCAGCACACTTAGGCCCACGTTTTTGCCTGCTGCACGGTTCCCAATGCGCCCAACCACAAAGCCTACCCCTGTGAGTGGTGGGCCGACGTGGGGGCGGCTCCATAAAGACTGTGTCCAAACCCAATGTGTGTCAATGGCCGGCCACCAGAAGCTTGACGGTGAGCTCCCCTTTGTGGCTGATTATAACAGTCAGTGAATTACTTTTGGCCTGGCCCCTTTGGGTAGAGGTCAACCACCATTTTCTTCTAATTAAACTGACTAGCTGTCCTGTCCTCATAGTGGGGTTGCCAGGTTTAAACACTGTCCTAGCTCTACACAAAATGACCCTTATGTGACTTGGTGACTAGCTTACTCACTAAAAAGAAACCACACAGGTAAAGTGGGTTACCGGTTATCTTCCCTGCCTCTAACAGACAGGGAACAGGCTATCCTGTGCCATCCTATTACATTTTTAAAAGTATTTAAAGTACGGCCTGTTTTTTACATGAGGGTGAACTTATCTGTTCGGAAAATGAAGGGAACAAACCCATCCCTCATTTGACAACTGCCTTCTTAATGAGGTTTGAATATGGCCAAATGTTTTAATTGATTTTTTGTTGAATCACAGTGAATGATAAGCCCTAAGTATGTATGCGTGTGCAAGTGTTGTGTGTTTGTGAGATTGTCTTTGTTTTATGTAAGAGATGGTTGTAGATAGACCCAGCAAATCAACAGATTAGCATGCAGACATAGGGTCTTCACTCTCTTCAACTTGAATTTACTAAAATATGAGAATATACAAGAAAAAACATACTGAATTTACAGAAAATAAGTGTTACAGTGTTAAGCTTTAAAAATCCACTAAGAAAAAAAGATTGAGCTCTTTTAATCCATTTTTCTGATTGTTTTTTCTACTTGGTTCTTACTAATGATGATTTGGTAGTCGCTGTCGATGCTGTTCGTCTAATGTAAAGAAAATGACAATGAAGAAGAGGGGCGAGAGAGCTGCTGTGAAACCGCTCTTCACCTCGACGTCGACCTTCTAGGTTTTTTCAGTTGTATCTTAATGTCCCCTGTCACTCACACTGCGCGAGGGAAGACTCTGGAAGTGTAACGGCCGTTGGTTTAATAAATGATTCAAATGTCTACAAAACTAACGCTGTGTTTGTATTTTCCAACTGAGCCACTATACTGATAAAAACATACATCACAACATGCGCCGAACACATCAATGTGTCCCTGACAGGTAGTGGTGAAATATGTCTCTAGGCGAATGCGGTCAGGTTCAGTGGATCGGAGGAATGCAGAGGCAATATCACCGTCAAATTAATAGGTAATCGGGTAGGACAGCAATAGTGTTGTAGGGCTGACCACCGGTTAGCCAATGTTTTGGACTGTTGTGAGCCTTTGGACCATAAAGGAGAGCGGTTTCCCCTGTCGGAGGGTGCTGCTGTAGACTGTTGCTGACTGTTTCTTTGTCCGGACTCTGCCGGCCGTCCATTGCCCATCTTCCCCTCATCTTCCCCTTTGAATCTTGCACGGGATTTGTGAGTACCGACTATTTTGCACGTGCCTTTTTGTTTGCCACTTCACTTGTTCGTACAAGCAGCAATCGACTTTTAGGGCCTCTACACTCCCAAGCCACGACCCAGGCCTGCCACAAGGGTTTTGTTTGTCATGTGTGTGAGAAAGTGGGGGACATATTATATTAATGTTCACGTGTAATAAATGCCAAACTGTTTTGGTTCCATGCCTTTGACGTCTGTTTGCTGTGTTAAAGTCCAGTACAAGAATGTTCTGCTAAGAGCTGGTAAGAACGTATACACCATTAAACTATATTTGCCATCTGTCCACCTGTTATCTAGTGCCAATAGTCAAATAGGTTCCACCTCTGAGTTTTGGAGCAAAGGTAAAGCTGTAGTCAGATACAAGCTCCCGAGTCTACTAAAACTGCCCGCACTCATGGCTGCTGAGGGTTAATGTGGGGAATTTTCGTACATACAAAAATGTCAGTTTTAGAAATTAATTGTTTGTGTGTGTGCCTTGTCTTGCCTTATTTTCCTGCTTCGTCCCGGGAGGAGCTTCAGCCCCGTTTCTCTGGCTTTTTCCTCGATACGTGGTGAAGAATACTTAGTGTTGGTAAAAGACTGGTCTTTAAAAATACTGTTCTTTTAAATGACGTTTTGTGGTCGTGAAAGACAAATTTGGCTGATAACTTCTATAATCACAAGATATCAACTGCTCGCTAACTCGGCTTGAAAGGCAATAAACTGATTGCATTCCAAGCGTTCTAAAGGTGACCGCTCCGTTGCTGACGCTTTGAAGATGATGTCAAAGATTGCATCACTGCACCTGACAGAGAAATGCCAGGAGGGGCGATGCATTGCCATGGAAACGGGGAGTACAAACCGGTCCAGTACAAAACCACAACACTGCATGTAGCTCTCTGGTTCTTTGAAGCTTTTTGACCCTTTGGGAGTCGAGAGCACCAAGACCCATGATGTTGATATTTATTATGCGTTTTTTTCATACAAGCATGACTAATATTTCCTAAAATCTTGAATGGAGCGTGAATTATAAAAAGAAAGAGTTCTGATTTCGTAGAATGATATAAATCATCACTTTGAAGCCAAATAATAAAAAAGGAGCTTTGTTTCCATTTGAGCTCCTGAAAGCTGGTTAGAATTATTCTAAAGTAACGACATGAACACGAGTCCCTGCAGTTGCTCCACACGGCTCACTCACTGACCACATTAGATTAGATTTAGATTAGATTAGATTCAACTTTATTGTCATTGCACAGGATACAAGTACTGAGGCAACCAAATGCAGTTTAACATCCAACCAGAAGTGCAAAATAGCAAAAAGTGCAGAGTATGTGCATATGTAAAGTGTAATAAGTGAATAAATAGATATGTACAGTAAGAAATAGTTGTGCAATATGAACAGTAAGAAATGGATATACAATAACAGTGCAAATGTTCAGTGGCTGGAGGAGGGTGTGTGGCAGTCAAGCCAGGGTGGAGGGGGGAGTACAGTCACTGAGGGAGATGTGTGTGGGGGTGGGGTGCAGAGTTCAGAGTTTAGGGGTGCAGAGTTCAGTAAAGTGACAGCCGCAGGGATGACGCTGTTCTTGAACCTGCTGGTCCATCAGGACATGGGATCCAACCACAGTCTCATTCATACAAGGAACAGTGGAGATTGACCTCTGACCTCAAAACTCTCACCGTGTCTTCGGGTTTGCAGATTTAGAATCAATGACTCTCCTCACTCACAAAGCCCTCCATAATCAGGCCCCCTCCTACCTCACCGACCTGCTCCACTATCACCTTCCGACCCTCCGCTCCTCTGACGCCAACCTCCTGTCCATCCTCCGTAGGACCAAGCAGCAGACACGGGGTGACACCCTTCTCCATAGCTGACCCCCCCTCTGGACGGCTCTCCCCAAACCCACCCAGACTGCACTGACCTCTCCACATTTAAATCACAATGCAAAACCCATCTCTTCAGAACTGCTTTGCTTTTATTAATTTAAAGCTTGGCTTTTAGGATTTTTTTTTGTTGTGGAAATCTGCAGTGTGTTTTGACATGTGATGTATGTTGGATAAGAGCTGCTCAACATAACTTACTTTCATTGAATTCGCTTCATTTTCATTATCTAGTTAATTATGTATAAACAAACATTCTACACTTTGTAGTGTGTCGTTTTTTTCCTACTGCGATTTAAAATACTTGTCGTGGTGAAACGTTCACGCGGACCAGGCGCCCGCGCGCAGCAGCGCTCTGGGATGAATTTTGTCTCGCCGCTCTCTCCGTACCGAGCCGCGCACCGAGCCGCAGCGTGCCGCCGGGCTGGTCCGACGGTCCTACGGGGGGGATCCACTCCAGCTGCCGGCCCGCCGTCCGCACGGAGCCCGCCTCGACAGCTCGCGGCCAACGCGGCGGCCGCACGCGCTGACGGCTTCGAAGTCAACTTGAGGAATAACGGTATCCGTCCGGTAAGCGTGTGTGAACGGCTCGCGCGCGGTGTGTGTCGCCTCTCGGCTCCCGGATACACCGTTATTACACGCATCCATAATGACTCCCGTTGACACGCCGAGCGCCTCTAACCGTTTTCCTGACCGTAGCTAACGAGCTAGCATTACCGGAGACGGCCGTTAACCTAGCCGCTAGCTTCACGTGCCCGCGCGTCATCCCTGCGGGGGCTCATTGTTGTTGTTGCTGCTCGCTGCGTTCACAGACTCGATCAAGACTCTGCTTGTCCGGTAAACGTAACGATGGGGCGGGAGCGGTTCAGCCGGTTCAGCCGGTTCCCGCCGCTGACTCCCGGCGGCTGTGCCCGTTCAGACCTGCTCTCCATCGGCGGGTCGATATTCGTCCACGTTCTATTTTGCTTGACTGTTAAACTGGCTTTCGGCTGCGGATGCGTCTCCCCGCGTGGATCCAAGTGGGCCTCCGAACATACCGGGTTTATTTATGTGTTTGTTTGTTTATGTACTGGGTTCTGCTAGTGTCCAATCAAACGTGAAACCAAGCGAGGAAAGACTTAAAGAAACGTTCCATCCGATGCTGTTAATCAGGAGTACTGTGTGTGTGTGTGTGTGTGTGTGTGTGTAATCTCACTCATAGTGTCACATGTTTTATCTCCACTAGAATAAAATCATTGTAGTTATCGACGTTTGTATAACAATTGAATCAATTTGGTAAAAATGGAAATGAATAAATTATAAAAGGATTGCAAATGAATCTCTGTAGGCTGTATGATGTGATTACATTTTTTATGTCTTTATTGCGTTCTATACGCTTTATATAATACGAAAAGAAGGGAATTGAGTCATAAATATTTCCCACAAATGCAATGCACTCACAGTTCTACCTCTACTATAATTGAACTGGTTGGGACAATCCCAGACATGCAAAGAATGCTGAAAAGAATCCTCCCTTGAGCCGCCGTGCACAGAGAAAAGTTAGCACTGTTTCCCCTATTGGCCGTTCATTTCTCCCACACCCTCTGCATCTTGTGTTGGTGTTATGACTAAAGTCTCCTGCACGGCACGTAGTGAACAAATCAGGTAACGGGTGTTATTTGTTTGTCTCCGACTTTTAATTCATTTGCCATCATCGCAAAAGGGCAGCTGAATAACTCGGAAGTTAACGTGGCATATCGTCATTTTTCAGCAATAAAATGTGCCTGAGGCGCTGCATCGGATCCGATGCCAATCATGTGACACCTATGGGGCCTTAAGGCATCTTTCATTTCAGCTTATATCACGCTTCACTGCTGCACGTAGGGTCTCAGAACCGAGTGGACCTGTCGCAACAAAGCCACTGCCCATCTCCCAGGGTGGATCGCTACACATGAGGTATCCTCCGCAGGAAGGCAAGGGATGAATTTCACCCTTCTGCTGACTGGTGCAGAGTCAGCGTCCGTAGGGTATTGTGTAAAGTGACAACAAGCCGTGTATGAGCACCGAAGTAACCTGATTATTTCCCTCACAAACAGGAGCCGCTGGCCATGCACGCTGCCTGGAGATGAGAATGAAACCCAGTCGTCAATTCTTCCTGGGCCTGTGCTCCATGCTGGCCCTGGGATTCCTCTACCACTCCGGGAGGATCAGCTTACGAGGCTGGAGCGGCGATTCGTGTGAGTATTTCTCTGATGAAATAATATCATGGAAGGTATGACCTTCGTTCATTTATTTAATTGCTTATTTCCTCTACACAAAGTCACACAGGCCATTTGTCTGACAGAAGCTATTGGACCATTAAGTAAAGCCTAAATGCCACAGTGGGCCCTGTGATTCTCAACAATAACTCATGGATTCCATCCCGTTACTATGTGAGAAGTGGACGTTGTCATGGTGACCTCAGCCATCGGTCAGTGGACTGATGTTTTAAAGCCGTAAGCTACCATATTTAGGCACAGGATGCATGACGGAGACTCTGTTTAGTATATAACTAAAGTATACCATTCTTTATCACATGTGTCAAACTCGCGGCCCGTGGGCCAAATCCGGCCCGCCGGATGACTTTGCTATTGTTAGAATCACAGAAAGGTCCCCACGCACGCGCGGTCGCTTCTGACACACGAGAGGCTCGTTGTGTTTTTTTTTATATGGATTCGTTTTGAACCCCTCCGTCGGCCTGATTGTCAAAGTGGGAAGTATCTGGCCCAAACCTGAAATGAGTTTGACACCCCTGGTCTACTTTACTGTAAATGGACCATCAGTTACACAATGAACATCATGCTGTATTGAAGAAGACTTGAAGCTAGTGACTGAGGCCATAGACTCATCTTTACATAAGATTTTACCGATTATTATCAAAATGTGCAAAAAGTTGCACTAAACATGCAGGAATAAATTTATACTTGACCATACGTGTGGATAAGGCAGTGATCAAACACCAGGTCTCCCTGCACTGGTAAAGGATGGCTGAATAAAACATTCTATTTGCATTCCTGCATTTGTAAATCAGGCAAGCCGGTATGAAGAAATGGATCCAGTGTCTTAAATCGCATGGGCGCCCTGGCTTTCCGTCCTTTCCATCCAAGCATTAGCATTAATCGTCAGCTTTTATTTTGTTGTTATGAGTGACTGATGTTTGCAGTCTACAATACACCCAATCTGTCACCATTGTTCTAAAACACTTTTTCCACGAAATGTATCTGAAAAATAATTTACTAAACTAATCAATAATGCAAATACCTGGCCCTGTTAGTGTTGTGAGCACTGTCAGGGTGTCATCAACATGATGTAACTTTCTACCAGATGGGGGAGCCAGTCCTTTTACTGAGAGACCGGGCGCTTCATCGGGGGCTTCAGATCACACTGCTTTAAAGAAGAAAAGCAGCGGACATCCATCCCTTACACTAAAATACAGGAAAGGAGCACATATATCATTCAAAGATGTTTTGGTCCTCCTTTTCTTCTATTGACAGAGAAGCTCGCTCTCAATCCGGCTGCCATCACCTTTTACAACTTGAGAAATACATGCAGTGTAGTTACGAACAGGTGGACAATAAAACCAAATAGAACCACTGCAGACAACCACGGACTGGAGTTTACACATGTGCATAAATAGCTACGACGTTCTAAATCCTATTGTCTTTGTCTCCAGTGTATGACCAACAAGGGTTCCTTCTCAAGCCGGATGGCGCTACTCTGTAAGTATACGTTTGACTACTTTGATATTATGTTTTACACCTCGGGGGCTCGTCTTCACGCACCCTATCAAAGGTGACATGGGGAGTCTCTCATATTTTGGTGTAGCATATACCACATCTCTTAGTTGTGTGTGTGAATATTCAGTCCTTGCTTGACTCACTCCCCCCCCCTTCCCTTCCCTCCCCCCTTCCCTCCCCCCATGCCTACAGGCCGTTGGAGCTGGTGTACAAGTACGGCAATCTAAGCGAGGGAGCCTGTAAGCCTGGTTTTGCCGCTGCCAAGATGACGGCCATTTATCCAAAGTAAGAATCTGCGCACGCCATGGATGTGCGCTTGATGAGCGTGACCCTGGTGTTACCGCCTGTGAAGTGACTGGTCCATCACATGCTGCTGGTGATGTTGGTGCTTGTGTTCTCTTAGAACACGAAACACCTTCTTAGTCTGCTAACTGGTCTAGTCGTTTCAGATCAAATGCATGATGTGGAAGATGAAGTTAAAATGAGCCTGCCTGCTGTAAAAGGTTCTAGGTTTTAAGGGCTGTAACATTGTTTCTATAACTAACACATCCACAGTAAAACATGGATTATTTGGCCTTTGTCGTGTGGCGTTGCACTGATGGTTTTCCCACAGGCTTCATAAGTTTAATACCATAAAAATGTCATTTCTTCTGCCGAGAGTAGCAGCGCTCTTTATTTCCTGCGAGGCAGGGTGCTCCTACCATAACATCCTGCATGCACAGTCAGCTGGTCTGCGTGGGTATGAAGTAGCAGCTACAGCACCGTCGGGAGTGTCGTTGTCGGATTAAAATGCTCCTGCCAAGAAAAGTGGCTTGAAAAAGGCTGAAAAACCATCAAAGTAAGACAAGCAACCAGCATCGCACCTTAAAGCGGAACGGCACACTACAGAACGTTTCCGACGACTATATAGTTGCTCTTTTTTGCTTTGAAACTTTGTTGCTAGGTCGGAGTCAACGTTCTGAAAATGTGACGCTGTGAAGATGGTACTTGTTTTCCTACAGGACACGTCTAATGGTGTCCTGTCATCCCGGGGACAGTATGAAATGTGTCCAGGATGCAGTTAACTCACTATGCACGTGACCTTTTCCTAGATAGTGCTACACGGTGGACAAAAACATCTGTATTGAAATCAGCAGGATGAGTGCTAGTTACCGTCAGCTGGGAGGCATCACACTATGACGCTTTCAGGCTCTATTCAGAAAAAACATGTCACTGGGCTACGGTCATTTGAACAATTTGTTTAAATGTCAGCATGTTGAGTTTTTGGCCAGAAACTTGAATAAGTGCAGTAGTTTATCAGTGCAGTTTGTCTGAGTGTCAAGGCAACATAAAATAAATAATCAAGAGGATAGTATGAGCTGTTTCTTTCTAACAACATCTTACTCTTATATTTCCCCCACCGCATCCCTAAAAAGTGGCCTACATCAAGTCCTCTCCCCAAAGCTGTCCTATTTCATGGGACCCTCTGAGCTCAGAGCGGTACAGTAGAGATACCATTGCTGCCTCTGCATTATTAAGGAGCCAAGAAGTCCCCAGCCCCATTAAAGCCCTTCACCTACACATGTTCATGAATGAGTGAGAAGGCACAGTGGTCTGACGGGGCCAAAGTGTAGTGCAGATCTATTTTTGTCCCCTTCTGCTCTGCAGTCGTCCCAATGCGTGAGAAAACCTCCGGGCCGCTCCACATGCCCCTTTTACTCTCTGAGCACTGGAGACACGCAAGCCTCCAACCCACGGCGCCGCTAATGAAGTGTGCTCCCGGCGTCCAGATTGTAACATGTTAAAACAACACAGGAGGATTTTCCCCAGGAGACGGGAGCGGTGAAACGCCCGGGGCATCCTTGACCCATTTCATCTGCTGTCTTTGCTCAGCTGGTTCCTCCTTGGCCCTTCGACGGGAAACACAACCAAATACAGAAAAGTGCTTTGAGGAGCTCACCCGACAAAGGGAAAGGTTCCCTAAAAAGGATGCACACAGCGTCACTGGCTGGATTCAAATTGTCACACGTGCTTAGGAAGGTAGCATTATATTTTATTTTATTCCTCATGCACTGTTGTCTTGTCGTCCATTGTCGTACTGTCTGCTGTTACGCACCAACCAAATCAAATTCCTTGTATGTCTGACATATTATGGCAATAAATGTTTCCTGATTCCTGACCTGAGTGAAATGACCCAGCGGTGGTGTAAGCGGCCGCCATGCAAATGCCAAGCAAACGAGCTTCAATGCTTCCCTACTTAGCTCCTTTAGCGTAGGAACCACTGGAGCGTACTTTGCGAAAGGAAAGGAGATAATTCCATCCCAGAATACCTTGTGGAGCTAATATTTAAATAGTGACGCATCATTCGGCAGCTCACCAGAAATAACAATCATGACTGAGAAACGTATATCATGTTAAGTAACCGTTTAGCATAACTCATTTATATTGCAACCTTGTTAATGAAGTAACACTTTGAACCTGGTTGTTTTATGTCGTCTGCAGGAACACATGATGCTTCTTTCTAGTCCATCTTTCTAAAGCAGACTGACGTCACGTTCATCACTCTTACGTAGCTTCACAAGTACAGTCGGATTCCCTAAACACTGCGTGGTGTTTTCTTAACTCATCTTGAATTCTTCTAACCCTCTTTCCTTGACCCTGTGACGCTTTCCAGAGGTCAAGGAATAGTGGCTAGGAAACGACGTTAGGAGGCGATTATTTTGACCATTTGAATCCAGACATTGTTGTGTACTGTAAAACTTTCAGTTTCAATCACTGAATGAAACCTGCCATATTTAGGACAAGAATCGGGGCCTTAAATTGCTTGCACAAACTCTTGATCAGCATTTTTTTATTGTTGTCGTTCATTTAAACCGCTTTGCGCAGAGAGCGAGAGATCTGCGGTCTTGGCCGTTAGTTAATTTGCTTATTTTTGTGCAGGTAATATGTTGTTAAATCGGTTTAAACTTAAATAAATTACCTTTACAAGTAGTTGTGTCTCGTCGTATTAATCTGTCATGTTATTGTTATTGACGTGTTATTGACGCGTTATTGACGTGTTATTGACATGTTATTGACGCGCCTAATGCGCAACCAGATATTCAAATATATTTGAAATATATATATATTCAAATATATTTGAATATCTGTGTTTTTTTTAAAGCGAATATTCAAATGTAATTTTTGAGCAATTTTGACAGCCCTAGTGTATATGAGCAGGTTGTCATACTATCGGAAGGTGACTTTTGATGAGAGAAAGCAGTGAGAAAACTGAGGCGACCTCTATACTCTGAGAAGTTTCTCTGTATTTTGAATATTTTTGTTGCACCATTTGGAACGTGATATCTTATTGTGAAGGCCCGAACTCTGATCAGTCCCCGATCGGTGCCCAGTGTTTACATGGGCTCTAGTAAAAGCAAATGCTAACTTTTATATTTAAAACAGTACTTAGCTGGAAAGGGGAAACGTTAAATCAACTGAAAACATGACATCACCATTTCATCAATTTTATATTGCTAAAAATTGCCCCAATTAGGAAAGAGTGCTGTTAGTACTCATAACGTTCCTCCAAACATGGCACCTTAAACTTTGACCCAATTGCTCATATCTCTCCTGCGCAAAGGATTGTGGGTCAGGAAAGTCAGGAAAGCCACACCTTAAGAAAAACTAAGTTATAGAACAAAGTATTGGGACCATGTAAATCTTACATTGCTGTACTAGTACGGCCATTGGAACGCACTACCTGCCTTTTAATATGATGAGCCACACGGTTGATTGTGATACATGCTAACGTTACGTTACCGGCTGTGACATCAATAGTTACTTCCACAACCCGTATTAGGTTACAAGAAACTTGTATTTGATTTGTTGATGTGACAAATCAAATGAAAGGTCTTCTAAAATCACTTTGCTTTAATTAATTACCCATAACTAACCATATAAACTTGAAATATTTGTCATCCCATCCAATGGCAGATTACTTTGATTCGTTATACACAATTTATTTTCATCCCCGGAGCGCTACATGCTAATGATCTTATCTGAAGTGTACTTATCTAATCTCAGTTTATGCTTTCCTGTTTTTGTACGGGTCAGAAAGGCGAGATGCATCGTTAGCAGCGGATTTCTCCACCACGTTGAAGTGTTTTCAGGTTTCTTCCAACACTGACTGATTAGCAGCTGTTTTGTGTTTCCAAAATGAGAGCTAATTTACAGTTCATTATGTGATATTACACATGAAGGGAACCGGCTGCCAGAGCTGCAGGGGTTGACTCGGTTAAAGAAACAGTTTTCCTTCTGTTTCAGTTCTTTCACAGCAAAGGGTTAGAAGGCAACGGCCTTTTGGATTCTCCTTTTTCTAAATTGGACACAGATTATTGTTGCAATTAAAGCCAAATGTACTCTTTGCACAACCTTTCAGAGTGAGATGGTTAACAGGTTTTGATAAGGAGTCTTTGTGGTTTTTAAGTATTAGAGAGACTTTTTCACTCAAGTTGCAAGTTTATATTTAGCTTTTCTTTCATTAGAAACCAACCATTTCAAGGGTTTCACTTCGATGTAAATAACTATTCTGTCACGAGGAATGTGGAAGACTGAGGACACTGAATGGCATTGTGGTCAATTGTTTGTGTGTCTTTGTTTTGTTACCTTAGTTAAATGTATTGAAGCGCACACAGCGTACGTACAGTACATACGTGTCCAAAGTATGTCCCCCCAAAGTGGAGACAGATGTAAAGATTAAATAGAGCATAGCGTGTTTAATGCGGTGGAGCAACAGACGAACAGAATACACTTAACTGTGTAATCTTTCTTTTACATCTAATGTGGAGCACACCATGAGACATGAACAGAAAGGTGAACCAATTCATGCCAATTCGAGTCAATTGTCATCTTATTTGTTCGCTTACTATTATTATTACTGTTTCTGTACACCATTCCAAAAGAATATTCGGTCATAGGGTATCCACATATCACATTTTACAGATGTATCACACAACTTGAAGAAAATGCGTCTTTTTAAACTAATGACCGCCAAAAAACATCCTCTTACATCCTCTAAGAATCCAGTTCAGTTACCAATCCAGCCACACTCGTCAGGGCCGGATGGTTGTTGGGCAAAAGCCGCATGGAAAAAGACCACTTCTTTATTCTCACTTGTTGTAACATGTTTTCTTCTCTATTGACAGGTTCATCAAACTGGCTCCCATGTTCCTCGACCCAAACTACAAAAGATACTCCAAGATCGGCGGTTATTCCCCTCCGTTTGGAGTCAAATCACAAGGTATGATTACTGCATTACAGCACTAGTTAGGACTAGATTGTTTGAACCACACTCTGGGATGATACCCTTGACTACTGTTGTCCGAGCGAAAAACAGTAGTCTCCCCCTGGCTGCATGACACGACCCAATCTGAACTTTCTCCATCAATTAGATGAGCACAACTCTTATGCGCAAGTATTAGTGAATGCAGCAAGAGATGACGTGGCCCAAAAATAGGGGTAGGGGAAAAATCGATTCTTCGATTTCTCTCGATTCTCTCTAGAACGATTCGGTCTCGATTCAGAAAAGTTAATAATCGGAATTTAAAAAAAAAAAAAAGCCTGTCTTGCGCGAGATATTTGCTCCCTCGCGAAACGTGAACTTCCTCGCTCGCGAGGTTAGTCTCTGCTCGCGCTCGAAGGTGTTTTCTACGCGCTCGCTGTTGTTCTTTCTGACAGTAAGGGGGCGGAGCCAGTCACCATGGTCTCTACACCTGATTGGTTACAAACCCCGTCTTTGAATTGGCTGGAGTGATGCATTCACACAACTATAGAAGCGCATTTCCGCACTAATGTAAGGGGATGGAAAGTCGAAATTATGAGATAAAACGTCAAAAAACAAACGCCCTCCTTCGGTAATCGTAGTGGACCGTAGATGACAACCAGCTATAACCATCATTTACCATCATTACCGGCGCATTAAGACCAATGCTTCCAGCTCTCAGACCGGACCGTCAGAATATCTAATAACTTCACCGAACTATGAAGGAGCCTGCGCATATTTTACCTCATTATTTTGATTTTCCAAAAAGTCGATCCGTATTGAAAGTTGGCAAGATATTCACAGATTTGGACTTTTTTCCGGTATTTTACAAATACGGACCAGTCTGAGACTAAGAGCAGCTTTTTCTTCATTTAAAAGAAAAAATAATCTGTTTAATATTTTTTTTACATACATTTTTTGCTACTTCCATATTGTGTTGAAATGCAAGCTGCGTTGGTTCTTGCATTGTTGATAGAAAATCATATTTGTGAGAAAGATTTTTTTTCCTCTTATAAAAAATTGGAGAAGGTAATTTATGTGTTGATTGTCTTTAATTATCAAATAAAGTAGGAAGTGATTAGCAACCTCTGAGTAGCAAACTCAGATTTGAGAAAATTTAGAAAATCGAGATGCATCGATAATCGTTTTATCGGTTTAGAATCGGTAATCGATTTAGAATCAAATCGTTGACCTCTGAATCGGAATCAAATCGAATCGTGAGGTGCCAAGAAATTCCCACCCCTACCCAAAAATAAGAATAATGTCGCAGAATAATTTCAAACATCAATATCAAACAATCTTTTTTCCCTGCTAAACGTGTGTGTGATGTGTTTGCTGACTGGCATTAGTAGAAAGATAGAACAGCAGCTGATAAATAGTATAGGGTTACTTTGTTAAAGCATGTTTTGTTTAGGCCTGACGGTAACATCATGTTTGCTCAAGTGAGGGACGGATTAGACCTGACTAAACACAAATATTCACCAGTGTTTACGAGTCTTAAGATTTTAGATGAGTCATCAGTGCTACAAACAGAAGCAGCACTAAAGCAGTCGCTCCCACACAAATCAGCTGTGTTCATTCAAACACAGTTCATTCATTCAAACTTCATACCCAAGCGTGTAAAATTGAACCCGTTGGTCAAAAATTGACATATAAAATTGAATTGAATAAATTATGCTTTATGTTGATTGAAAAAAAAAGACTTTGCTTGAAAAACATTTTAGCCTTGCTGGGAATAAACGCTTTTCCAGCTTTTGGTTTTATTTGAATGCTTCACCAAAATAATGTTATGTTTTGGTTAAGAATGTCTTAATTTTTGGACTTTTTAAAACAAATATTACTAAATGTGATTGTATTAGATTAAATCAGCATATATATATATATATATATGGTTCAATGCAATGATTTATATGGTTCTCTTCCATTTATATGGTATAGTTATATGGTTCAATGCAATGATTTTTATGTTTTTTTACATTGTCAAGTATTATTGAAGACTATGAAGGAACACGTATGGAATTATGTGGTAATCAAAAACATGTTCAACAAACCAGAATACGTTTTATAAACCCTTGACATGCTTTCAATCAGCTCCACAAGGTGGTCTCCTCGAGCGGTTCTCCAACAGTCTTCAATCCAATCCAATCCAATCCATTTTATTTATAAAGCACTGTTTAAATCAGGGGTCTCAAACTCGCGGCCCGCGGGCCAATTGCGGCCCTCGGGACCATATTTTGTGGCCCCATCCTTAATATGAAAGTGTAATGTTAGTGCGGCCCGCAAGTTTTATACTGCAACCCCACTGTCAGCTGCTGTGTGTGATGTTCTGGTTTCCTACTGTGTGCTTGTCCAGTGAACGTGGCATGCATGTGACTGACATGGGGGGCGGGTCGTGTGTGTCGGCCGAGGTGCAGAGAGCAGGAGGGTGAAATTCAGTTTCCTGCCCTCTTTCGCGCAGGTGATCATGTGACTAACCGTTAGCATCGCTCGTTTAATAAAGTTTTCCTTTACGACTCACACTAACAACACATGAAGCATCTGACGTCACCGACGAGCGTCTCCGTCCATTACTACGCAGCTTCGATTCACGTAACTTCACGTTTGGCTATAAAGGAATTCCACGGTCACATGACCTTAGGTCTCCCCCGCTGAGTTAAAGGAGGACTAGTGTTGTAGTCTCATTCGGACCGATCCCCCAGGGTGGGGTTCAATGACTGCTTTTGAAAGTGAGTGTTAAGTTGTGTTATTGTCGACCATGCCGTTCGGACGCTAGTCTGGCCCGCGTTCGGTTGAAGTGGGCTGCATCTGGCCCGCAGCTGATTTGAGTTTGAGACCCCTGGTTTAAATGAACACAATGGTTCCCAAAGTGCTGTACAATTAAATAAACTCAATAAAACACAATAAATAAATAAATCGACTGTCCTCCGCAGATAAAATATCTGTGCACCTAAAATCAACAACCTACGAAGTGTTAAAAACCAAAGAAAAGAGGTGCGTTTTAAGAAGAGTTTTAAAATTAGACAGTGAGGAGGCCTGTCTAATGTGCAGCGGCAGTTCGTTCCATTGTTTTGGAACAGAAAATGATCGGTCCCCCCTGAGCTTCAGCCTCGTTTTTGGAACCCTCAGGAGCAGCTGGTCAGCTGACCTGAGAGATCGGCTGGGTGTGTAGGGGTGCAGAAGTTTCGAGAAGTACGATGGGACAAGACCGTTTAGAGATTTAAAAGCAAATAAAAGAATTTTAAAATAAATTCTGAAATGCACAGGTAACCAGAGGAGTGAAACTAAAATCACTGAAATGTGCTCAAACTTCCTTGTGCCAGTTAAAAGGCTCGCAGCCCCATTTTGCACCAGTTGAACACGTGCAATGGAGGACCCACTGATCCCCATGTAAAGTGTGTTGCAGCAATCCAGCCGAGTGGTCACAAAGGGGTGGATTACTGTCTTTTTTTCATTAAAATTTAAAAAGTAGAGCCATCCAGTTTTGACATCCTCTAAAAAGTTTTAACATGGCATTTAACAAATGCCATGCTTCCTGAGAATGGGAAGAAGAAGTGGGAGAAGGTACAAAGAAAATAAAAGAGGACCCAGCACTGAACCCTGTGGGACCCCACATGGGAGAGCAGCAGTGGAAGACAGTCACCAAGGCTGATACAGAATGTCTGATGAGACAGGTAGGACCTGAACCTGAACCGTTCCAGGGCCGAGCCTGGAACTGGAGCAGTGGGTGGGCATCAGTAGCAAAAAAGACGTCGTTAAAAACTCTTAAAAGCGCTGATTCTGTGTTGTGCAATGTTTTAACACCACATTGGAAAATTTCATTTTGTTCATTTAAAAAGTTGCTAGTAGACAATCCTCTCTTAAGATTTTTGAAAGGAAGGACAGCTTAGAAATGGGCCTAGAATTAACCATAACAGCAGGATCCAGTCCAGGTTTTTTAAATCAGTGGCTGCACAAATGCATGTTTGAAATTTGCAGGAATCACTCCTGAGGACAGACTGCTGTTAATGATGCCATGTAAATCTTGTACAGTGGGGAAAACCTCCTTAAAAAGTTGAGGAGGAACAGGGTCATTGGGCGAGCCTGATTGCTTTAAATGTCCCATAGTCTCCTGCACAAAAAGCAGCGTCACAAGTACAAAAGGGACAGACACTAAGGGGTCGTAAGCAGGAAGTGAAGTAAGTGCTCTGATAGAAGTGAAGAATTGCAGCAAGTTTTCCACAGTCTGTGGTGCATTCAGAGCAGAGTTGATCACCTTAAACCACACACAAGGTTTGTGACAGTTTAAAACAATATTATCAGAGAAATATTTCAGTTTTACCTCTTTTACAGAGGACTGGTAACGACGCCGACAATCCCTCAACATTTGAAAAGACAGTTTATCTTTTTTCCATTTGCGCTCAGCTCTACGACACTGCTGTCTGGCAGTGTGGGTAGTTTCAACCAAGGCTCTGCCTGCTCTTTAGTGGGGCAGCACAGTCAATGGCAATTTGACGAGCGTCGAGAAACTGAGAGCGAAGAACCTCTATCATCGCACCCAGGATCAGAAGTTACGCAGTTCTGACTGAAGGCGGCTGAGAAGAGCGCAGCAGTGGAAGGGTTAATTAACCCGCCGCCTGCGAGCAGCAGCGCGAGGTTTAACTGAGTTACAGCACACAGCCTCAAAAAGGAGAAATGATCAGAGAAAAACGCTTCACAGACCTCCAAGTGGGACTCTTGTAGGAGTTCCAGAGGTTCTGAGCACTCGTTGGCTGCTTTGCCTTCACTTTGCTGTCCAACTCACCTCAAAAGGGGGCTACTTTAAAGAATCTAAAATACAAAACATATATGCTGGTTTGTTAAGCATTCTTTTGTTTAACATGTAATCCCATATGTGTAGCGTTATCGTTTTAATGTCCTCAAAGTAGCAGGAAAATACAATTGAAAGAGAAGGTGTGTCCAAACAAAGACCGGTACTGTATACCCACATATATATCTTCAAAGCCCTCCCATTCGGTCCAGCAGCTTAATCCGTGTGCCCAGCCGCCTCTGGACATCTGACTACGGTTTTTCACGACCGGACAACGACCCTGGAAGCAAAAAGGAAGCAAATGAAAATCAAAAGGAAAAACAAAAGAACAAAAAGGATCTAGATAAGGTTGCGTCTCGGCTGAAAAATGAATCAACAGAAAGTAAGCCTGAACACGGTACAACAAAAAACGTAGCAAGACTTGACCGTGGACATTGGTACGCGCCGCTTCTCTGTGGCACAGGACAACACCAACTGGCACAGGACAAAGGGAGACAGACAATATATAGACACAGGGTAAGGGCAAAGGGGGAAACAATCAGGGGCGGGCGGACAATCGGACCGGCACACAGGGGGAAGGAGGAGTTGCCTGAAACGAGAGGATGGTTCATTTTCAAAATAAAACAGGAAATCACAAGACAACCTGATTAGCACCGCTTCTTCACCCACTTACCCTGCTGTAACGCTTGTTTTGTTAACATTGTGACATGCAGCAGTGAGAGTATAGATATGAGTATAGAAGGTCCAGTCTGTGGCGGCAGAGGGGGATTATTTCACTCACTGGTTTCCTCTGTGTGCCTGTGACTCTCTGCAGAGAGGATCATAGATATTCTCCTGTCTGCTACGAAGAGCTACGGCGTTGGGGAAGAACTTGACAGGTGAGTAGGTGCCAGTTTTCACGGCATGCGTCATGCTGTGACCAAGGCAGTGCAGTCATCACAATAACCCCAATAACGAAAGAGTTGGCTGCTCGTTCAAACAGAGTCACAAATAGTTAATTGATAAAAGCTTTTCAATGTCTTGGGATTTTACAAAAGAGGTCAATTTATTTTCTAGATGCTTTTCAAAGGAGTTTTACATAATTATATATTTTGTTGCCAAGTCAAATAGTTTAAGAGTATCCAACTTTTGTTTCTTCATAACAAATGCAATAATTGACATACGTCTATGCAATTAAATAGTCTATGAATATGAGATATGGTAGAGTTATTAAAACGGTTTCTTGTCATTGGGGTTTATTGCCTTTTGCCGATTGTGATTTTGGGCTTTACAAAGTAAATTGAAATGGACTATTTCTGAATTTTACTTTGTTGTCTTTGATTCATCACAATACATATGTTTCCGCACTGTGGCGTTTTGAATAATGCAACAGACAGCCAGTTGAGCATAAAGGCCTCCGGTCACGCTTGGAGCTCACACGCCGCCTGAGGCTCACACTGCAGCGACTAGAATTAAGAAAACAAGACTTTGGTGCTAAAAACAGCAGGATTATTAGTTTAAAATGGTCCTGTACTAGTTTTTTAAGGAAACAAAATAGGCTGTTTTGACGGAAAAGATTATTTGTATTTCAAAATACAAAGAAACTGAAAACCCAAAACTTTGCATTCATTGTTGAATACGTAGGTGAACAATTTGACCATAAGAATGATCCAAACTAGCTCAAACTCAAGTATTCACTTGAGTAAACTAAAGTCACCTGCAGGTTAGAAACTACATTTTCACAATCTTTTAAGAGATAAGTTACAATACATATGCCAATAAATGCAAAAGATACAGACTTTGACATCTTAAAATGCCTGATGTGTCAACTACTCAAGCAGCAGCGTGGTTTGACTTGTCTTTATATGGACCTCGTCAGTCTGCTGGACACTGCACACCGGCCCTCGGTTTCATTAGCCTGCTAAGAAAAGGAGGAATGTGTTTATTTTTCCACCCAGAATTAAGCAGCGCAGACTAAACACTGCACACATGTTGTACTGAGTCTGCAACACAATATAATGATCATAATATGAACCAAGTGTGACACATCGTTAGCTGTGGCGTTAACAGTCCTCAGAACTCTTTATATATTAGGGAATCACTGACTGCGATAAAGAACGAATACATGTAAGAGTCGTTTTTTTACTGCAGCAGGCGGTTAGGTGCCTTTTAGATGTAGTTCATCTCCTGGCAAAAAAATCCACAAAATAATATAATCTTACACATTTATACTGATATGCATCGGAACAATTACCCAACAATACTTTGAACCTATGTGGTAAATGAGTCCAGTAAATGATCCCCTCTGTGTCACAGCATGAACTGCAAGACGTGCATCGTCGTGGGCAACGGAGGAATCCTGGCCAACAGGTCGCTGGGACAGAGGATCGATGACTTCGATGTGGTGGTCAGGTACGGAGCGGCTTCTAGCACTTTGCTCTCCTGAACAAATCCTGATTCTTGTTGTTCTGGGTCTGTACCCTCCTGGTTGAGTGCACCTATTGAAAGTATAAAAGCTAAATGAAGTGTATAAATGTAACATATGCCGGACAGGACTTTTCCGTTGTGACATCTTACTTTAGCAATACGCTAATATTGGGAAAATATGAACTGATGGAGAAACCCAGTTTCAGCTGGTTAAGTAAAAGCAAATAAAAGCATCCAAAGCCTCACAATGTTGGGTTTATTTTAATAACAAAAGCTCTGCTTGTTGTCATTCATGTAATACTGTATACGTCGTGAAGCCCTTATTGTGGAGCTATTAATAGAATCACAGCATTGTGAAGTCAGTTGTAGGGGCATTTAGATAATTTTCCCTATTACAATGTGAAGGTTACATTTTGTATTTCTCAATGTTATTAAAATGTGGCTGGTAGGTAGATTAAGGTTGTTTTGTTTCCCTCTTTTATACAAACTCTTTGTAAAATGTTCAATAGTGAGTAGACTATGCTAAATAGGTTTGTACAGCAGTGAAGAGAGGAGTGAAGACACATGCTGTAGAAAGACAGCCTGAAGTGAAATTATTATTACCTGAGCACCATTCTTAGGGGAGGTATCTATTTATTTTTTCATGTTCATCTTACTTTTCGCGTATCTATTTGCTTGTGGGTGTATTTTTTTTAACAAGATCATGACCCATCTCTCCGTTATCCAACGATGAGGCTGACCAGCCAAGATGACGGACCACATCAATTTCATTAACGAGATGGGACTTGTCCACTGCCCCTCCTTGATCATTTTGGGCGGGACAATTCATGATTGATTTCACAGCTGTGTGTTGCAGGTTGAACGAGGCCCCGGTGAGAGGCTTCGAGAGAGACGTGGGCTCCAAGACCACCATGAGGATCACCTATCCCGAGGGGGCCATCCAAAAGACAGAGCGCTACGAGGCTCAGTCCCTGTTTGTCCTCTCGGCTTTTAAAGCTCTAGACTTCAAGTGGCTCCGACACATGGTCTTCAACCAGAGGCTGGTAAGGCAGCTGAAAGCTGTGTGCTTGGCCAGACGTCGTCAACATTCTGCAAACCTTTTCCTTTTCTACTTATTGAAAATATGCTACATTCACTATTTTTTAGAGGTTTTTACATAATAATATGCCCAAACAAGGAAATAATACCCCGTGGAGCAGATAGCGTAACAATGTCTTAGAACTTGTATTCTCTCTGCTGACCACCAGCGGGCGACTTCTCTCTTGATTCATTCCCTAAGTAACATTGTAAGTATGAGGCGTCTCTCTGTCACTCCCTCATGGTTTATGGGAATGTACCACATTCCTGCAGTCAATAGATTAATTAATTAACTACGATTAATCACAAACTTTGTTGTTTTAAGAATATTACAAGTAATGAGCAATCACAATCATTTGGCGGCTGTGTTTGAAGTGCCAAACCATCTCCCCACATTTAGCCTGGACGTTTCCAAACCACGGTGAGATGGACGTAGCCTAGCAGCTAACTTAGCCTAGCCTAGACGTGGAGGAATTCCCCTGCACAGCTCTCCGCTGTATGTCGCGCCTCCAAAATGCTCCCATTTCAGCTAGCATCTCACTTTCTCCGATCTAACTGACTGCAACTAGCAGCAGTTTTGTTTTCCGGTGAACTTTGTACACCGTAAGTAAACAAAGTAAACAATTTTATCGCATTAATCTCGGCCACATTAATCACATAGAATAACGTGTTTATGTTGACAGCCGTAATATATATATATATATCATTTATATTTTATAAATATAAATATATATATATAAATATTGATATATATTTCATATATATCCTAACCCCCCCAGGTGATCCCCATTGAAACATGCCCCTCCAGCTCCGACCAGAGAGCAGCGAGAGCCCGCATGGATATAGAAATTGAGAAAGTCGAATAATAGAGTAGTGGTGGTAAAGGTCTTCAAAGCGACTCTATGTCCCATGTTAAAGTGTCCCATGTCAAGACACCTGACACCTAGATTGCTACCAGGGCAAAATGTAAAAAAAAAAAAAGCAATGTACGTCGCTTTGGATACAATCATCAGCTAAATGGCGTGTAATGTAATGTAAAAGCTGATGAGACCAGCTTAATTTAGAACAACACTTCGGGGCATGGGGGGCGGGGCAAATTCCCTCCCCGAGAGCAGTGCACACAGCAAACCACTTGTTCAGTTGTTTTAGACTATAGACTAAAGAGGTGTAAGGATTGCTTGTCATTTGACCCCGTCGGCTGTGTGCAGACGGGTGTCCTACCAGTGCTACCAGCACAGCAGCAGTGTCGGGTTTCCTGCACGGATAGAAGAGCAAGATGGTGTTAGATCACCACCTGATCCATCGGTCGAACAGGGCAACAGCTCTATGCTAGTTCGCTAATAGGTCAGTGCTGTTGGGTTTCTCCCTTCTCTTCAGCATACCTGAACAAACTGAGAGGCAGGTATCCCAGTAACTGCTCATAAATAGACAGGCTACTGGTAATTAGGTTAATGGCCCCTGGTCTACTGATACGGGGGCTTCCTCTGACTGGCTTTGTTTGCTCTGCTCGTTTTTCATCAACGTTTTAATGGCCTTGACCCCCCCCCCCCGGCCTCAGCTCAGGCTATTGCTTTCTCTTGGCTGCTTAAGCTCCATCATGCTTTCCACCCTCGTCCATTTGCACAATACCCTGCCATGCAATGTTAGTATGAACTGATAAATTATATTTATTCATCGTTACCATGTATGATGACTGATGATATCAATAATCATCTATTTTTTTCTGACTCTATAATACTTTAAATAAAACATATAGATCATAATGGATGTGAATGGTCCCAGCTCTGTGCCCCATGTGACACTTGAAGCCGCATTTGTGATTAAACCATTATGAATATCTGTAACAGACTTGAAAGTATTTTAAAGATTATAGTTTAGTTTTAAAAAGTTAAGTGAAGTCAGTAATTGGACAATGTATTGAAATCTTTTAATTTTTTTTGCCATTAAATTTCAATTTTTAATATACTATCTTCCTCCCTCTCTGTGTCTCAGCACAGCACCGATGGCTTCTGGAAGTCGGTGGCCAGGCACGTTCCAAGGGACCCTGGCGACATGCGCATCCTGAACCCCTACTTCATCCAGGAGGCCTCCTTCAAGCTCATCGGCTTGCCCCACAACCGCGGACAGATGGGCAGAGGGGTGAGAGGCCTGCCGTTCCCGTAGCAGTCACTCCCCGTTCAGCTCTCGGGCTGAGAAGTAGCAGGAACAGCGTGAGCCGTTTCTCACACGGCCGACAGCTAATGGTCAGGACCGGTGCCTCTGGTAGCCGACTCCACTGTGTGTCTGTTTGCATTACCGAGGCCCCCGTGAACACAGCGCAGACGCTTCAGGGAGCCCACAATGCCGTCTGAAAACAATGTGTTGCCATTAGGCTGTTATAAATAGAAACATTCCTACATCTCACATCTGTAAGATCTCCACACGATGACCACGCAGTTCAAACAACGCAGGTTTCTAGGGACTCCACATGTTCTGAGAAACAAGTCCTGGCCCGCTTTCAAACACATTATGCCTGTTTTTCAGAATATCCCGACCCTTGGGGCGGTCGCCATAACAATGGCCCTCCATAACTGTGATGAAGTAGCAGTGGCTGGATTCGGCTACAACATGAGCACCCCCCATGCCCCGCTGCACTATTATGAGAAGATCAGGATGGCGGCCATCAAAGAGGTAATTGGTGGTGTCTCTGTGACGGTTCTTAAATGCCTTTCATTTGTCCTATTTTTAAATCAATCGAGTCTTTCCATTTCTCCCCAACACTATCCGGCCAGTGTCCCAAAGTGGAGGATTCTCTCATTTCTCGCAGAACAGGCCCCTGGCCTGTTTTTAGCCCTCTGGCCCAAAAATGGCATACCCATGATAAAAAGTGTAACAGCTCTGGAAATTTGTCTATTTGGACTATTTCTGTCAGAATAAACAGGAAGCCCATGTGAGTCAGTTTATATGTTACTGGTGAAGAAATAACATATTATATTAAATATTTTATCCCATTAATCTCGGCCACATTAATCGCATAGATTAACGTGTTAACCCCCAGTCAAGGCGCTCCTGCAATAGATCACTGAGGTTCAGCTTCATGTCGCTCTGGAAACCTGTTTTTTGAAAAGGCTGTCAGCCAGTTCCCAGTGCTCTTAAACGATGGAAATACTTAGACGAGAGCTTGTGCAACACCGCACATGCTCGGCCGTTTTATTGCGTTTCTCGCTAGTAGAGTGAACACAACGTTCGAAGCACAAATAAGAAGTTTCATTCTGTCAAGAGCAATTTAAATATGGAGTTTTGGTAAGGCGGCCTAATGTATATCTTTTTTTTGTCATGTCATGGCATTCGTCTTCTGAAGACTGGACTATTGTAACAGTGTGTGAGCCACTCTATTTGGCACATTTTAATTTCTTGTGACACAATGTCACAACAAATGTGTCAGCATTCTGAGCGGGCTGTCCACCCAAATCCTTTCTGTTAGTTTTGGAACCGTTTACTGTGACCTTTTCTCTCCCGCATGCAGCGGTCTGTGTATGAGAGCTCAAGTGTAGCCGCGTTGCTGCGTGCCGTTTTTTAAAAGAGAGTCCGAGCGCAGTGCCGCTCGCTCCACTTCACCCTCTCTGCCCGCTCATGAATCACTCTTATCCCCGGTTCCTGAGACAAGACATGCAATCCCCTTCATCCTCCTTTCCTTCGCCTCCCACGGTTCCTTCGCCTCGCAGTGACCCAAAGTTCCTGATCTTTTTAATCAGAGAGCTGGGAAATTAAATAAGTAATTCAGTATTTTGGTAAATCAACATTAGAAAAAGGGGGACAATTTTGATTTATAATTATAACTTAAACAATAAACACTTTTCAAAGAAGAATGCTCTTTGTTAAATAGTCAAAACAACACAGTGGGACTAGTTTTTAGTTGAGGAGATGGACACATCCTTTTCAAACACTGGTTCAACAACGTCAACTTGATGTCAGAGCCTAAAGTGGCGCACCGACTCACACAATCGACAAATCACCTGCTCCATCCTGCTGGAGTGGTTTTAACCGTGAAATGTTGGATCGTGGCTTTTTATTGCGAGAGATTCCCTCTAATTGTGTCCAAGAACTTGGAGCTGAATGAGTTTAGCCCTGTTTTTGCAACAGCTGTGCTCGATGTCCTGTGTTGCGCTACTGGCGGATTCCCTCGCCAATCAGTAGTCTGCAGTGTTTCAACTCCACCCTCTAGCTTTGCAAAAAGCGCAGTTTGGGGCCTCAATTGAGGTTGTACAGATAATGGTACTATCCACAACTCTAGCTACTGGAAACACAAAAAACAACCTTTGTAAGTGTGAGACGCACTGAGACAGAGCATGCACCCGTTGGTAACGCAAACGCGTGAGTGTCTGATTTGGGTGCATTTGCTATAAGTAAAAGCATGAAGTGTATTAGAACCAAAGCTTTAGGCAGACAGATCAACCAGCATATATGTGTGAATCAACACACATCATATTAAACTAGTACTATTCTTAGTTTGCTCATGGGGGAATTCCTCCAAAATGTATTTTTATTCAGATGTTGAAAGCTTGACATAAAGAAACCTAATTTGAGTGCAATAATAATAATAATCCAATTTTCTCTCTGCAGTCCTGGACTCACAACATATTGAGAGAGAAGGAGTTCCTGCTGAAGCTGGTGAAGGCTGGAGTCATCCAGGACTTGACCAACGGGATCTGCGGTGCAGGATGCTGATGGTCCTCACTCAGCATCACGATGGATGGATGCAGCACTGTGCTCACCTTCCACCTGCTTCCATCAGAGAGCAGCAGCTGTCACACAGTACTGCGGCCCGTGCTGAGGCACTGTTTGTTTTGGGCATTGACATATTGCCAGCAAGCGGCCTCTGTATTTAGCTTGATCTACTGGCTGGTCAGTGTATATTTACATGGTTTTTGGTGCCCTGGCTCAAAGGGGAACATCCTCAGTGATGGGGATCAAACCAGAAAATGGACCAGAGCTACTCCAGGCTGCGGGGCGGGGTCGGGGGTAGAGGATGAAGGGTTTAAGTATTGAGCCTGTGCCAAGAATACCTCTACAAGTGTCCTTCTACCCACGTATCTGAATGTAATCTGCATAAAACATAGTTATTTTTTTCTGTCTTCCAGTGGCTGCATGACTCAGTCGTCGTAGACCAGACGTCCGTGGGTACACCCACTCTATATCATAGCAATTACAAATTACACAAACATTACGTAGGCAACAGTACTCCCCCCTAAGTAATGACACTCAAGTACAAAGTTTGGCTTCCACTCTGACTACTGATCTTACACTCCCACGTGCACTAGATGTGTCTGAGTCGCATTTAGCTTTCAATCAGTCTATGTGGGAATGTACATATTTATTGGCACTTGACTTAACTAATGTTTGCGATACGATGGGTGTCATTCGCTACTGATTTTGTTGCAACATGCACTGTTGTTCAAAAGTGTGGAATCAGCTGTTCAATTACAGAGAAGTGCAGTAATTGAAACACATAATTGTACTAAACAGCTGAAGAATAATAGGTTTTAAACTTCCATTCATTCACATTCTCACTGCTTTGCATAACAGAAGGGAACTTAGATTTGGAATGCTTTTTCTAGGAGAGAAAAGCAGAGTATGAGCTATAATCATTATCGGCACACACACAGACTGCAATGAGGCTCCTGATGGGTTTTTGGGTGGAATTGACACTCAGCGATCTGAGTGTACTGTATCCAGATTTTGTGGATGTAGATTCCAAACTTTTGAAAAGTAGACCCATTTTCTTTTTTGTTTCTGTCACCAATCATAAATTGGCTGCAATTTTTTTCTTGTAATCTTGTATAAAACACAAACAATATTAAAATGTTTTAGAAATATATTCATTAAACATAAAAAGAACATGTGAACTGTAAAGGAGGCACAGCTTAGTTGCGGTGCGGCGAGAGCGTGGTGTGGCTGCCTCCAGTGGACATGGCGAGAGTAAATCGTCAGTTTATCTATGAATAAACTGCGTCTCGGGTTGTACTTTTGCGTTCCACTGTGTAGGCCAGACACGTTTTAAATGACTTTATAATATACTATAATATACAGTATTTCACTTTTTATTTAGTATTTCCCATCAGTATTTCATTAAGCGTATCTTTGAGGATGTTGTTATGATAGTGAATCACAACTGTTTCCAGCCACTAACAATGATTTGCTTGCATGACTGATATGTAAATCATATCACTATGTTTTCAGCTGGTGGCATTGCAACGAGTGCTTTAGGTCAAGCTGTATTATGAAAAGGTCAAGCCCCCCCAAACATGAAGTTGGTTTTAATTCCCAATTTGACTAATCATCATGGTCATCAACAGAACATATCTGTACAATTTTGATTTAATATGTAACCTTTAGGATCTGTTGGAACTGAAATTATATAGTGCTTTTCTAGTCTTTTCGAGCCCTCTCCAGGTTCCAATCCACCTAACCGACAGACTCTATCTCAATCAACAACTGCAGATCAGCAAAGTTTCTGTCACCGACGGTGTCCCCCAGGGTTTAGTGCTTGGTCCCCTTCTGTTCATCCAAATGAACAGACCTCTACAACCAGGCGCCCTCCAACTGTTCTGACAGCCTTTACCCTCCTGATGCCTCACGTCTGTTTATATCAACCAAGCGCCAAACCAGCGGTGGATTTTTTTTTTCCCGTTGGTTGCTCCTCTCTATATCATCACCAAATCACATTGGAAAATAGCCCCACATTGACGACAATCAAAAGGCTTTCAAAACCCACCTCTTCAGATCTTAGACCCCCACCCCTCATATTTTTTATTTCGCAGTTGATATCATTTTATGCTACATATTTACCAAATGTATTCTTAATTTATTCTGTCTGAATTTGATTTACCAGGAATCTAAGTATATAAAGTGTCTTTGAGATGTTTGAAAAGCCCTTCATAAACCTGATGTATTATCATTATTACTACACAAGGCAGCATGTATGTGATGTGGGCTGCAGGGGACAGAAATGACAACTGAATGACCATGAATGACCATTTCCCCTCGATGTGACTAGAGAGCGTTGGGCAGGGTTCTGCTGGCTTTAAACTCACTGTGATCATACTCTCTTCTCATCATTGTCCAAAGTAATATAATAACGTAAGAGCCCCAAAACGTGGTAAACCTGCTAAGGGCTGCTATCTCAGGCTCCCAGCCATCATAATCAGTGCTACTATCAAAGACATAAACTGAGCTTTATGATGCAATCTCGTTACATACTACAGTCAACTGAATTGTGAAATGTGTTTGTGTTACGTAATACACTGTGGCAACGTTTGTGCTCACACTGGTAAGATGCCCAAGCCAAAGTATTACTTTATTTATTTTAGGCTGTGCAAAAGAACGTGTTAAAGATTAAAGATATAAGTGATGCTGTAAATACTGATGTGTCTGTTGTAAAAAGGGGGCATTGCGCGGCATATAACATCAGAAAGACAATCAAAAACTATTTGTATAATATGTAAATCAACATAGAAATATGTGTTGACAGCGCAGCAGGTAGTGTTCTAGTACCAGCAGCCAGTCATGTAATACAAGGGCCACACATTTGGCAAAAATGAATCCCTCCACTTTTTCAAATGAATGGGTGAAACTGGAAATGAGTACATAAACATAATTTGCAGCTCAAGATTTAGACCATATTCGGATTTACTTCTATTCTAAAATCTAGCAACTATAAAGCAGCCTGTAATTCAAATGGTGGGGGGGGGGTCTTGGTTATACATCAATGATTACTAAGACATCTGCAGCTGCATGCAATCAAAAGCATCGTCAAAGTAAACAAGTCTGTCCCTTTATTGTATTTGTCTCTCCATCCTTTCCTTTTTTTTCTGTTCCCTTTCCTATTGACCCCTGGGCTCCTGAGTCTCATCGAGGATGTTTCCAGGATGTCAGACTTTATTCAAGCAGTTAAGCAGCAAAACAGGTTCAAAAGATAAAGATAGAAAGTTAGTCATCACATCAGCTGGGTCGGTCTTTATTAACAATCCTTATGAAGTAGATTCAGCATGTGAATCCATCAGTATACCTTCGGTAGCATGGAAGTGTGAGGTAAAAAACACAACTTTTCGCTATAAACAAACTACACCATGACTTGACATCGCCATCATTAAGCTATTGGTGGAGCAATGGTGATGTTTTGTATTGCCATTTAGACACTTGTTACCAACCTCAAAGGCATATACAAATTTTAATGTTTAAATTATTTTATTTATAGTATTTTCATATCTTAAAGATTTGGGATTTTTGTCCTAAAAACACCTTCAAAAGACTGACCGAGACAACAGGGCAGGCAGTGAGTCCTTTCTGCAGCACTCCGTAACAACGGGTCTGACGAGCAGGAGAAGCTCTCTGTCACGGTTTGGGTTCACATCTCGTTTTATTTTGTAGTTTCATGCCTCTGGTGCTCCTGGGTTAACTTCACTTCCTGCCTTGTCCTGTCATCCCCTGCGATTGTCTGCCGTGTCCATGATTGTCTCCACCTGTGTCCAACCACCTGCACCTTCCCAGTTTAAGCCATGTGTGTCTCTTGTCGAGTCATTGAATGTTCAACCAAATGTAAATCTCCAAGCCCTGAATGTCTACCCTGAACCTCGTCCCTGGATTGTGTGAGTCCCTGTTCCCCGTCTGCGATTTTCCGTATCATCGTTTTTTCCCCCCTGGTGTTTTGGATTTTTGGATTTATTCAAAGTATCTTTTGTTAGTCCTGCTTCCAGCCACGCCACCCCGGCCCCTCCGGGCGCCGGATCACACTGGGAGCGGGTGATGGAGCTGTCGGCCCACCTCCAGGCCACCTACTCCCTCCCGTCCCCTGGTCCTCTCCCTCCCGCCCTGTAGTGTTTCGAGGGCCGTCTGGAATCCGGTCCTTGAGGAGGGGGTCCTGTAGCCGGCGTCCCAGTGTCCGGCACCCAGTGTCCTGCAGCCGGCGCCCCGACCCTGGCTCCCTGTGTCCTGCAGCCAGCGCCCCCGAGCCCGACTACCATGTTTGTAGGCAACATTATTCCTGTTTCATAAGAAAAAGGCTGTTATTTATGTAGAGGAGCCCACCGTTTGCCAACTTTGTCCGATATTCGGACCCAGAAACAGACCAAACGACTTGCAGGAGGAGGATGTTTGTAGTTCTGCCGCCTACATTTCGGCTAAAGTGTCATCGCTGCAGTTAGCCTCCGATGTCCTGTTGTTCAAACTTCAGTCTAAGTATTCAGATGACGTTTTATAAGCAGTACTCCGATGTTTATAAGTGAACGAAGGTAAACACGAACCTCTGGTGAGTCACTGTGTTCCTCTCTTAATGAGCACTTAGTGAAGACAAACAGGGAAACCACTCATTGGTGTGATAGAGGGATACTACTGTATGTACTGTAAAAATCTCGTTTCTCAAAAGAAATAATAGAAAATTAAATTAGTTTCACATCCTTTATGGTAAAGAGAACTTTGTTTCTGGCTTTTTACGAGTCGTTCCTCCCAGTCTGTTAATTGGAATTTGGTTAATCTTGTATTCAGTCATTTGACAGATTTGTTGTTGATGTAAAGAATTCTCAAGATCCACCGAACATCTGTGAATCCTTGTCCCTCAGTCCCACCACTCTGATCATTAATCTGTCTGCTTCCAGAATGATTCATGAATTGTATATCAGGCAAAACTGTGAACATTTATTAAGCCAATCACAAGTCACAAAATTTTTTTTACACTGTGGTCTCTCACCATGGAAACATGTGGACATACATACATGTTTTAACATACTTAGTGTGTAACATATGTGGCAATAAATGGATTCTGATTCAAATGTGATTTAACATCAATGTTATTCAACCCTCTACAGCAGGGACAGTTAGCCCAATAACACCGATGTAGGGCGCCAGAAATGAAATGGAATTTCTGTCCCATGTCGTGGGACTCATGACATCCTCAGAAAAAGAACTCTCAAACGTTTGACAGCCTCTATATGCTGACAGTGAGCATTAGAAGCTCACCCTTGTAGGTGAGGAGTATTTCTTCTCACCATTCTGTAGGTGAGGAGTCCTTCTCCTCACCTACAAGGCACTTTCTGGTGAGGCACAGTCTTGTGGCTTGTAACACCTTATTGCCCTACAAGGCAGCTGCGCTCCATAGATGCTGGTTACTTGTTGTTCCTATGGTTTTGAAAAGTAGGATGGGAGCCAGAGCCTTCAGTCATCAAGCTCCTCTTTTGTGGAACCAGCTTGCACTTTCAGTCCGGGGGGCAGATTTGCTCAGCTCTCAGGATAAAGCTTAAAACGTTCCTCTTTGATTGTGCCTATAGTTAGGGCTGGCTCAGGTCAGCCCGGACCAGCCCTTAGTTAAGCTGCTATAGGCTTAGACTGCCGGGGGACTTCTTAGGACACACCAAGCTCCTCTCACGCTCTCTTTCTACAATAATTCACGTTTTATTAATGCACATGACTAATTCAGCTTCTTTCAGGGAGTTTTTTGAGCTTTCTCCCCTATCGTAGTTCCTTCTGGACCCTGGTCCTGTGGCCCTGCTGACGCTTGCTGCTGCCATCATCATCAGCATTATTACTTTAGATATTAATCATATTACTGTACTCGTAAACCAACATTTCCCTCTCATAAAGTCTCTGTGCTCTCCCTCCCCACAGGCTTCTGTGGATGGTGGTTCTATCTGATGGTGGTTCTATGTGATGGTGGTTCTATCTGATGGTGGTTCTATCTGATGGTGGTTGCCCCTGCAGTGGTCCTGCTGTGCGCCTGGCTTACTACTCACAATATTTCAATCATTTCTGTCAGAGGAATTGAATGTATTATACATCTTCTACATTGTTCATTCTGTACACATGGCATCTATTGTAGTCTGTCCACCCCGGGAGAGGGATCCCTCCTCCTTAGTTCTCCCTAAGGTTTCTTCCCTTTTTTCCCCATGGAAGGCATTTTCATTTTCCTTTTCAGTTCTTCCTGTGCCGATGTGAAGGTTTTGGGACAGAGGATGTTGGATGTGTACAGACCATAAAGCTTTCTGAGGCAAATTTGCGATATTGGGTTATAGAGAATAAAATGAATTGAATTGCATAGATGTGCACATGGAGAGAATGAGACAACAGACCACTCGCCATCACCTCGCGTGGCTCTGAAATCTTGTTGTGGGATAAACTTTATGTGTGTTGTATCAACATTATTATTTCCACCCATTTGTTGGCTCTGCACATACAAATTATAATCCAGAATGACCTTAAACTAACTCTGCCTAGTGGGAGGAGGCGGATTACTAAAATTATCATAAAATACATTACAGCGATTTCCAGCTTTGAAGGTAATTAGTGACTCACAGCAGAGGAATGTTAGCAGAAAGATAAGATGGGAAGTGAGACTAAGGGAGGTCCCTCTGTACGCTGTGATTTTAAAAAAACACTGACAAAAGATAAATATATTGTCATCATACAGTGTGTGATTTGCATGGTATTTTAGGACCGACCTGGCACAACCCTCATGTGCACTTGATCCAACATGCAGCCTAAATTATTGAGCTGCTCCAGCACGCCCATATCCCCACATATGTCCCTAGGGTTCTCGTTCTTCATCGGTTTTAGGTCCTCAGCTAAATATCTTCTTGAAACGACACATGAATGAGACCTTAAAACATATGTTTTTTTCTTCTTTCTTCACTTTAAGTAGCTGAAAGGACTTTTAACCATTCAAAGTGAAACGTTAATCCTTAATCAGCTGGACAACTCTTACCAAACTATTTTAATGACGACCCAGGGAAGATGACTCCACCTCCGTGGTACCTGCTATCTCTGAGGTCTGTTGTTGCAGCCTTCATCCTGGCGGTGCTGCAGTTATAGAAAACAAATTTAGATTTAGTGAGATCGCAAACTGCTCTGCTATGGACAGAATGAGCAGGTGGCCCCTATTAAAAGAGGATCCTTGACCTCGACATCTTCTCAGGCGGTGTGTTAGGAGCTGGGAGGGTGGGTGGGGGGGGGGGGTCACTGGGTGAGTACACACAAACAGAAGCTCCTCACTACTTTGTAGGTGGCCTAAGTATGACAACATGGGAACACCGAGGACAACAGAGGGACAACGTTCACATACCAAGCTGCGCTGACCAGCCCGGCTCCAGTTCATCTCACTCAGTCCCCTTTTTCATCTGTGGAACCTGACCCGGGTCTGATCGGTCCAGACCATCATTCAGTTTTAATTAATCCTGGACCTGGAGGCAGGCGGAGCCATGTTCTGCAGCAGAGTGTGGCTGCACAGGCTCAGGTTGCATTCCTCTTTATTCCCACAGACAAGTGCATCTCCCCTGTGACAAACCTGCGCTGCACAGCAATACACAAGGGAGCTCCTGCAGATGGAATCCATGCATCTGTCTTTACATGTCCTAAAAGTCATCCACAAGGGTTTGTGTTTGTTCTTTTTCACCACTATCGCTATTAACAGAGACGCTTTTGAGCAACAAAGCAGTTTTCACTCAACATCGATTCCAAGTTTCCAACTAACTAGGCTGTGGAGTATGCATGTTTCTCCTGCGTCTCTATGAGTTTACATCAGCTGCTCCTGTTTCACACAATTCCAAAGAGACGCCCATTTTGAATTAAGTTCAATCTCAAACGACACACAGCATCAGGCCTCAACACGTTTGTGCAGCCAGAACTGGGTTTGCTGGGTCCAGTTCGGAACACTTGTATAAGCAGGACTAGCAGAAAAAAAGTGTTTCAAATAGGAATATAAAAAAGCTTTTGCATGCAGCCCAGCTTAGAAGTGATACTCAGTGGACTGTGGTGGGTGAGCCGTTCTTTGAATCCAATTCCAGCCCAATAACATAATCACAAAATGTAATCTATTGGTTTCGTGTACATGGACCAGTTCAGAACAAAAACACAGGACCATGTGACCGTGTTCAAAATCGCGTTATGGGTGTTTGGTTGTGGGATTTGTGCGTAAACATAAAGTTTGTGGCAAATTTAATTGTGATAGATTTCCAAAAAACAATTACCTCGTTTTGTTGCTGGTCCTGGCGACTCAAACTTGCTCAACCAAAATGTATTTTTTTCTGACGGCCTTTAGCACTATCTTCGTTTTTCCTTTCTGTAACTTTGATAGACAGGAACCTTACTGATAGGTGGCCCTGTGTCTTGATCCGTCTGTCTCACTCACACACATATTTTTTAGAGGGGGCAGTTTGCAGATGTGAAGGCATCTGTTTTTTATATGTTCAAACTCCCAAGTGCTAGTATAAATTACTCTGTATCCACAAAACACCACCACATGCATCAGCTCCAGTTTGCTGCACAAAAGTGTGTGTTCACATCACCCGCTCAAGAAATGAGCTGATAATATTCTACTTAAGTTTGCTCAATTTTTGAATATGCTCCAAACATAGTATGTTAAATCAGGTGGGAGCCTAACAGGGCCCGGGCCTCTGGGTTACAGGGACTTTAATGGATGCTGTGAGCCTTTGGAACAGGATTCCCCCCTGTCTCTGTCTGTCAGCTCAATGCTAGGCTGTATTCGTGATGTCAAAAAGAATTACCTGTTAACGTCTATTCCTAACGCCTATTCATCCTTTGACCTCTGTGGAAAACATCCTAGGGTGAAGGAAAGCTGGTTAGTGGAATGAGGAGTTAGGAAAAGACAACGCAGTGTTTAGGGAATCTGACTCCACTTTCACTAAGCTACGTAGTTATGATGCGGCGGGAGACACTTGTTAGTGCCACAGTTCATGCGATGTAATGTGACGTTGCGTTGCTTGAGCTCTCAGCCCATCTGATAATCCCAAACGTACCTGGATTTAATGTCCCCTATCACCATTGACTGTCACCTCTAGCAGTGGACCAATTTCCTCAAAGAGGAGAACGATGAAAAGGTAACGCAGAACCAAAGGCAATGGCTACACTTTTCATTGTCTTTTAAAAAGTCCCGGCTTTAGAAAAAGGACTTCAGGAAACCATAAAAGTGGACAGAAGTAAAGTACCGGAGTCCAATCGTTGAAAAATATTTTAATATCCAACCACCTATAACTGAGATCCAGGAATGTAAGCTTGGGCAGATGTCCTGACCTGCATTCTACAACCAGCAGGACACTATTAGGACCATGCTTGACCACCCAGGATAAAGGTGACCACGTGTCCCCCCCTGCTGGAATCGGTGACAAAGGGGTCTGCCCAACAATGCGACATTAAAGCATCCGGCCCTTCACAGGTACTGAGAGCCTCCTTGATAGAGCAGCGGTGCGTCTCGGAGCGTCCCATTGAGATCCTGGGAGGTAGACCTTGAGCATTGGCGGGTGTGATTGACCTCAGGGTGTGTGCTGATTGCAGGGTAACGTTCAGCTTGTGGTGATGATCATGGGTAGTCTTGTCACGGTGCTTCTGCCCATGCCTGCCTGCTCCCTAACATCAGCTGCCAATTATAATTGGCCGTGACTGAAGAAGCGTTTTGTGTTTGGCAGTCGACTTGCATCTCTACATCGCTCATTTAATTTGCTCTATAAAACACAGGCGTTCTTTTTGGTTCTGAGGTAAACGGAGGCTTACAAGCAAAAAGTACATAGAAATAGCTCTGACTTTGATGGAAGGTGAGGTCACGCAGGTTTGTGAGACCTCTTCCCAGATCCCATTTCCTCCACATTATTCATCCCGCGCGTACACACTGTTTGTGCAGCTGATAACCATACGCCTGAAAACACATCACACAGCCGGGGCTAAACTGAGTTTAAACGGGTATTGAAATAAACATTATTTCAGCCATCAATCCCTTTTTGAATGGTTAACCCATCATTCTTGTGAGAAAAAGTTAATTGTATCCTTTGGGAAGTGTCGGGAAAGGATTGATGATGCTCTGCTCTGTGTTGGGTAAAGAGTAATGGGGAAATAATCAGGTGCAGCCGGTCAGAGTCACATAGTAGGATGAGAAGCCGGGGCCTGGCAGAGAGGTAGAGTTGAGTCGGGTAAAGACGGAAGGTATAACTCACTCACGCTGGATGTAGGAAAACAAATCTGTTGCCTGAAAGTAACTGTGCTCTCAAGAATTCAAAGCTGCCCGAGGCGAGGTTTTGATGCAATTATCTGCTCATTATGTCAGCTTGAATGATGAAGAGCAGCCTATCCCCCATTTGAAATGCAGTTTGCTCTGTTGAATTCTTCTCCAGGTACGGTCACGGTTAGAAAGCCCGAACATTTAGTGAATTAAATCAATGTAGCTTGAGCTGAATCAATCGAAAATAAGGATGATCAAAGTTCACAAAACAACTTAATTTTGTTGTTAAAATCTACAAACGTTGAGTTTGGTATCCGTATTCGTTCCCTTTGAATACCAAAATGTTGCTTACTTACTTACTTATAACTTCAGACCTGTCTCGTCTGGTAATCATTTAAAGGCTGCACAGTCATATCGTAGAACTTACTTAAGAAGATTATTGTGGTTGAGATGAATGCAATAAAATATTTTAACGTACTTAACGCAACTTTGTTTACTTCCGGTGTGCTTTGACCCCTGACCCCTGAAACCGCCGCGTGCTGCAGTCAGTTATGTTAGATCAGAGAGACCGAGGTGGTCGTAGAAGATGGAGAGAGCTTTTTGGATGCAGCGGATTCCTCCTCGTGTCAAGAGAACCACCACTCTGTCACTAAAATACAGTGGTTTGGAAAACGTCCTGGCTACATGTCAGGAGATTGTCAAATGATGGAGAGTTGAGAGAACAACCAAGTGCATGGAGACAGAGTCACTCGTTCAACCTGGTGGAATTCTGCCCCAGATGATCACGCGTGTAGTTTTGTGTTTGAAATACAATAAAACAACAGTGTCTCAAATGCATGCTGTGTAAATTGACGAGTAGTCACTTTACACAGCATGTATTTGAGATTTAGTCTTTAGTCTTAAATTTTAATCGCGATTAATTCCTTCCAAAATGTGCGATTCATTATTATTTATTTTTTTCCATCTATAAGTGTAACGTTAAGTGAAACATCATTTTTGTCTTGTTGTCCGTTGTCTCACAGTCTTACTGTTCAATGTTATGCCCGCCCTGTCAAATTTCTTGTATGTCTATGTGTTCCTGGTTCCATTTAAAGTGTGACAGCAGGACACTGTGTGTCGGAGCAGCTGGTCACTGTGGGTCCGTCAGGCTGCGAATGGGACGCCCCGCTGTGGATCGCGGCCTCTGCTTGTGCAGCCTGGACGTGTATTTTCTTGGAGAGCAGGTAGAAACTCGGGCCTCATGTTTGGAGCGCCAGCAGCACCGCCTTGATCAGGACTCTGTTTCTAACGAGTGTTTCTTCTTTCTTTGGTTTCCATTTATTTAGCTGCAGTTGGACAATTCAATTAAAGAAACTGGCTTGAGTGACACAAATAATGATGTCTTTGATTTCTGAAGTCTTAAATCTGCATTTCCGACTCTGACAGTTAAAAGCCTCCACGGTTGAATGAAGAATGGGGAATTGCTTTAAGAATGAAACAGCTGAAAGTCGATGGGATTCCAAGTAAAAGCCAGGGACCGGGTCCAAAGAGCAGAAATGAATTGACTTATCAATCACAAACATAATGTTTTGGGATAACTGATCGTTACTTTTATTGGTGGATTTAAGACGGTATGTAGTGTGACATGAGCTTTCCTGTTATGGGTGACTTATTTCAAGCTAGTTTCAAGTCTAAGCTATTTGATTTTCACACTGAGAATCTAAAGAAGACAATCAGCATGTGTGATTTTGTTAAATCGTATAAGCAATGGTGTCATAGGATAGATTGCATATACGTGTAACATCTTTATTTTCACATATACTTGGACAATAAAAGTCATTATTCCTCTCCCCAAAACACTGATTGTCTTCGTGATTATAAGCGTTCCCTAAGAGTCAGAGTGTTGAGGAGTTACAGTAACGCTGTGAAATAACCAGCTCTCTTTATGTTTTAGAAGATAACTCATTGAAAAGACAGCGAGGATGTGGGTGACCTCCGTTGCTCTGCATGCGTTGTGAAGGTAACTTCCCCAGTGTGGAAGTCTCTGGTATGTTTTTGGTGTTTTTTTCCTCCTCCCCCTTTTGTTCCCAAGTTTTTACAAGTATCTCTGGCTCATCCAGCAGTGGCAGGTGGTCCTTCCTGCGCCGCAGACGCACCTCACTGAGCAGGTTAGTCATGAGTAAATGTGTGCGTTCCAGGTCACACCCCGGTGCCCCTCTGAGCTGCTGTCTCCCGCGCCGCTGCCCCTGCCAGGCCTCTTCCCCCGACGTCCCCCTTTCACCCCACCCTCACCCCCCAACCATTAGACAGCCTTCCAGGCTGAGAGGACTCCCTGGCCCGGGGGAGGGTGGCGGGTTTGCGGGCTCCAGCAGCGGTCGAGCAGCCCATAGAAGGAGCTGCGGCCTTCAAAGGGGTTTTTTAATCCTGTGTTCTTGGCTCGGGGGGCTGCTGGAGATGCTTTCGTGGAGGAGAGAGAGGTGGAGGGTTGCAGGGGTCCCACGACTGCATCGCCACAATCTGAAGAGGGGGGGGGAGAGTTTCACTTGAGCCCCGGCCAATCTTGATAAATCACACAGGAATGAGGATTGCACACCAGTCCTTGATAATGTCTTCCTGAACCGGTAGTGTGCTGTATGGGCACAGTGTCTGTATGTCTATCTATTCATAGATCTATAGTAGAATCTGGGACTCCCAATGCTCACATTCTATCACCTGGAGTGGACTCACGTCCCCTTGGTGACGTCGTGGTGGTTTATGGCACACCAAAAGCAAACGTGTGTTGGAGGAAGAGGGAACAAGACCCCCCGCGGGTTCTAACACGCACACACACACGCACACACACACATCTGGGCGTGGATCTTTAGTCAGGACGCACGGCACCGGACGGCCGCTCCTCTCACCGACGGGCGGCGGTTCTCGGCTCAGCCCCGCGGGATTCACGCCGCCGTCGCTCCCGTGACATGCCTCCGGCCGCGAGGAGGAGCACCGGAGTCGGGACTGCCCCACGATGCCCCGGGATGTGACCGGGGAGCCGACGCAGAGCTCCGCGGACGACATCCGAGTGCGCGCGGATTACCACGGCGGCCGGTTCCTCACGCTCACGTCCATGATCGGGGGGGCGAGCAGACCCGGCGAAGGTAAGCCCGACGGCCGCCCGACGGCCGCCCGACGGCCGCCCGACGGCCGCCCGACGGCCGCCCGACACCCGCCCGACGGCCGCCCGACGGCCGCCCGACTTCAGGCTCAGAAGTTTCTGGACTTTTAATGAGCGAGTGGATTTACGAGGCTGGACTTGGTGGATTGAATGGATTCATCTGTAACAGCGTGCGTTGTTTTTGTAGGAGCCACATGTGACACGTGGGGACGTGCGAGACTGTAAACAGGTTCATTTGCTTCAGACACCTTTGACTTCTATTAGACCACCGCGTGCATTTAAATCATTTAAATCTGAAACCGATCTTTTAAGCATGGGCATAAGGTGGTAATGTGTGAGGTTATTTGCTGGAATGAAGTGAATCCTTTCGAATTAAAACACAATCAGATATACAAGTTACAGAGATGAGCAGAGGAAAGCATGACGTTTTGTCATTGTTGGTCGATTTAATTGATAATGTATTGGTGCAACTAGACAAGCACATTGGCTTTTCATTTGGGGATTGAATAATTATGTTTATTACTGGTTGTACACGTTCAACATATTGGTAAAGGCAAAGATTAAAAAAATTATTATACCAACACTATTGTTATTTTTTATAACTGGGAAATCCTTGCTTCACTTCTCATAATCCAGGATTGCTACCAATTTGAAATAAGAGTAACAGACCACGTAGCACTAAACATAATCGTATGTAATTCAATGAAGCTGTTTGTTTTGTTCATTTTTAATAACATTCTGTGCCGTATGTGGCATTAAAGTGGAGTCTTAGATCCTCAGCAGCCGAGGAGCTTCGTCTGTTGTTACACATACGTTCCATTCATGTGAGAATATAGATAATAAGTCTGCCTGTGTTGAGAGGCTGGATTCTGCTGAGATGGAAGTGGAGAGTGAGTTTGGAACATACGATGATTTGTTGGACGGCGACTTGCTCCCTTGTCCAAGTGTCTATTTTAGGTCCATGGCTGTGATGTGTTGAGGCGATATTTAACAGCTCTCTGTTTCCTGAATCTCTCAGCCAAGAATTTTACACAGGGAGGAACTTGACTTCCCAAGCTTATTTGGACAGGATGACGGAGGTTACAAAAGGGACAAGTGGACGGGTCCCGACAGTTGTAATATCGTGATTAAAGCTCTATTGATTCATTGATTCCAGAGATTGTGTAATAAAGAAGGCTCGTACTGCATTAGGTGTGTTTCATTAAGCAGACGTTTGCTATCGCCCAACTCTGCTCTTCTCAGAGCTTTCTGTGTCTTCTGTCTTGTGGTTCATTGTTTTCTTTTTATATTCAGCAAATATATATGTCACGCTTTAGTCCTCCTGGAAACCACCGGGTGAGCAAAGAGGGATACTGATAAAATATCAAAGAGGGGGAAGAGACTTTCAAGGTCAGGGAAAAAGGGCCCACTGCGCCACTCTGCTAAATCTCCCATCTGCTACACTGAGCCACGTTGGTCGGGTTTACTGAACTAATGTGTGAAGCTACAGTTTATGTTGATATGGAACGGTGAACCAGAAGATGCCCGTTTTTTATCATTCAAACCTTTTTTACAGACTTGAAGGGCTTGAAGTGCTTTATCAGAAAAGCGTTTCAAATCCCAGGAAAGGATGAATGTCAATGTTTTAGTGTTTGGTGACAATGACCGTCGGAGTAGTACTCCCAAGAAATCGGCTGAGAAAAAGGCTAAAGTTTGACTTTACATGGGTTTTATTTATTTTATTTTATTCATTGATTGAATGATATTTTATATCTATACGGTGTTATTTAACCTCAAACCATGGCCACGATGATGAGGTGGCATCGGCAAGCGTTATCGGTAGCAACTGGTAGAATAGCAGCGCTTTTATGGATCAATGATCAGCATAGTTTGAAGGCATAGAAGAGCTTCAACGGGTCAAAGCTTCTGTCAAAATGAAACCTAGAACAAACAGAAGTGAATTCTTTGGCCGTTATCGTTTAAAAGAAACAGTAATAATACAATTCTAAGATGCCTTAGTTTCTCGGAGGAGAAATTATATCTGCTAGTCATTGAGTTTTGGCGGTTTAGCAAATGTTTAGTGTTTGATGTAACATAGAGAACTTCTGTGGCTTCTTGGTCTTATTCTCTGAGAAAGACACGTTGGTGAAGTCAGTGATAGTATAAATTCTGTGTTTATGGGAAATGCTCTGCTCTGAGGAAACCAAGGACAAAATTTGCGATGGCCAAAAAAAAAAACCGTATAGTAACTATAGGTGGTCTTTAATGTGAAAGCTATGGTGGCGTCATGTGATCAGAATGTGTCCCAGGCTACATTGACTTGGGAACTTCCACCAAGGAAATAGAAGAAGCATATTCTGCCTGGTGCTTAGCAACATCTGCTCGGCGCCGGTCACGCTGGGAAATCTAAACAGCCCCTTTTTATTTATAAAAGCTCAACTTTTATAAAAATGTCTTCAGGACATCTTGCAGGAGGTTCGGACAGGGTATGCTGTCGCAGCCATCTCAGTGGACGCATAAACATTTCAGTGCGGATTTGGGGAAATTGAACCGACTTCAGGGTGCTTGGTGGATGGTGGTTCAACGCTTTGACCACGGTAGATGTACTGACTGGCTTCAGTTGTCATTATTATTTATCAATGTGCCTACGGTGAATGAATTTACCGTATGCATGGTTAGTTTGTCCATCAGTGTACAAATGGGTGTGATACCTGAATCTGATCTGCAGATTGCATTGAAATCTAATGATGAGGCTCTACAGAATATTTATAATTCTTGTTATTACAATAACCCTTCTTAAAATGTCATATCATATTGCGACAATTGTCCTTTTAGGTTAATCAATATTGGATCTCAATGATACCAATGTAGCCTTTGTTTTTGTTTTATCTACGCTTTATTATATTTTATTTATTATTTTAAAATACTTCCTCATCCTCTGACTTTTCATTGTGTGTGTTCAAAATCCCTTTTGTGGATTTGATGAATGTAAAAAAAGGATTTTGCTGTAAAGTCAAAAACAGAAATGCCCTCAGATTTTTGCATGAAGGTTACAGGTTGAAGGTTCTTCTGGATGACAGTTGTGGGGTTCGGTTCATGGTTCCTCATCAGAGTGTAGCAACAGGACTAGTATTGCCTCGAGCATTGAACTCCAGAAGCTGAATGCTTCGCATTGTCTTGCTCACTGAGATGTATATAGTGGACATATTTGTAGGGCAAAAATGAAGTGTTAGTAATTGATGAGGTCTGGCGGGCCTTCTTTATTCATTTGTTTTAACTCACAGACATTTAAAAAGTTCCAGAGTTGACGGTTGGTTTGTGTGTGTCTGTGTGTGCGTGTGTGTGGTTGCTGCTGTCAGTGTGCTGTTACTAAGAGATGTAATCATGTACCAACATTCCTGTGTGAAAGCAGGAGGGTTTAACGTTTCTGATGACATGTTCTGTAAAAAAGTTTAATCCTAGATCTAGGTTATGTTTTTAATCTGCATGTGTATGAAATGTTTACCAGTACCAGTCCCAATTACAAAATAACAATTACTTAATAATGCAATATGCATCTTAGGCAGACTTTGGCACACTTGCACTATGTAGGGAACTAACATGCCCTCTTCAAGAATGATTTCTTCATCACATTTTGTCCAGTGGAAGAGCTTTTTATCTCCCATAATGGCATCCACCAAGGACCACAAGACCACACGGATTACTGTTCAACAATCAAATAACTGTTAGCCAGATTACACAGTAGGCTTCTAGGACAGGGAAAAAGTCCCCTTTCTCTTCTGAATCCTCAGCCTGGTGTTTTCTAAACTGTTGTAGCTGTATGGCAGGCAATTATTTACACGCAATTATTTACATGCAATTATTTACACGCAATTATTTACATGCAAACCGACCCACTACTCAACATCCAAATCAATTTAACTTGACAGAAGGGGAGAGTGGTTAAGCTTCTTTAAGAAACAGGAAGTTGTAAAAACAAACAAAAATGAAAGCAAGCTTTTGAGACGTTTGTGATCGACGGAGTCTTTGTTTCTGCGTTATGTGACGGTTCCACTTACGTTCGGAAACTTCTCATGGTTGTAATTCATTTTTATTACAGGGAGTGAACTTACAGCGTCTGTTATTTTATCATGCTATAAAATGTATTATATGTTTTCTATTAAATATTTTGGAGTTAACCCCAGATCCTTTCAAGGATGTTTCTGTTGAATAAACTTTTGATGAAGTGAATCCTCACCCAGTTAAAACTGGTCTCATATTTCCTTTAATTCAAGAGCTGCATCCAGCTGAGTCATTAACGGAATCTAGCTCGTGTTCTGCCTTTAACATTCACTGTGGGAGCTGGTCTAGAATCTCTGAACTACTCCCACATCTGACTATAAAGCAAGGAATCTCTTCACTTTTTTACTCTTCACCTACCTGGAGTAAACAAGCAATACGGGGTCTCCAATACTGCAAGGGTTCGTCGACCCGCCTGCACCACGCGGACTTCTGCCTTTACACTTTGTCAGTCGCTCTCCTTGAATTGATGATGCAGATTGGTTTGGCTTTGGCTGAAGCCTGATGCTTCTCTAGCGGGCTGCTTTCGTGCGGAGCGATGTTGAGCAGACATTAGTATCAAAAGAGGGGGAAGTGACAAGTGATGGAACGGCCACATTCTTTTGGAGGAGTTGAACTTCAGTTATTTTTATTGTTTCGCATGTTGGGTTCCTCTTCTGTTAATAGGAGAATAACTGAAACATAAGTTGTATCCCTTCCAATCTGGCTGAGGGTTTCTCCAAAAAAGACATTTTTGATTGATTATATTTCACTGTATATTTAATGTTATATTTCCTGCACTGTGTTTATTTGTTTTTTTGTCTTGTTGTGCAATGTACTAAAATAGAATAAATGTTCCTGATTCCTGATACTTCATTCCGATTAACTTAAAATCTAAGGTTGCCAATCATATTCAAAATATCACACACAGTCTGGTTGTAAAACGTTCTGCAATCATCTCAACTTTTATTCAAGTGCATCGTCATTACAAAACAGGGTTGTTGTTGCTCAGGTAGTAGTTGCTGTAATTTTGTCATTTTTGACAGCAGGTGTCTTGAACACCACCCCGACACATGCCAAAATGAGCAGACTTTAACAAAGCTTTTTCTTTCTTGGCAGGAATTGGCAAATTTACAAATTTACAAAAATTCATTTTTATTAAGGTTTTTTTTCCTCGACGGACCAGCTTCTTTCAAGAACCACGGAGGGGGCCTGCGAGTATGCTCATCCACTCTACATGTGTTTTGTGGACCTGCAGAGGGTGTATGACCGGGTCCCCCGAGAGATAATGTGGGAGGTGAAGCGGGTGTACCGGGTGGGGAGCCCATCCAATGGCTGCACGCCCAAAGTGAGAGCTGTGTTGGCATAGGGGGGGAGGGAGGTCTACAGTTTGGTGCGTTGTGGATCTCATTGCTGCTTTTTGCAAATGATGGTGGGGTCTTGATGGCATCTTCTGTCTGTGACCTCCAACTCTCACTGGAGCGGTTCGCAGCCGGGCGTGAAGCGGTTGGGTTGAGGATCAGCACCTCTAATTCTAAGGCCATGGTTCTCAGCAGGAAACCAATGGATTGCCGATTGGGGTCCTTACCCCAAGTGAAGGAGTTCAAGTAAAACGGGTCTTGTTCGCAAGTGAGGGGAAGATGGAGTGTGAGTTTGGCCAGAGAATCGGAGCAGCGGGGGCGGTATTGCACTCGCTTTATCACACCGTTGAGACAAAAAGAGAGCTGAGCCGGAATCTACCCGTCAATCTTCGTTCCTACCCTCACCTTTGGTCATGAAGGGCCAGGACTGTAGTGGAGGGTAAGCGCACGTAAATGCCGTTTACGCACCTCTGGAATTTTGGAAATAGCGTTTACGCACCTCAAAGTTCCCACCTGCGCCTTGTATTCTTCCGTTGGAATAATGTCAGTTTAAAACACCTAAGACTACATTTCATATTGTTGAACATATAAACGGTGTAGTTTGAATCATTTTCATCTGCGCTGTCTGGTCTGTGACCCTCCAATCAGTGCCTTGCGGGTGCGGCGGCTCCACCAATCAGGATGTAAACACACACACATATTATGGATCAGCCCGCCTGTTCGGAATGGATTCATTAGTTGCGTCGACTTTTTGAGCTTTCTCTTAATGGTTACAGAGCAGGGGAAGTGTTAACTTGTAGGATGGCTTTTTTCATATTACACGGTTCAGCTGTAACACCCTGGGCCTTCATTTTTGGAGGTCCTAATAGAGGTCCTTTCTTTTGTCTCCCCCTCCAGGCCCTCCATTTTTTTTGAGGACACATACACATACTTTCCTTTACTGTTTTCTTGAAATGTACATACAGTGTTTTACAAACACATTTATTCACTGTCATTGATTGTATATGACTTCAACTGATAACATAATATAATATAGCCAGGACAGCCTTACAGAGTCGCAACGCGTTGTGTTGTTTGCGTTGAAAGGTGCCAGTTGAGGTCGTTTAACAATGACATGAGAGAGAGACTTATTATTTTACAGTGCGCTAGCGTAATTCGGATAGCAGTATGTTAACCTACACGCTAACCAGCTCTGCTGTAACTTACTCACATCATGGACGTGAATAACATTTTACAGCATGTTACTGTATATTGGATTACAGTATTTTACTATAGGATTTTGTGTCGTAATTTTACGGTATATATGTATGGAAGTAAATCTGTCAAATATGTCATCGGATTTTGAAAGAAAAAGATGACTGAATATGTATGCATTGATATCATGCATCTGAATGTTTTTCAACGTTAAAATATTCAACCGCAAATAATTCAACATTAAAATATTCAACTGCAAAAAATTCAACCTCAAAAAATTCAACCGCAAAAATTCAACCGCAAAATTTCAACCTCAAAAAATTCAACCGCAACATCCGCGAACCCAAGGAAGATCAATCGATTCTAGATTCAAGATCGGGAGCGTGCGTCAAGTAAAAGGAGCGAGCGCCCCAATACAACTTGGGCTTGTCGACTATGATGACCCGATTTCAGCCATGTCCATTATAATGGGGCTTCGTTGAGTGTTTTAACTTTAACTTTATGCCATCAGTGTTGTGTCGTACAGACACAAACCAGTCTGTACGATTCAGTAATAGACAGCTGATGCTGGGATGTTTCGACAAGCTATTGGGAGGAATTGGCGGAGTTTTGAAACAGGGAACTCGCTTGTAGAGCGCATATGACCCCCTCCAGCGTACTGGGGGGGGGGGGGGGGGGCAGCGGCTTTAGCGGCTTAAACATACTTCACACATAAATACACACCTAAAGCACATAACTATGTGTCACTGGACGCACACATGTAAGAAATTAACAGTGAAACTGGTGACTGTGTCCTCGCCTGCCTTCTGCAGCAGCAACAACAGGTATGCGTGCCACAACAAGGGCTCTGATTGGCTCATTCTTTCAGTCCCAATTACGACTATTTGAATACAGCGCTGTTAAATTATGGTAGTCCGCTGTTATTGATAATTGACAACATTAACTGTTCATTTACATGCGAAGGATGATCATGTTACAGTTATTATGAAATACTGTAAGATACTGTTCCATCCACCAATCCTCCGTAAATTCACAGCAATGTGTTACAGTGTGAATAAAAAATGGTTATCCTTCTGATTCATCAACAGGCCCTGACATGTGCATGACATTGTAAGGCAATGTGATGGACATTCCATTTGGAGTGTTAGAGTTATTCTGTGGGGACTTAAGATTCTTGTGACCTGAAAGAATTTGTTCCATCATTCTTTATTGGCATTACCTGTAAAACTACTGCGCTGAGACAAAACATGGGACATGGGAGACTAGTGGCGAGACTAAGTACAGGTCAGACTCAAAAGATAAGTTTGATAATCGATGTGGGTTCACTGATCTGAATGTGAGACGCTCAGAATTGATTTATGTTTTTCTTTCCAACTTGTAAGCAAGTTGTTATAGAATGTTCTAAAATGATTTATAGCCCGAAGAGAACATTACATGTTACTGATCGCATTGCCTCTCCTGTCTTAATCACATTGGCTGTGACAAAAGGTTCCCTTTGAATTAAGATTGATGTGGTTATAAATACCACTGACACAAAATGCTGTGGAAGTTGTCTGGGTGAACTGAATTGCATGAGCATAAATCATCAGTGGCACTCTCTTAATAAATGACGGTTTAAAAAACCCCAGCTTATATACCTTGTTATTACAGTGAAGGAATGCTGGTATATTAAAGAGGCATGTAAAAAAGCAGTTATCAATACACTGAATAAAGAGTCCTTCCTTTAACTTCCTGACCACCATCTTCTTTTTTTCAGTTGGAAAAACCTGGTGGAAGCTGGAGGCGTCGGCTCCCCAGCATCACCGGAAGAACTGGAAGGTGAGCACCGCTCCCGACATGTCACGGTGTGTTGTACTGTCAACTGGCCAGAAACGTAGAGGTCATTGAAGAGACTGATGGCGGCAAGCCTCCTGAATTTGAGATTGTATGAAGATCAGAAAGGAAAGGAGGCAGGCAGCATCGGGGCGGCACACTGTCGGCATATACGTTTCACCGCCAGAGCACTTTCCACTACGCTGCCCATCTGATCTGGGCATGGAGCTCCTGCCAGACTCTGCGGAGGGACTCATTTCAAAAGTGATGTTAAAATATTAACCATACCCGCACAATGGGGTGGTGTCACGTGTCAATTAAGCCAATAAAGAGGTGCAGGTGTTAGGCTGCAGGTATTCCACAAGGCCGTGGAGACAGGGCCCCTATAGACCAAACGATACAGACACAATTTCCACTTCAAAGAGCTGATGCAACAGGACGGATCCCCTTTCAGTCGCCACAATGCAGGGAACACTGTATACCTCTTGATTAAATGCAAATATCAAAGCGAAATCCTAGAAGTGAATGAATTGCCATAGAATTTGGTTAGACAGGAGATGAATACAGTTCGGTATGGTTAAAACGTCTTGCTGTCCACTGAAATATCACCTGATCTGCCAAATGCAAACTATCATGGCATCCAGCAGAGTTTTGGAGGGGTAGCAGCATTGTGCAGCAACGTTTTTTATATAACACATTCTAGACTAATTTCACTTTGAAGGCAATTTTTTCACTTGTGTTTGAGTCTGTATTTCTTAACGGTGGACTGGCAAGCTGAGCATGTTTTCCCTTGTACCCAAATCTGCTCGCTTTCTAAATTCAGAGCATATCTATTGCCTCTATGTGGCTCCCTCACCAGTTGTTTAATTCAGTAAATCCGTTTTATGTTTCTACACACACAGACACACACACACACAGACAATGGAGATGGAAATATAGCACTTTTTTAGTCAACCACATTTGTAAAAGGGTTAACTTCATATGCAGATTCAGATTATTCATTAAAAATATATACTATACGTAGAAATAATAATTATTACGATTTCTACACTCTGATATTGCTACCATTTCTTCCACCGCAAAGAAAAGGGGAAGAAGGAATCGTTTAACACGTGGCGTTCCCACTTTTGGTGATTGTGACGATGCCTGCTGGACAAAGGTAACGCTGCGCTCCTTGATATCATCACCAGGTGATGCTGTGGGTGGTGGCGTCATTGCTGATACTAGTGGAAGACGTGTTTTCTGAAGAGGACAATAAAAAGGGTCAATCAGACCTCCGTCGTGTCCTCGGGCAGCCCTCCTCGTCCTCTGCTGAGGATCTTGAACGGGACAGCAGAGTCCACACACACTGGCTTAAAGCTCTCGGCAAGTATTTCATTTTCATTTTATAATTCATCAGCAAGTTCTCACTCAGGCTTGTGGTTTTTCTTCAATTAATTATCAAACGTGAATCTACTGCGATCAACAACACGTTCTTGTAATTCAGTGAGGACGGGTCAGTTCTGTGGATGCAAAAGCATCAGTACTGAAGAACTGGAGACTTGTTATTTGTTGAAAGAAGAGCAAAGAACATACCTGAAGTTTCTCCATGGTGAAGATGTTTTCTCTCTTCCCTTTGACTGGCTTCCTGAAGACTTTGATTGACAGGCGTTTCATTGATTCACAGGCCAACCTTTTTGTTTTGAAGTGCCTGTCCTTTCCAATGACAGATCTTCAGATGGTTTCGTGTAAACCAATCTGTGGTCATGGTTAAAAGAAACCAAGGCTGACTCCTGGTAGTGGGCACAGGAATCCAAAGGCTCTATTACATGTCAAAAGTTCCACACTTGGTTGACCTCTTCACCCCAATTTCCATTCCAGCCGGCGTGGCTGTGCGTCTCTTTAACACGTTGGTTCTGCCTTTGCTTCTGATGGAGATCATCGTTACAGCAGCGAGACCTAACACGTGTTGTTCATGTCTTTAGTTCTACAATAAGTATAAAACTAGACATAAACCACCCCTTACAACAACAACATGACAAATATCGTCTTGTGCGGGGGCCACATTGCCACCTGCAGGGGAACACCCATAAGTATTTTTAACCTTTGGAGGCGCACGTTCATTTCCATCGTTTTTTTTTTCTATTGTGCGGCTTAGTAGCTGCAAACAAACATCTGAGATGGAGGCCATAAAATAGCAGCATGTTACTCCTGAATGGATGACCTCTGGAAATGATCAATCCAGTGTGAAGGTCTCTGTCGTGCAACAAGGCCCTTGTTCTTCACAGCAAGTAGAGGAACAGGATGAATGACTGAACGTCTGTTTATTTTAGTAAGTAACTCAGTCTATTTAACATATCTAAGATGTGTAATCCCTTTAGAAAACAGTAAGTTAAAACAAGTTTTATTGTAAGCGCCACCTGACACTCCTCTGGTGACTGAATTATTATTGAATCAGTTTAAAATGGACAGTTTGTCCCAAAATCAGAAAGATACAGGTTTCCTCGTTTTGATGCGAGTTGCCAAGAATTTTAGGTATTTCCTAAAATAGTTTTATATTTTTTATTAGGTATATAAGATGTCAGTATAATGGGAATCCAACAAATACAAATACAAATACCAGCAATGTCTCTTTCCAGAATTGATGACACAATTATTCACAGATCGCGTTGGGTGCGCAACAGCGTCTCATTGGCTAATGCTCACAACAGCGGTTCTAAATTATGGTGGAGGATAGCTTTTTTTATTCCAGTATCTAATGGCACATGCCTTTATGAACAGTAAGCATAGAGGCACAAAAAAGAGTTATTCTAGTGATCGAAGCAGTTACTGCATGAGACATGCTGATACTTCATTATTGGGGTGCTGTAAGCTGCGTTTCTCCATCCCAACCTTTATGGAAGTGGTGGAAAATGATCACGGCAAGCACAGTTGGACGTGATTGCCCCGAACTCATGCCCCATTCTAATGTAACATTGGAATAGCGATACAATTTCTTGAGATTATGCATGTGGCGTGTTTGGACATGGCTGAATACGTACAGGTGAGCGGGGGGGACATTTGCCTGGGGGAAATTCGTATGCATATTTCCGTTTTGGGGGGGGTAAACTTTGAGGCATGAGCTGACAAGCATTCATCCCGCTACGCGGTACTGAAAATCCCCTCAGGAAATTGCTGCACGGAGGCATCGAAGGGAGAAGTGCGAGGATAAAGCCTTCCCCGGTTCAGGAAGTCAGTCAAACACCTGGACCAGGTCGGCCCAGGTCGGCCCAGGTCGGCCCAGCGGAGCGGCTGACGTTATTTGAAACGTTCCTGACAACAGAGAACTTTGGCTACAGTTGGTTGTCAGCTAGCCGCTCCACTAGCCTACTGGTAATGACCCTGCCCAGTGACAGTGAATTTCACAACAGAGGCATTTTCCCCCTCCAGTTTCCTGTGTCTGCTTTTGATTTGTTTGGATCAAGATTTAAGTAAACTAAAATTAATTGAATCTTTTTTTTGTTTGAATTAGATTAAATTGGAAATGACTTCATATTAGCATGAATAAATTTAAGATTAATATATATATATTTTTAATTAAAATAAAATAGGTATTTGTTTATTATGAGCAAATAAAATGTAATCGTATCGATAAATAATTCAACTTTGAAAATCCAAATCAATGATCTCAGTTAACAAATTAAACGATAAAAATAGATAATAAAAAAGTAGATGAAAAACCTTTAAATCTGAAGAAAATATTTTAGCTTGGAGGAATAGTTTTTAAAGACATGGGAGTAGACATCAGTAGTAGTAGCAGTGGGAGTTTGTTGAGGTCTTCACTCAGGAGCCCTCTGGACCTCTAAAGTTAACCCTCTTTCAGACGGACGTTGGGAAGAATGACCATCAAAAACTAATTTGAAATTTCTCCTTAAAAAGCACATTTACTGATCCCCTCCCTCTAATCAGTGTCTGAGATGAACAAAGACACCGTCATCCTCTTTGTCTTACTATGGGGGCTGCTTTCCCTCATCTTATTGCACTCGCACTCTGTCAGGTGAGTGAGATTAACCGAGCGAGTGCAGTTGACATGCCAAATATGTTTACATACCCCAGGAATCTGTGGGCTGAGCAGAGGTCGACTCCGAGCTCTTTAACATATGGCTAAGTGAATAAAAGTGATTCAAGATGTATTTGTGAACTTATGATACCTCGTGCTTAAATACCTGTTCCCATAAATAAATCAGTTAGGAGATTCTTTCTGCACAATAATAAATTACTTTTAATCACATCTGCGTGTTACATGGTGTTGTTCCAACTTCACTTTGGTGGGACTAGAGATTTCCTGAGATTTGGTAGTATAGTCTTAATAATGTTCCTTGCATACGTGCAGTACCTTGCATACGTGTTCTCCCATCTTGGACTTTTTCAACCATTTTGTACTGTTACAAACTGGAATTCAAATGGATGATTTCCCATTTGATCCACACAACATGCATAGTCCTTTAAAGCTGCAAAATACCTTTTTTGTGACACAAACAATAATGCAGACAAAAAAGTTGATATCTGTTGGATACATAAGTATTCCCCCCCCCATAGTCAGTACTTGGTAGAACCCCCTTTTGGAATGGTTGGATGGAAATGTTGAAGCTCAGTCAGATTGGATGGGGACTGTCTGTGAACAGTCATTTTCAAATCTCAATCATCATAGATTCTCAATTGTATTGAGGTGTGGGCTTTGACTGGTCCATCTTATAACATGAACATTCTAAACCATTCCGTCGTGGCTCTGGCTGTATGTATAGGCTCATTGTCCTTGTCATTGTAGCTGCTGAAGAGAAGCATCCCCACAGCATGATGCCACCACCACGTTTCACTGTTGGGATAGTGTGCTCAGGGTGATGGGTAGTGTTTGGTTTCCACCACTCAGCGTTTTGCATTGAGGCCAACGAGTTCCACATGTTTGCTGTGTCTCCTACATGGCTTGTAGCAAACTCCAAACAGGAGCATTCTTCTTTCTTCTTGCCACTCGTCCATTTAGGCCAGATTTGTGGAGTAATTGGAGAGATACCCCCCCAAAAAAAGTCTTTAGGTAATGAACTCATACGGCACTATAGCTGTAACCAATGAAGCAACCAAAAGTTCTCACAGGATGTTGGACAATCAAATGAAATCACTCCATAGCTGATAACCCATAGCTGTACACTGAAGGCTGATTTCAGGGAATCAGATGTTGTTACATTTGTCAAAACTTTCTTGTTATCCCAACAACAACCAATGACTGAATCCGGGTATCTGTGGCTGGTGCAGGATTGTAGTAAGCCTGTCCAATCATTTCATTCAGCTTCCGAACTGTCTAGCCAATCACATTCTGCCAGTACACTCGTTGCACATTACTAAGTCTTACAAAAGCTCCTACTTTAGCAGCAGTGATTACTAACAATATCCATATTTGTTGTTGAGGTTAATAATAATGATTTTGGGGTAGTGTTTTGGAGGGAGGTCATACAGTGTTACCAACTTGGCGACCCTCACCCAAGATTTATTGACTTGTGGAAGAAGCATTTCTTTCCCTTTATTTGATAGAGAGAAACAGCGGGCATGACTTGTCCCACGCTTTGCCTGGGGAGCTATCAGGGCGCCCACGTCAAAATCCACCTAACTTTGTTTTGGGAGCCAAAATCTGGTAACTGTCATCCACAATGTACTTTGTACTACCATATAACTGTTGCGAACCAAATCATTCAAAGCCAAGTGTTCCGTCTGTGTCTTCTTTTGCTTGTAGAGGATTGGTCACTGATGCAGGAAGAGGAAATCCAGCGGAGCAGATGGCGGCGCGCCCCTCGTGACCCAAATTCGTCCAGAACGTCACGGAGGAACCGCAAGAAGACCAAGAGCAGTCACGACTGCCACCTAGAGAGGAAGCAGATGCGAGTGCGAAATCTTGGTATTGGCTACGACTCGGATGAAATAATCCTCTTTAAATACTGCGTTGGGACATGCCACGGCTCCCGCAAGAACTACGACCTGGCCCTGAAGGCTCTGATGGACAACGGGAGTATCACCGGCAAGAAGGTCAGCGATCACCCCTGCTGTCGGCCCACCCGTTACGAGACTGTGTCCTTTATGGACGCCCAGACTACCTGGCAAACAATTGAGCGGCTCTCGGCAGCCAACTGCAGCTGTGTGGGCTGAGTGTACAAAACAGTGTCCATCTGCACAGGGGAACGTTATTGTGCAAAAAAAGCGGGATGCGACAGGGCCTGGACGAAACCCTAGTTCATACGATCTGAGGCGAGCGGCCTGGACCAGGATCCTCAGCCCAGTGGCCTCGTTTCACTCCGCCAGCAGCCTGGATGTTTGAGTTGCAATACGTCGAGACAGAACCATGTTGGCTGTGTTTGTCAACAGCCTGGGGCAGGTTTTTTTTCAATGTCACCAGTTCAGCGCAGAGGAGTCAGTGCTGTTCCAGTCCATAATGGACCGCATGTTGTGTACTTCATTGAACCTGCTGAGGGCTTATAGCAGCCATGTGGAAGATCTTCAGTTCTTTGGCTAAAGAGGCTCTGAGTAGCTAATCGCGTTTTCAAGCGTGGAGCTTGAAGGTCTCACTGGAATTCAGTGGGCCTTTAGGTTAATTTATAGAATCTGTTCTTTTTGATTGGCAGCTGTCAATTTTAACATAAACATGTTCTTCTGTTTGTCAGAAAGTCATTGCACCGTATCAGCTATCCAACAAATTTGGTAGCTAGTCCTCTCGGAAAAGCTAGCAATGGTCTAACTACATGCATACTGTATATTAGTGGCTGAAACATAGTCCAGTAGTATAAAGGAACTTTTTATTATTTTGCGTTTACGAATGATTATCTTTAATCAACGATTGTGCCAATTAATTAAATGATTGGACAAGTTTTTATCATTATCCTGCAAATGATGTCAAAGATAACAAAACCTTGAGCATCAAATCCTAAACAACAGCTTCTGCATGTAAACACGGTAAAACATCTTAATATCGTCATTATGGTCTTGTGGTTAGTGAGCCACAAACCTTTGTTCAAATCAACCTTACTTTTTAACATCACTGACTTATACATCCCCACTACAGCATTATTAAAACATTTATATTTCCTTGTATTCTATCCTATAGTACCTATCTATGATTTGCCAAAAGACAGTTATTCAGTTAACCTTCTCGATGGAGCCAAATTTGATTTCTGGATATTTGTAAATCAACTGCAAAACACATGACAACCGCTCAAAGCAACCAAAAAACTCAACAGATTAAAGACCAAATATTAGAGATACGTTGGTAAGAACTTAAAGGTGTCCAGAGGTTTTTCCTGTTTTATTTTTGTAAATACAACGGCCTTCACAAGCCCAAACTTCGTTTGGAATGTGTGATGCAACTCTACCTTTCAGGGCAGCTCAATAACACGATAATGTTAAGGAAAAGTCACAATCAACACAGCTGTAGTCAGTCTTCCTAACACGTCTCTTCCACACACTCATATTTTAAGTTTAGTACATAAGTATTTTACTTTGTTCGTTTTAGTGGACGACATTCATAACGCTTGACGTGAGCCCAGTGGCTTTCTAAATTCAGCAGCTGGGATCATAACGCGCTGTCCTCCAGCGAGCCAACCTGCCGGAATGCTAATTGTAAATGCCACAGTAGCTCTGGAGTGTTTGTTGTTTACATCTCTGTAACCGGTCTATTGTAGGACGCCATCGCAAATATAGTCGTGAGCCAACCATCACTCAGAGCGACAGCTTTTCACCGCCTGGTCTATTTCCACAAGGGTGACACGATACCTCTCACAGCCACCCGACACGGGGCAGATTACATGTCATGTGGTCACTTCGGAGACATTTAGACATCAGACAATGTGAAATGCAACTTAAATTGAGAGTGTGTTATTCATTCTTATTGCAATAGGTTCATTTTAAACGCAGTAGTAGTATCCGCGATACGGGTAATACCAGCAGCGTTACATATTTACAATGAGCATCGTCAAGACACAGCATCATGAAGAGATTTAACATTGGATAATATCAACAATCATATTGCCCGGCAATCAGCATCTCATGTCTGTATATGGCACAAATACCAAAGAAAAAAAAAAGTTACTCATTTAATTGAATCTGGGTTTTTTAAATGTTTTATTTGGATGTGAAGTTTATGAAGAATAAGTATAGCATTTCTTTTATGATACTCAATATTTTAACCCCCTCCTCCAAAGAAATGAAAAATAAGGGAAATGGGTTTGTCCTTTTGAAAGGATTCATAGCAAATGGCACGCTTGTAAATTTATTTTGAGTAGTTTTATGAACACAGCCTCACCTCCAAGTAGTCTATATTTACATCCCCAGTTATGAAGTGAACTACACTCAAGGTACGACATATTGGTTAATTAAAAATGTGTTATTTGAATAGTTAACACAGAGCACTGTGTATTGTAACAAAAGATGCATTTCAAGTGAATCATCACTCACTTGCTTCCCACCCACCAACAGTGAGGGGCCACATGAATATTACACACTGTGCAAACCCAAGATGTTTTCCTTGCTGGCGCACACACAGTTGAAAGGCTTACCAAAAATATATCTATGAAAAGAAAATGTGTTGCACAGCTTTGGTTTGTTAATAGAATATTTGTCGTAATAATTTTCATAAACCAAAAGAAATGTGATAGCAGTCACTAAAATATACATGCACATATGCAAATATATACAAACATATCCATTACATACAAATTGTTATTTTGTTACATGTTCAACATTTTTATTATTTATTTTTATTCATTATATGCTGATTATGACATTTTTGTGCAGTTATGACATCATATAGTTTCATGTCTTGCTACTTCTGTGTTGGCTTATGTAGCCTTTATAGGAAGGTTAGAAACTTAAAAGCGGTACTAGCGACACTTTGTGTCACCTTGATCCACGTCCCTGCACTGCACATGTCTACGAGACTTTGAGAAACACTATTGGAGCTTGTGTAGCTCAACACAACGTCCTTCCACATCTGACCAAAAAATAACATAATACATAATAACATAATAACAATAGCCTATAAAACTTGGAAAATTCGAAAATGTGTCACGATAGAATATTTATTCTATGAAAGAACAGAATAAAAACAGTATTTTGTGCTCTAAAACAGTATTCATACAAGCAATTTGGCGCTCAGCTCCACTAAGACCAATGTCAAAATATCCGAGTGAAGCAGTGGCCTGGATTGTTCTCTGTGTCTGAGCAGTAAGTACCGCTGCTTCCACAGATAACGGGATAACACATCCCCTCCACACTCCCGACTCTTTTGTTGCTCTTGTGTTATTCGGGATCATCTGTAGAACGCTCACAGTCGGGGCTCCACACAATCTCACATTTGCTTCCAATTACACCAGCTCTTGTTTTTTTTGACAGCAAATTGAGGTTGTTCTGTTAAGGAGCCAAAAAAGAGAAGAAACTCTCCAGAGCATTTTCAGACCAAATTATCACAAACAAAAGGTCCAGGCTCATTGAATTAGCCGATGGAGCGTGGCCAATCTCTCATACCAACACCAAAAACCTCCATTCATATCTGAGTTTTACTCGCAGGTAATTAGTAATACTTGTAATATTAGTAATACAAAGTGGTACAACATACAAGCAGCACCGCTCTGGACTTAGTGGAGGGGAAATATGAAGGAGCTAAGCTAACTGTTTGGGAAAAATGTAATTGTATTCTTATCTCTTCCCTCCCACTAAATACTTGAAGCAGAAGAAAAGTTGGCAGGAGAGAGGATTTAAAAAGTGTTGTTAGGGAAACAGGACGTTATCAGGAAACAGTTTCTGATGACGTCACATATATCTATGTACATGTAAACATCCCAACAATCAAAATGGAAGAAGACGTTATATTGCCATGTATTATTTACACATAAAGGAATTAATAAGCCTCTCTGCATTAACCCGTCCCACACAGTGAGCAGTTAGGGGTTTGGTGTCTTGCTCAGGGACACAGGGACAAAATAACCCCCCACCCGCAAAAACAACACTTACTTTGATATTTTACTGTACGTGTAGTTTAATGATTGATAAAACATCTATTACCATTGTTCGATGTATCAACATAACAAAATAAATTATGGAGTCAATTTTGAATGCAAATAAAATAAAAGAAGGACACCGCTCACCGGCTTCCCACCCACCACCCGTCTGCAGGCGTTCACAGCTCTGTAAGCCTTTGAGTTTGAAGTACATTGATTAAATGCCAGTATTCTGTATATTGTCAAACAGGTCCTGCGGTCTGTAAAGTTGCTTCGGAAAAGACAGCAACCCTTTAGTTATTTATTTATTTGTGTCATGCATTTATCGGTATCATAATTGTCTATTCATTATGTAACTATCCAGGTTGTGGTATGATAAGAACGTAGAGGGTATTAAAGAAATGGTTTTGCGCCGTTTTCTGATAAAGAAGATCATCTTAACTACAATACAATACAGCAAATAAACCAAATGTTTTTACTGCAGAGAGACAGCAGTCCTCCTCCTCATGGGTGGGTGACCCGTCCTACCAGTTAAAGTGGGGAAAAGTGAAACGTTTCATGCTTCCTTTGTTAATCAGACATAGAGTGGCCACGGATTCCATTAAACGTCCTTACTGACGGTGCTTTCGGCTCGTGTACATGCAGTGGCTGAATGTGGCACCGGGCCGTGTGTCGCTCCTGAGGCCTTCTCATTTCACAACTTGTCTGTACCTACATTCTCTGTTAGATGCTATGCATCATGTTGCCATAATGTGCATAAGAGTATTTAATGTTTAAATTATTGTATTTATTCTTCATTTGTATTAAAGATGTTCTGGCGATGTTTATTACCAATGTAGTGTCCATGTGTATTTATGTTTTTGTGTTTGTTTTTAATTTTTATCATTATATTATATTTAACAGTCCATTCTGAGTCAGGAATATTTCATCTCCCGGACCAAAGGCAAGTTAGCTTTTCTGAACTAATTGACTCGTTGCTGTTGTTAAGCTGCCACACACTTGTACATGTTTCAATTAAAAATAGCTATATTCCAATTAAAGCAATTGCAAACAGTGAATGTTAGAGAGCTGACAAAGTATGAAGGATACCAAGAAAGTAAAATGTATAAACATAACTGGTTCAAGCCTGAAAGCTGTTTTGCTTTTATGGTAATTTATATATTACACACCATGTGTCTCAAAATTGTTAAGGAGCTAAAGAAGCTGCTGTGAAAACTTTGGAAATACATATATATTATTTTGTTTATGTAGTCTTTTAAAATATAATCAATTTATATTAGATAGTTGAATAGCTATCAGTTTAATTATTGGATTATTTCCATATTCAGTAAGTAAATTATAATCAAATTTGTACTACCTTTTTTTGTTGGCACACTCAACACCACAGCAATAAAGCAGGCGTGTAAAGACTAATATTACTTACTAAGCACTTACTTCCATTACAGCTTACTGTCAGTCAGAATTCAACCACATAATTATTTATGTACATTCTGAATAGAACATTCTTAAAAGTGATTTGTCTTTCCTACGTATACGTATCTTTAAATGTTTAAGATGTACTCAGAATGTGTATTTAATGCATTCATTAGCATCAGAAAGTGAAAATGTTACAGTGCTGCTGTTGTGTCAAAGACACACTTGTGAACATTTTAATGAAAATGTATATTTATTGAATACAATACAAACGTAGAATTTAGTGTGACACAGCTACCTTTAGCATTGTTAAACTATGTTATGCACAGAACAGACGGAGTATCTCCTTCCAATTGTTGCACCACAGCCCCCCACAGCTGCTGGTGGAGCTCACTTAATTTAATTTAATCACCATTTCATTTCAGTTTGGCAACTGTTAGATATGTGAATATATCTGTACCCACAAATCACTGATAGTGGCCTCAGATGTAAAAGTGTACTCAATGTATCTCAATGTATCAGTCTCAGGACCCGCCACCCCCCATTGACCACCAAATCCATTGGACTCATTATGAAGCTGGTTAATGGTTTGTTAATTATTGTCATTCTAACGTCTTCTGCCGGTGTTTTGAATGTGTTGGTTGTGGTGAGCTTGTAATCCCATAGTAGTTAGTGAGGGGCACAGCACGCATGTTTCAGTCGCCAATCTCCTTGGAAAACGTTTGAACTCCCTGACTGACGCACAGTGTTCACGCAGATGTTTCCCGTGAAACGTGAAGCGGCAGGTGTTTACGCCACCAGCATGAGGAGAAGACACAGTGGCAGGTTGTGTGCAGGGCCATTGTTGTTAACCCAAACACATACAGGAGGAGGTGTGTGCTACAGAACAAAGTGTACAGTTGGTTGTAACATCTAATGGTACGGGTGTTGCGCATGAGAGGAAACCTGGATGAAAAGATGGTGACGCCTCCACCTGCTGGTCGAACCGCGTTGTTAAATATTAAGCTCCTTACAGCACGGTCATGAAGAGCACATGTATGCACTTCAAACTCCATCCATCCATCTTCAAACCACTTATCCTGCACACAGGGTCGCAGGAGTCTATCCCAGCCAACTTTGGGCAAGAGACGGGGGCACTTCAAACTCAATATTATAATTATTTTTCAATTGTATGGCGCTATACCTAAGTAATGTACCAAATTTACACCCGTCTCCTTTTCATGTAGGTATAAAGTGTATACATATACTGAGAAAACATGGAGGACAATATTAAATGCTGTATTGATATAATATAAAATGTATACATTATTACATGGACTGAGACGAAAAACAATCCTTTTCATGTAATTTATTAAACAATTTGAGAGATGGAGAAAGTTGGGACATTTTTTTTCGGGGTCAACTTCCTGTTTGATGCTGACCACACCCCCCTGTGTGATGTCACCTAGGTTATGTCATGTGACTTTGGTTAAATGCTTCCTAAGCATGTATTAACACTTAACCAGTAAAACGATTTTTCCTTATGCCGTCCCAGTATACCCGAATTCACCCTATGGAACAACGTCAGTAAATGATGTGTTTTTAACGAATAGCATCGTTCTGCAATGTCGTGACACAAAAGGTACCCACTCAAGGAGACATACACAAAAATATATAAAATCACTATCGTGGCAGAAGTGGAACTCGGTGCAGCGCGCAGTAATCGCCCGGCAGTGTATCTTGGCCTCTTCTGCTTGCCGTAGTGTTGCGCAACATTTAGCGCGAAGTTTGATAGCAACCGCAACAAAGCTGAACCGAGGAGCAAGTCGCAGTTGGTTGTATGAAATTACCGTTAAATTATATTATACATCTTCCGTGGCACTGACATCACGCTAGGTGACTAGGTCGTTTCACTCTGCAATACGTATTCGTTAGGCTAGTTATTGTTTTTATAAAGTAAGACCAAAAAAATCAGCACAGACATGAGAGACTGGGCTTTGGAAAGGAAGCAGGCGGAGCAGCTAACGCTAGCTATGTTCGGCTAGCTAGCAGTGCGTTAGCTTCAAATGCTAATAACACGGGCAGGTGAGGAGTCTCGACTTAACGCCCGGGAAACAAGGACAATGGTAAGCAGGCCGAATCATTGATACGTGTTTCCAACATGCTTCAGACTGCACGCGTGTGTTGAATACCGGCTTGAAACTATATGTCTGACTGCTGACTTTATAAAAACAATCCCAGAGAAGGAGTCTTGCACCCAGTCAGGTGGCCAAACGGAAGCAACCAGGAGATTCCTGTGAAGATGAAGACTGGACATGTGAAACTGTAGGTGAATTAGCAGGAGCGACACGTCCACGTTGTATCTTCACCACAGCTGTCACATCCAGAGAGGACTGCAGATCTCTGTCATCTTGCACCTTACTTTGAAGGGACACCAGATTCTGCTATTGAATCTGATCGATTAGCATTAACTGCATATGCACAGACCTTCATGTGTTCACCAGAGTCACTTTAATAAGCAATTTATCTGTGAAACATATCGGTCATTGGATGCTGTCACATCGCAGCGCGTCATGTTTAATTCATGGATGAACAAAGGTTCCGATTCAAAACCATTACGAATAATGAGCTTTGTTATTTTCCGTAGGAGAAAAAAAGAAGAGGTGGTAATGAGAGCAGAGAAAGCCACATTTCCCCCTTCAGAAAGCCTTTGACTCAGCTGAACAAGCTGCAGCCACCATGTGTGGATGGTGACAAACATGTAAGCATCGTTGAGCTCCATCAAACTACATCTTCTGTGTGGGAATTGTCCATCGATTGTCCATTGATCCATTGTCCTTGGCTCACTTGTTTTAAAATTCTTTTTACAGGAAGCATTTATTCGCAGTATCCTCTCCAAGCCATTTAAAATCCCTATTCCTAATTACACAGGTAACCATTTTCATGTTTCGTGCTTCTCCTTTGTGTTTATTACAATGGCTAAAGGATTACTTTTAGTAATACTGTTGTCTGGATGAATTGCCCACAGGCTCACTGGGAATCAGGGCTCTCGGTCTAAAGCGTGCAGGTGTAAGGAAATCCCTCCACGATCCCTTCGCTGAAGATGCTTTGGTCCTCTACGAGCCGCCGGCCCTGAGCGCTCACGACCTGATCCAAGCTGAAAAGTAAGTCCTCCTAAATCCTCAACTCTGATGAGGTAAATGGATTTATAGACGTCAACTGTGCTGTATCAGGTCTTAAAATAAAAAAAGACAAATTTCACTGCGCTTTGTCCTTTTCCAGAGAAAAACTACCAGTCCATGTTGTTGTGGATCCAGTTTTAGGAAAGGTTCTCAGACCCCACCAGAGAGAGGTAAAGGGTATTGTCTTTCTAAACATACAACTGATAAATTATATTTGCAAAAATATTGCATTTATTATAACAACAGTGTTGGAATGGTGGAGACGTGGACTGAAACGGCCTCACGTTGTTCCGCTTCGGAAACTGTCAAATCGCATGAGAAGTGAAATGTTGGTCTTTTTATCTCTTGAGGGGGTGAAGTTCCTGTGGGAGTGTGTGACGGGAAGACGCATCTCGGGCTCGTACGGCTGCATCATGGCCGACGAGATGGGCCTGGGGAAGACCTTGCAGTGCATCGCCCTCATGTGGACCCTGCTGCGCCAAAGTCCGGATGCTAAGGCGGAGATAGACAAGGTCATTGTGGTTTCCCCCTCCAGTCTGGTTCGCAACTGGTACAATGAAGTAGGAAAGTGGCTGGGAGGACGCGTCTCACCGGTGGCCATAGACGGAGGTTCAAAGGACGAAATCGATAGACAACTAGGTACAGTTTACCTCTCTGCACCGTGTCGTTGTGATCATCCACAGCAGGCTGCTGCTCTTCTCATAGATTTAGTGGTGGTGGAGGTTTAAAGCCGGATAGACAAAGTCACAGAATAAATCCTTCATTCTTGGCAAAGATTTTTCTGCTATTTCAAATCATGTGTCATTTACATTGTGCCAAAAATACTCCCCAAACCTCAATTTGTGGCAGGAAATGGAAGGTAACTGGGCAATATCTTGTTTATAATAGTGTTGTTTTGTTTTCATGTAAACGTTCCCTCGACGTCCTTCTGGAAATATTGCAGTTTATTAATTGTCTGATTAATATATAGTTTGTTTCTTTTTGTTTTTTAGTGAACTTCATCTCTCAGCATGGTTTGAGGATACCAACCCCGATCCTGATCATCTCATACGAGACGTTTCGGCTGCACGCCGGGGTTCTGCACAAGGGCAAAGTCGGAATGGTCATCTGCGATGAGGTAGGCGCCTCATTGGTTGTAGCCCACCACTGTGGAGTGAGGACCGCTGACTCGGGATGTAACAGTTGCGCGTGCCTTAGGGTCATCGGCTGAAGAACTCAGACAACCAGACATACCAGGCTCTAAACGCCATGAGTGCCCAGCGGAGGGTGCTGATATCCGGCACTCCCATCCAGAACGACCTGCTGGAGTACTTCAGCCTGGTCCACTTTGTGAACGCCGGGATCCTCGGTAAGTCGCCTCGAACACAAAGCCGCAAACACGTTTGGGTGGTGTCTGCCGGATATCCTGATCCCCTCCATCCACTGTGTTCCTGCTGGAGTGCAGGTACAGCCCAGGAGTTTAAAAAGCGCTTTGAGCTTCCCATCCTCAAAGGGCGGGACGCAGACGCTAGTGATAAAGACAGAGAGACCGGAGAGGGGAAACTCAAGGAGCTGATCAGCATCGTCAACAGGTGAGCTCCGAGCTCATTCATCTCTTATATATTTAGAATAAATATGCTTTATATCTATGATCAAACACTGAACTAATCACTTAATGCTCTTCATCCTCAGACAGCACCGTGTCTAACATGTTGAAGGGAATTATGCCCCCATAATACTGACCTCGTGTGTCTCTCCAGGTGCTTGATTAGAAGAACATCCGATATCTTGTCCAAGTATCTTCCTGTGAAAATCGAGCAGGTGGTATGTTGCAGGTGGGTTGATTCCTTTTGCTTTCTGGCTGGAGACAGTTAAGAACAGCAAGACGCAAATTAGATATAGTATATTTAGGACACACGTAAAGCTGAGTTTTAGTAGCGATGCCACATTTTGATTTTAGATTTTTTTTAATCAAATGCCTTTTGTGTATTTACCAAATTTCGATTTCATTAGTTAATAATATAATACAAGAGATAAGAGGGTTTTAAGTTAGCTTTATTTCAATCAAGACACGTGGCTACAGAACCGTCCCAGCATCTGACTGTTTCCCTGCAGGCTGACTCCTCTGCAGTCGGAGCTCTATAAACACTTCCTGCGGAAGGCCAAACCCATCGAGGCGTTGCAAGAAGGCAAAATAAATGTCTCCTCCCTGTCTTCCATCACATCACTCAAGAAACTGTGCAATCGTAAGTGTGCCTAAACCCACTGCAACGCAGTGTGAAAGCCTCTGCCGCTTGGTGGAAGTGCTAACCGGTGCTCTGCGTCCCAGACCCGGCTCTCGTCTACGACAAGTGCGTGGAGAGCGCCGAGGGCTTCGAGGGGGCGCTGGATCTGTTTCCACCCGGTTACTGCACGAAGGCTGTGGAGCCTCAGCTCTCTGGTAAGAACCTGGAATATACTCTGATGGTATTAAAAAGGAAAAAACAATACTTTTACAATGAAATTTTCAGTGTGTTTCAACACTCTTATTTTGAGTGTAATTAATGACACTCCAAAAAGAGAGAGAGAGCACACAATTTAAAGTTAAAGATACATTTGACTGATGCATTATTGTTATTCCTCATGAGTTCATGGTCTCAATCTCTAGTTTCTTAAATACGGCATGATGTTCATTTAGTAAATGATGGTCCTTTTAGAGTCAAACTGACCATAAAGCAGAGTGTGCTTTGGGGCGGGCTTACTGTGATTGACGGGTAGCCATCTTTACGTCACTCCTCCCCTGTTCAAATATGGTCACTGCCAATTACTGGTTGCAAAATGGCAATGATTTAAAACCTGGAGGTGAAAGGTCAGTCCACAAACCAGAATCCACTTTATTAGTCACGTATGCTCACGTGCATGGAATTTGCCTCAGTTTTTTTCCTTTACTCAACATACTGTCAATACAGTTCTTTATATAAATAAACAAGAAAAATATTTATTTTTTTAAAACAAGCACAACACAAAAAGTAAAGTGTGTGTGTGTGTGTGTGTGTGTGACATTGTGATTGTGGTGCACACTCATGTCATTGTTCTATTTTCTGGTAAATATATCGTTTCCTTTTGTTCCAGGGAAAATGCTCGTTCTTGACTACATTCTGGCGATGACGAGGACAACATCGAGTGACAAGGTGGTGCTGGTCTCCAACTACACTCAAACACTGGACCTCTTTGAAAAGCTGTGCAGATCTAGAAGGTGTTTTTTGGGAAACCGCTGTTTTATCATCTGTATTATAGGATTTGTCAGTTAAGTGGGCAGCAACCCTTTTCTTTTCTTTTTTCTTTTTTTGCAGATACCTCTATGTTCGTCTGGATGGCACAATGTCCATCAAGAAAAGGGCCAAGATTGTAGAAAGATTCAACAGTCCATCTGTGAGTCGGCCGACTTGGTTTCAAACACCACTGCGCTTTAAAAAGAAGAAAAAATCAAAACCTCTTCTGTGCATCTGTTTTCTCAGAATCCAGAGTTCATCTTCATGCTGAGCAGCAAGGCTGGTGGATGTGGCCTGAATCTGATCGGTGCTAATCGCCTGGTCATGTTTGATCCAGACTGGAACCCGGCCAATGATGAACAGGCGATGGCGCGCGTGTGGCGAGACGGCCAGAAGAAGACCTGCTACATCTACAGACTGCTCTCTGTCAGTACACACACACACACACACACACACACACATACATGAAAACACATCGGTGCAACAGCGGGTTTGCAAAGTTTGCGCGTTCTGACCCGTGTGTTTGTGTGTCTGGCAGACCGGGACAATCGAGGAGAAGATCCTCCAGAGGCAGGCCCACAAGAAAGCCCTGAGCAGCTGCGTGGTGGACGAGGAGCAGGACGTGGAGCGCCACTTCTCTCTGGGCGAACTGCGAGAACTCTTCACCCTCAACGAGGAGACGGCCAGCGACACGCATGACCGGTACACGACTCATACGGCTCGGACTTTAAGAAAATGAATTTCATGCTCGGTTTGTTACAAGTGTGTGAAACCCCGGCCCATATAAAATATATAATTGAACACAGTGGTTGTATCACTGCTGGGAGACCCCGACATTTCCCAGTGGCGTAGTTGTTGTTTCGTGGCTCATTGCTGTAACACTGACAACAACTGACTGCAGATTCACAATCAACTGCGCACAAAGCCTTAAACTTTCATTCTTTGTAGTGACCAGCAGGGGGCGTCTTCTCTGGTTGAATCTGTCTATGCGAAAAGGACCCTACTTCTCTCTTGATTTACTCCCTCAGTAAACATCTGGTCGCAATCTCTAGTTTCAAGTCTTCAATGCAGCAAGAAGTTATGGTCCATTTAGAGTCAAATAGATCACCAAGCTGGATGCATTAGGGCGGGCTTACTCTGACTGACAGGTTGGTGCCACCCCTCCACACTCTAAATATAGTAGCTACCATTCATTGGTTTGTAAAAAAACATGGCAGTAGCTTTTAATCCAAGATGGCGACAGCGTACTCCGGGTTTCAAGCATCAACCCACAAACCAATGTGTGACGTTATAATGACTTCTTATATAAGCTACATTTTTTTTCTTACACCTTTTTATTGCATCTCCACCTTATTATCATCGCTGTCATCAAACATCCTTTTGCAGATGACGTATGATGCTTCATAGACCCGGCCCTTGGTCATAAGTCATTACTAATGTAGGATTATAATTGCATGTAATGTATTGAACCGGGCCTCTTCCTCCTGTCGGCGATGTCAGGTTCCGCTGTCGCCGCTGTGTAAATGGCAGGGAGGTCCGGCCTCCCACAGACGACTGCGACTGCACCAGCAACCTCTCCCAGTGGAACCACTGCTTCGACAAGAAGGGTCTGAGGGACCAAGTGTTGAAAGCCTCCTGGGACGCGGCCGTGTCCTTCGTCTTCCACCAGCGCTCTCACGAGGACCGGAAGGGTGTAGTATAGCGGCAGGAACTCCAGACTCTCCACCACATTTACTGAAAATTCTGATATTTATTTGTCATTCAATTGTTGTTGTTTTTTTAATTAAAAGTAAAGGAGAAGGACTGGTGTTGGTGTTGTATCCATTACAAATGCAGTAACGTCTGCTCTCGGGTAACTTACTGGAATCAGTTGATGCACCATACCAGATTGCAGCTATAAGCTAGTTTGCATCAGTCGTCACTTCGCAGGTTGAATCCTGATGTATGAATTGCAAATGTTTAACGTGGAGGTTTCTTTTTTAATGTCATTTTACGCAAACTCAACAGTACAAATACTGCAAAACGACATAATTGATGAGTGGCAACTGACACAGAGGAAGTAGACCTCCTTCTTAGCACATGTCAAAGTGCCCTTGAGCAAAACACTGTTCTTTTCATAACCTGGCAACTCCAGACTGGTTCTTATGGACAAATCTATCAAGCTTCAGTAAATAGTTTACTATGACTTCCATTCAACCATTACAATTCAAATGACTGATTTTATTCAACATTATGGATGATAAATATCTAGCAATAGGGATGAGTGTAAAGTTGACCTTAGATAAGCTCCAACTTTGAGGGTTAAAATTGGAAATGCCTGTGAAAATAACCTTGGTTGTCATTAAATTGGCAAAGTTATAAGAGCGCCTTGTAAAGCCTGGCTGGAGAAGGATGGGAGGCCCAGTTTTGGGTGGACGGGGTCAAATATATAACATCAGTCCAACCACACTGTTTTCAGCACCACGTCCTTGGATTCTTCCTTCGTTGGGCGCTGCCTGTCAGGAGAATGTTCCTGACGTGCCGCTCGCCGGCCAGTCGAGTTCTCTCCAGCGTGAAAGGGACTTCGTACACCCTTGAAGATGTAGCGTTGTGTTTCTTGAAATGTGTTCATTTTGTCATTTTATGTCCTGTAGAACTACTAGGCATTCACATCTAACCATGCATTTAAACTACTAGAAGTAGGCATAGCAAAACTAGAGAGGTGTCACAGTCCAGAGCTTCATATTGGGAGAAGCATCAGCATCTGGAGTCCCATGGAGGAAATGTCGGTATGCACGGCTGCTCTGCAGCAGCATTTACAGGCACCAGGTGAAATATTGACAATGTAATCTCCTCATTCGTCGCGATGCTGTAAACTCGGGGTACAGCAGATGGTGGCGTTTACCTTTCTCCCTGTTGCCCGCCATTAAAACTAGAGAAGAAGAAGAAGCGCCTCAGCAGCTGGGCAATGACGTAATGCACACCGTCATGGAACCACAACACCGGGGACGAGGAGAAGATCGACCGTGAGCGCGAGCCGGTGCCCCCGACGTGAGCCGTCACCGGGGCCGAGTCCCGTTGCGTCACTCCGTTAAAGCCCCACCGCTCGTTGCGATGAATAACGTTAGCAAACGATAACACGTAGCGGTGCTAAACATGGCCATCAGTGCGAAGGAGGCAGCCTTGAGTCTGAAGAATATATGTTTCCAAGGTGTCAGGAAACATTTCGCCGCTGTGGGCGTCGAGGCTGTTCTCGGTAAGTGCACGCGAGCCGTCGCTCAGCCTCGGCTTGACCAGCGCGAGAACAGCATGCTAACGTTAGCATGTTGTTAGCGGCGGCTAACGCTACACGGCTCGCAGGAGGGGAGAGCCAGACACACCGATACACATTTCTATTCCACCAGGATGTGGCCGTGTTGTTGTTGTTGTTTAAAGGGCGATCCTTTCTAAACTCCGAGTAGCATTGGTCAAGTCACATAGCGATACACGCACCGCGTGACGGGGAATCTGACTCGTCACGCTCTCAAGGCGCTGCGGTCCGCTGGCACATATTGAAGTGAACGCACACACGGACATTTACGGTAAACGCTTCCTGAGCGCCCAGACCGGGAGCGAGCGCAGAAAGATGTACAAAAGATAACCTAAATGTTAGGCGAGAATACACAATAATTACACCGATAGACAGAAAACTAAACGTTTTTAAAGTCCTTTGATTTGTTCAGAGAAAAAGGTCATTTGAGTATTTGAAGTATGATAAAAGCTATTTAATCAATCATCCCCTGTGTATGTGCACTCACGACATCTTTGACTCATTCATACTAAAAATACTTTTACTGTACCAATTAAGATAATTATCCCAAATAAGTCCTAAATATGTATTTGCAAAAATCCAATTGACTGACTGACTCTGATTATTCTTAAACCGAAAATGAAATAATCTTACTCTACCAATTAAGAGAATATCCCAAGATAAAAGTCCTACATATGTTCTTAAAGCTTTCATCTCAATATTTGAGGTCCTATAAAAGCGGTTTTCTCAATAATTCCTAACAATGAGTGATCTACATGTGTTCAGGACATCTCAACTTGACTTTTACTTTACTCTGTGTTTGCTTTCCTGGATAGGTGGAGTTAATTGTGTTGTTTATCGCCCGTTCATATTTTCACAATATTCAGCTAACATTTTTATACTAAATGTGAATATATTTCATTTAATCCTTTGGAAATAAGATTCAATGAATTATGTTCACATGTATTTGTGTTGATTAGTATCACTTGTAAATGTATTTCGTAGTTCAAGTTGTGTTCAGTTAACCCTAGTCACGGGTGGTGAGGGATTTGGCGCCCTAAAGTTTTCCAATCTGTCCTAACGCAGGTCTTCCAACGCCTCTCATTAGGGACCTCCTCCCTCATCTGACAGTATGTCAGCTGGATGAGCTCCAGCCTGCCCTCAACCAGAGAGGTAACCGCTGACGGGCAAACGAAAGTCTCTCCCATTCTGGATTCATGATTAAATTAGTATTTTTCTTTGTGTCAGGGTTGTCAACTCACCCCGGGTGGATTAGCGTCCTACAGGACATGTGTGGACCTAACCACGTAGGTGCAATGTGCACATACCAATCACGCATGCAATAGTAATGTCCAGAACCCGGAAGTGACGCGTATCCTCTGTTACGTTGCAGGTAACGGACTTTGACACAGAAGAGGAGGCCAAACACGAAGTAATGAGGATGCTTTTCACTCTCGTGTTCTACGGCTTCACCAACCCCTTCGTCAAAAGGAACATTGCCAATTTGAACACGCCGTCCTTCCTGTGGGCGGCAGCGAAATGCATCAAACATTTTCTGCTCACTACGCCAGTTGAGAGTTTAACCGCCGAGCGGCGACCTCTCCTGAACCTCCTAGAGAAGCGTATCTGGAGCGTTGGCGTGTCTCAGAGCATCGACATATCAAAGAGGAGAACCCAAACTGCGTTGTACGTCCTCCATCGCTTGCTGGACCACGGGGTGGCCAAGAAAATTGTGGTTCATGTGCAGTGTCCCATAGTGCTGGCCTGGATCCTGCACGGCAGGGGATCTCAGTATGTAAATCCGGATCTCAAGGAGCTGCTGGAGAGCAAAAAGGCGAGCTGTGTGTCACAAACCGCTTCAGCCAGTGCAGACGGGGCCGGCGGCGGTTCCGGCCTTGGGACCGGGGCGCCGGAGGAACAAGTCACCCCCTGCAAACGCTCCAAGTTGGACTCTGCGGAGGAATCCGGGAGATCACACTTTACGTTGGACCCGCAGGTTCTCTGTCGGACCTTCACTCCGCGGGACGGCCCCTCGGCGGGGGCGTGTCCATGGGGGCGGATCGATTGTCTGGACATCAGGCAGTGTGGGTCCGACTCCCTCAGAGTGCTGAACTCGGCTCTGCCCACATTCTTCTGCCTTCGCTCTCTGACTCTCCACAGCTTCTGTAAGTTTGATAACCGGTGTGCCGGTTTAGTGGTGGGGGGGGGTCAGGGGTCCTTTGCAGAGGTCAACCTGGGTCTTCTTTCTCGCTGCCTACGTTGGCGCATTGCTGCACGTTCCAGTCCATGTTAGCAAAATCTCCCCAAGAAATATTTTGAAATTCCTGAATAACTAATGTTCTGTGCCATTTCTGTTGTGGAACTGCAGGAACAATTAGTGCTGCTTTGTTTCTGCAGTGACCTTCAGAGACTCGGATGTGTTGTCGTTGGCCAAAGCCCTGAAGCAGCTGTCGGACAGCTCCCACAGCTCTCTGGCCGACCTGAGCGTCAGCGTCCTGCCGTGCACGTGGCTCGTGGAGGTCCTGCTGGATGCGAGCCCCAACCTCACCTCCCTGACCGCCGAGATCCAGACTCTGATGTGGGGGCAGCGCCTCCTACCGCAGCGCCCAAGAGCCGCGGGGTCGGGCATCTCAGGTGCTGAGAAAGGTTCTACTGAGTTACACTTGACGTGTGTATGACTGAAAGGGTGTTGTGTCGTTGGATTGACAAAAGATATTTTCGAAATAAATGTTCCTTCTTATTAGAGACTTTATTCAAAATAGATCAGTACTGCAGAATTGAGAAAGTTCTCAATACAAATGCTGCTCATACCGAAGCACTGAAGGGTACAAATGGCCACTTAAGGGGATGTCTCGTGAACCCTCAGCAGAGCGGCTGCCCCTGGAGAAGCTGGACATCAAAGTGGCCGAGCTGCAGACAGATCTGCGCTTCGTCACGTCCGTGCTGAGACGCTGTCCACAGTTCACCTCGCTTCGCCTCGCCGGGATCCGATTACCAAGCGGCTCCTCTCTAAGCCAACTCTTTACCACTCTCTCAGGTATTTGTGCGACTGCAGTGTACGGGGTCCACGACGGTGTGAGACGCACCGAACTACCACCGAGTGTGGAGTCAGCTGGAAATAGTCCCTGACTGTGATGTGATGTGATTTGGGAACCACTGGCCTAAACAATCCCCCTACAGCTGCTTTCTGCTGCTGCTGTTTGTCTGTTGTTTGGCATTAACACGAGCATAGATCTACAATAAGCTGATATCTGCCTGCTCCATTTATGCATCTGACTGAACGACATGTCTAAACTTTTAGAGTCCAATCCCCTCTTGAGGAGTCTCAACTTGGAGGACCTGAAGCTGTCTGATTGTCTCCCTGAGATCCTGAATCTATTGACAGACTGCAAGTTGGAAGGTAAGAGAAGGGGAATGACTTGTGACCGGAGGAGAGCCATCGATGCAAACTCCCGTCACTGTCCGTTCCACATCCCAACACGCCCGCTGGGAGGCCAGTGGCTTCTATCGTGTTTTTAAGCATCTTACTGAGTCTCTGGAGTCTATTTTAGCTCCTGTGTTTACTGGCACATGTCGGCCTTACGGCACTGATGAAATGTAACCCTTTTCAAAGAGTCCATCCTTTGCGCCACGTCAAATGAATCGATTCCTGCGCTTCCTTCTCCGCTGTTGCTGAGTGTTTGCGCTCGTTTGCCTAAAGTGCTCCGGCAATAAGGAGGAAAAGAGAACGCATTTGGTGAAGTGTCTCTCCTTTGCTCCTCCACTCAGAGCTGCGCTTTAATGACTGCCGCCTCCTGGAGCAGTGGAGCAACAAGGAGGAGAGCCTCCAGCGGCTGGTGGAGGCTCTGAAGGCGGTGCCCTCCCTCCACGCGCTCAGCCTGGCTCAGAATCGTCTGGGTAAACACGTCCTCCTCCATCAGCACCAACACTCGCACGCTTTTCCTGCTCCCGGTACTCGTTGTTGCCGCGGAAGGAGCATTTCTAGAACCTTTTCTAAAGCGGTGTACAAAGAGAACTGTGAACAATTGCTTATGAATTCTATTTTTACTAATATTTGCTAATGTATATTACTGATTATGGTCCTGAGCTGGTGATTGATGATCATCAGAAAAAAAAGGATGCATGATGTCCAGACCCTTATCCTGTATTCATGGGATTGGTATGACATTCATTAAAACAGATCCACACTCGTCATTCTGAGCACAAGTTACTCTGAAGCCATTTGTTATGAAAACTATTCATACTTTCAAAATGGTCCACGAGGAGTCCGTAATGTCTGTTTTTAAAATCAGAGAGCGCTTGCTTCTCACTTTACTTTGTGAGATGCAAGCGCATACTTTTTACTCCAATACTTTGGATTAGAGAAAAGGAGCCTTGTTAATAGACTGTGCAAGACTTTTATCCAAGATGTGCACATGTAGAGAAACAGTAACTGCTAGTGAACCAAACACAAACTATCAATAGTTTAATTTTTTCAAATCAAAACTACAGCAACTTCCTGCTGCAGTGTCTGTCATACACAGTATTGAGACATGACATCGTTAATGATGATACTCTGTTCAAGTGAAATCCATGAGAACCGTCCTCCCAAGTGGAGACAACAGGTGGATACGGATTTGATTAAAAGGCTTCTGAATGTACTGTGTGTATATAAGTAACTAGGCACTGCCTTGTGAACTATGTGCATATCCATACAGGACATGTGGATGTAGGCTGAAGCCTGGTATGTTGCAGTCAAAAGGGGGTTTTCTTTTTCACAGAAGGAATTTTAGATATCTCTTTATTGCACCATGAATCAGAAAACACTGCATGGGATAATGGAAATAATTAGAATAGTTTTCTGTTTACAGTCATGCACTCTCTCAGCAGCTACTGACGTGCAAATGAAATCCCCACTTGTTTACGCTCACTGTGTCTGCGTCAACAGCCAAGAACGTGTGTGTGCTGGCCGAGCTGTTTTCAGGACCGGCGCCGGGCTCCGTGAAGCGGCTGGACGTCAGGTGAGAGCTGGCGCGCCGCCGCCCCGGGCTCGGGCTCGCTGCGTGGTCCACCACGCCTGCTAGCGGGCGCTTTGCGTCTTTAGCTCAACGCGCTACCTTTTCTCCCCAACAGTTCCAACTTCATCCAGCCTGCCGAGCTGCTGGAGTTTGCCAAGAGATTGAGGACCCATCGTCCACCACACCGGCTGACCCTTGACCTCAGGGTAAACCCAGGGGACCGAGACCCCGACACGTGGAACGCCGCCCTGAAGAGGCTTCGTCCGTTCTGTGTTCTACTGGTTAAAGGATGGAGCTCCACTGACACGATGGCTGACCACATCAGCAATATGTGAAGAAAGCCGTGCGAGTGTCAACGCAGCAGAGTTACTACTGTCCGTCATAGTTTAAAAAGAAATGCTTTTACATTGTTTTGCTTTGTAATTACTTATGTGACACATCGATATGCATGTTATTTTTTTATCAAACGTAACATTTTCTTCACTTGTATCAGCCAGCTTAATGGCTTAGTTGGAAAATAAAAGAACACAGCGTTAGTTTTGTGGACGTTTGAATAATTTATTAAACCAACATCCGTTACACTCCCAGAGACAGTGTGCGTGACATTAAGATACAACTGAACAAACTTCTCCCACACCTCTTCTTCAGTGTCGTTTATTTACATTAGACCGGTGTCTCTCTCTGTGGTGGGGCGTGACCCTCTAGTGGGTCGCTTTAGTATTACAGGTGGGTCGCACAAGAAACACATGTCAGAAGGCATCTAAGATGCACTTCTTTGTATTGCATCTTCAGAGAAAGCGTATTTTCGCCGCTGCTGACTGACGTGACTAACATGAGTCTATGCCTAACCACTATTCCTTGACCTTTGTAAAACATCACGAGATTAGGTCTTAGACCCTGACACAAGGGCACCAGGGCAGAGGTGGCTTTAAAGGCTCCTAAATCTAATTAGAAATGAAGGCGTTATGCCTGTGTATGTATAAGTATGCCTGTGATGCTCCGAACAGTTTTCCAGGTAAAGCTGTTGCACCTTGCTTTTCCCCTGGAAAAAATAAACAGAGAAAGATAAGTTTGAAAAAGATACTTTGTTCTTTATTGCCAATTGCTTTGAGAAAAGCTTCCATTACAGTATTAAACAGCAGTAGCCCGAGTTAATACAAAATCCAGAATTTTAAATAAGTATTTAATTGATGGAAAAAATTGAGGGAAAAAAGCTATATAAACCTACTTGGCCATATATGGAAAAGTAATCCAACCCCCCTTGATGTCATGAATGAACTGTGATCACATTTTATGGAAAGCTGAGCTAACTTCTACATTTCAATATGTGTCTGTTTACTGACAGACCTTTTGTATCCAGAAATCACTTCAGAACCAGTCTGATGAATTGAAGTGGACAAAAGGATCTGCCAAAGATCTTTTTGCCAATAAGCATCTTGTTAATCCCAAAGACTTTAGGGAAAAATTCTGTGAACTGATGAAACCAAAGTGGATCATTTTGGAATGTGTGCGTTCCGTCACATGTGGTGTAAAAATAACACAGCCTTTCATAACAAACTACACCATACCAACAGCACATCAGGGGGGGTAGTGTAACGGTCTGGGCTTCAGGACCTGGACCACTTGGAATTCATGGAACCATGAATTGTGCTCTCTACCAGAAAATCCTGAAGGAGAATGTCCAGCCATCAGTTGTGACCTTAAGCTCAAGAGCAGCAGGATAATGGTCCAAAAAAAACCAGCAAGTGAGGTGACAGTGCTAACCACCACGCCACCGTGCCGCCCCTCAAAGCAATATGACAATGTGTATTTGTGACAAGAGTATTCTGTCCTGCAGTTTAACGTGCACGGACCTATTTCAAGCTATTTAACAACAGCAGGAAAAAAGGCGCGTAATACAAAGTGTGCTTGATTTATAGTCTGAGAGGATTTTTGATTGGTTATTAAGCTGGAAGCGGCTCCTGCACAGGCATGTCCATCCCTTTAGGCTCCCATTGTTCATGAGTTCACTACGTATTAGGATGTTTGCAATGTATGTGTTTGCATATGAGAGTTGGGTGCAACTCCATGTATGGACATGTTATTCTCTTATGGGGGAAGAGGTGCTTCCTGTTTTTCTACATTTGACCCAGATAGTGCGTGCAGCTTTCTTGCAACATGTTCTTGTTGCAACATGGGTGATGTGTGGTCTACCACATATAAGTAGGTGCACAGTTGGAATTTACTGTGCAGGGGAGTTTTACTCTGTAAAGCCTGTGTATTTCCTTTGGAGAATCTCATTCAAAGAAATACAAAAAAACACTTTCAGTGATGCTGTTATACAAGGACAAAATAAACTTTTAACATTGTTTGTCAACAATTCTCTCGCACGCCGCATCCAAAGTAGCCAGCCGATGTTTGGCTCCACGTGTTTGTTTGGCTAGCTAGTTGGCTGTGTCAATGATGTGTAACGCCTTTGAGTGCAGTGTTTCCCACACAATAATATGGCGATGGTGGGTTCGCACCCACTCGGCCCGCTGATCGTCCCTCAGCCAGCCTTCTTTTTGCACACGGCTCTGTTGTCTGTTCTGAATGTTAGATGTAGCCACGCCCCCTGGTTTGCATATAAGAACGTGAAATGTAAAACGGCATTATGAAATAAAAGTACCATGAAATGAAAAGTGGCATTATGAAATGAAAGTACCATGAAATAATTAAATGTATTTCATATTTATTGCCTCATTTATTTATTTCATGATGTATTTCAAATGCATATTTCATGTATTTACGTATTTATTCATTTATTTAATTTTGACTAAAATGGCATTCCATACCAACCCACTTTTCTAGGTTTGCGTCGACACATGCATTAATTTACAACGTTTTGGATCTGTATTTAGCCCCCATTGCTTTAAAAACGAATTTTCAATGTGAAATGCAGTAATATTTATGGGTACAGCAACAATCTAACGAATTAGCAACACCAAACACACAAAAAATATTCGGGGATGTTTACTCTTGGTCCAGGTCATCATGCTGCACGCTAGCATGCTCCAAGCTAGCATGCTAACTAGCAAACTACCTGCGCTAACGCTAACTAGCTTAACAAAAGCTAGTATCGAGTGGGCAGCACAAGTAAAACACCCGGTTATAGTTCCATGTGTGCTTCATTCAAAACACTCCCGTACTTACAGAGTAGTGGAGCCGGTAGTCGTGGTTCTATCAGTCCGTTCATGTCGCTCTGCTGCCGTAACTTCGCCTCGTGCTGCGTCCGCTCGGAGCTCTGCAGGCGTCTAAGAACTCGCGCATGCGCGTTACAGATGTCAGCGGAGTTCCAAGTAATGTTTGAGACTGCCCGCATTATTATATCTTAAACGCATCTTATTAACAGCACGCAGTCCGTAGTTTCATATTTATGACGTTTTAAGTTAAATATTAAATACGTTGAAATCACGTCTTGGCGTAGACCAAATTTCGCCGACCAGTTCATTCATTATTAGGAAAATCTTAACGTCTATCGTTCAAACCTTACTTTACAACATGACACACAACGTTTTCCGGCATGTTGATGTATCATCCAATTTTTAGCTGGTTGAAAAGAGGTTGAAATGAGGTCTTAGACGTTCAGACCTCATTTCAACCTGATTTCAACCATATTTCAACGTTGAAATTACGTCTTGTGCTCACTGGGAGCGGTCATATTTACGGATTTTTTTCTGACAAAAGCTCTTCAATCTGATTCATTCTCTCGTAAACATTCATTTTAATAATGGCGGTATTGTGCTATGAAAATGGAAATGTGAGACTCCGTAAAGGATGTAGTTAGCAGACCAATCGCAGCCTGGTGTGCTGCGGAAGGCTTGCGTCGACGCAAGCCTAGAAAAATGTGTTGATGCACGCAAGGAGGTGTGAAAAGGCACGCAAGGGACACGCAAGGGGCTCTTGCTCTGAAAACGCAGAAGCATAAACTAGGCTTTATTTATCGTGCCATGAACTGCCGTGCCATTTATTAGTTATTGAATTGTTGTGCGAATGATTGTACTGTGCATTTAATGTGCTATAGAGCTGACGTGTTGTGCACCTTGGGGTGCTGTGTTGTTGGGGTGGTTATAGTAGCCTGGCTACCGTCATGGTCATGTACAGTACTGTATGTGAGAGGTACGGGCCAAACCAATAACGCCTCCTGCCTAGAAGTCAATGCTCCCTTTTTTGATAAGAATTATTATAATACAGTAAAAGTATTTTTCCAAATTCTTCAGTCTGGTGATTGTGCTCCCCGGAGATCTAAACTAAAAGGGCAAAGTTAGGAGCCCTACACGACATATGTGCAATATCCCCACATATCTTGCTAAAAAACTGTATTTAATAGTGTACATATCACCTTATGTATCGTGTTTTTATATTTTTCTTATTATAGTGTGCCTTTTATTTTTAATTTTTTTAACTATTGACTCTTAAATTCCAATGTGTCTCGACTGTTGGTCTATGCACAAATGGCAAATAAAACCTTAAGTTACTGCAGCCAAGTTATTACGGTTGGGCGGCAATAACTTTTTTACACAAGTAGGTTTGGATAGTTTCCCTAAATAAATGGAATCATTATTAAAAATGCATTTTGTATTAGCGCAGGTAATCTGTGTCTAATAACAACATTTGTTTGATGATCTGGAACATGTGACAGATATGCGAAAAAAGATACCAGGGAGCTGCATTTGGTGTGTTCTCATTTGGGATCTTTCCATCACGTGACTGTTCAGCTGGTTACAGCCAGAGGCGTGGGACTTCCGTGTCCTGCATGAATTAACACAATGCTTTATTTAGGCCGGGACAAGTTGCACATACACAACAAGGCAACAACAAACTTTGTTGAACAAAGTAGAACAACTAGTCAAGCTGGTTCATGTCTGTTGCGCCTCGAACGGAGGTTAGGTCGATTTAAGTACATTGTGCAGAATATTGCTCATTTAATCTGCTTGAAACAGGCATTGAAATGCAGGAACTTCTCATTTATTTGTAAATGTTTTACTAAAAGCCTGACTTCAGAAACATTTTTGAGTACTTTCCCCACTGCCAGTAAGAGAGAGGGTGAAAGGTGGAGCATGATGGTGTCACTGAAATCCCCAAATCAATCCCTGAAAAACACAACAAGGTTGAGTTTAGTTGCAGTTAGAAACGTCAGTAAAATACACAAAGGTCTTAACTTCTACATTTCAATTTGAGTCTATTGATGCAACTACCGCTATTATAAAGCAGCGTGACCTTGTTCTGCCTATCAGAAGTAGCTTAGTGTGTGTGGGTGTGTCTTTGTAGAGCTGCTTCCTGCTTTAGTGGACTTTTGCCCCTGTCAAACCTTTAACTCACTTGAGTTAGAAGCTGATACAGAAAATGTATTTGTGCCTTTCACATCATCTAACTAAGGACACTTCTGGATTCATCTGCTTGGGACTCCATGCAGGCTGTCATGATGTGGACAAGAAGTGTTTGCAATCAGGTCAAACACATCGCAGAAGGTAAGATTTCCAAATCTTAGAGCAGTTTTAATTTCAGCTAAATGTCA